CTCCAAAAACAGCTCAGAAAACTGCAGCAGGAGGCACAGGAGAGACGCTCAGAATGATTTTTTTTTGAGAAAATTATTCTAGAATTCGGAGTAAACCATTTTCTGGGAATACAGAATGCGGAATCCGGACACATCAAACTTTCGCGGGATATAAAAAAAGTAGTCAGAAATCCGTACTGCTACAGTTCATAATTACTCCAAGAAACAAACTTCAAACTTCATTTTGTATAATTTCCAACGAAAGTCTGAAATTACTTCTTCGTCGGGTATAATTCTTGTAAAATCGCTACTTGCTGTGGCACCNNCGAAAAAAGCCCCCATTTTTAAAAAAAATTAAAAGTTTTTTTTTTTCAGAAAACCACATTATTCCGTATTTCTCCGTATTCTGTCCGTTCGCGAACTCCGTTTCCGATCCGATTGCGAATGATGGACAAACGAATCCGTTCGCGAACGGACAGAATATGTAGAAATACGAAATAATGTGCTGTGGTTTTCTGAAAACGGGTCGCGTGCGGTTTGTATGCGGTTCCTATTTCAACCGCGCGCGAACGCTGAGCGTCCGTAACGGATCCGTTCGCATTTTACCTGTGCATACTTATTTTTCTCGAAATTTCAATGGGAATGTGGTCAAATTTCATATTTTATTGATTTCATTTTTTTTTAAAGATTCTGTTCCTATTTTTTTAACTGTAAGCATGACTTCCAAAGTCTCAAAGTAAAAGGATCGTGAGTAGGCTACCGTGGACCGATCAGGATTTTTTTGTGAATAATCTCAGCGTTCCAAAAAAAAAACGGTTTTCCAAGCGGATCCAAGATCTCCAACATGTATGAGGCCAAGTGAATCTGGGAATTTGATTGATGAACACGAACGACAAAATTCTATTGACCTGTAGAGTGTTCATCAGTTTTTCCTATTTTTGGCAACTTGTCAACTCGTTTCTGGAATGCAGCCAAGTATATTGTACTTTCTCTGCGCTCTCTCCTTCACAAGCTAGAGGGCGGTACAAAATGATCGAACTCTTCCAAAAGTATCGCATAGATTCCTGAATATAAGCGCATCAGCCAAGCTGGTGGCCTAATTAAAAATTCAAACGCATTTTTAGCAACCAGCCAAGTCTAAAGTGTTTTGTATTTTCTCTGCCCTTTCTCCGCTCAACGATAGAGGGCATACCGAATAATGGTTTTTTTTTGAAAAATTGCACACATTCCCAGGTATGTCAGTAAAGCCCATTAGTTTATTGTTGTCTTGTTGTAGATTGATTTGAAATATAAAACAGACACAAAACTTAAAACCGGATACAAACTTCCCGGCATTTCAATTAACAGATGTATTGTTTTTCTTTTCAGCAAACTCGTATCACTGTTTTCGTGAGCACTAATTATCCTCCATTTAATAAACCATATTTTTCGCTTCTCGAAAGTCTACCATCAATGTTCGGGACATTTTCTAGTATTCTTGCAAACACTAAACTTTTTATTGTTTTTCCGTTTTCAATATCTTTGACTTTAGACATTTTATCTGACGCTTTTTCATCATCCATTTCGATTTGCAATTCGTGAAAACGTTCTGCGTGGTGCCACACTTCACCATCCCTTCGATTCATTTTATATATTCTTCTTCAAAAAAAAGTCTGAAATTCTAGTAGTTTTCACGAATTAAAAAATTTCACCCGGTTTTCAATTTTCATTTTTTTGATAACTCTGCTCACTATTTGAAAATGACGAAAAGAATACTCAAACCTTGGCTCGTTGCAAATATGAAATACTTTTTTTTGAAAATTTTTCTATTTCTATTTCTGCTTCCTAGACAACATCATATCCTACTGTCATCCACCCTGATTCATCATTTATCATCGTCTTTTTGCTCTATTACCAGAATTGTCCTCTTTTACTTTTTTTTTCTGCATTTTGTTTTCTACCTTAGCGCTTGCCAAATTTAAGTTTTCACCGAATCATGCAAAGAGCAATATTTGTATTTCTTGACTTGTTTTATCCTACAATTTGATTTAAAAAATTCCAGAGCAAGCTCGTGGTTTTTAAAGTTTTTGAACAGGAAAAAGAACGATACAGAAAGATTGCAGTTCCAAAATCGAAGTCCAGTGAGAGGTTCGGGAGAGAGCAGAGAGTTCTTGAAGTAAGTTTTTTTCTTACTCGTGCATTTTGAGCTCTATTATCTCGGTTCTTATGGAAGATATCACACGTTTGTCAACTAATAAAATGCTTATCATATTTTCACATACATTTTACAAATTGTCAAAATTTTGATATCTTTTGTTGGAACTGAGATAATTAAACACAACGTTCAAGACCAGAGTGTCGAAAACAGCTCTAAATCCATTGTCATACATTCTCAATACTGAAAGAAAACTTTTTTTTTAAAGTACTTACATTGTTGACAACAGATGAATCAGAACAATTTGATTGCACATGGCATTAATAAAAACATACTTTAATGATCTCTAAAAGCATTTTCCAACTTTCTATTTCTTATATTTTGAGCGTATCCTTTTGATAAACTTCTTCTTCAGATTACCTTAAGTTTCTCTATGTTTCCTATTTCTGCTTTATGGCACTTTTGCAACAGTTTTGCTTATTATCAAAACCTTTTTTGTTTTTATCTGCATTTTGAAGTCTTGGTGGCAGTCAAACTCGCAGAGTGGTTTAGTTCCCTCTTTGAAACTTCTCTCTCTTTGAGACACTGTCCATTCGAGAAGTTAGGCATTCAGGGTAGATAAAATCTTTGACGGCAACATGAAACAATTTTTTTCGGCTGAAAGTCAGTTGATTTTAGAGAACCTACTAGGTTTTCCAACCGAAATTTCTGAAAAAAAGCACGAGTGTCTGACATTCTCTTATTCTTACATGTTTGTTGTCTGAAAACTTGATTGTCATCTTCTCACTCTTTCATGATTGCTATCTCTATTGAATAAGTTAGAACCGTTCTTGTTGGTCATAGGTTTTTACCTCTATTAACTTTCACTCTCCCTTTTTTCTTCTTTTTCTTGGAGTAGAACGACTGTATTTTTCATTCTTCCGATCACTTTAGAATTTTGGAGCGTATAAAACACATTTTACGTGCACTTTGAGCTCAATTATGTCGCTCCCTTCAGAAGATATCAAAACATGGTCAACTGATGAATCATTCATAATACTATCACCAATATTTTATCAATTGACAAATTTTGATATCTCTCGCAGAGACCAAGATAATTGAACTCCAAGTTCACAGAAAGCGTGGTATTCTATCAGAGCCGTAAGGGTTTGTTCCCGTTTTGCATTTCTCACAGTGATACGAGTTTGTTGAAAAGAAAAACAATACATCTGTTAATTGAAATGCCGGGAAGTTTCGTATCCGCTTTTAAAATAATGTTTGTAGTTTTTTGTAATTTCCACCCTGACTGTCACCTTTGATCAATTTTTTCTTGCTTACGATCATCTTCCTTTAGTTGATTTTTCGTATAATGCTCTCTCGTCTTGATTTCATTGAAGTTTTTCATAGACAAACTTACACGAACCCACGAACTTTCAAAATTGTGAAACAGACAAACGAAAGAAAAGAAATGAGCATGATGCATGTTGCAAGCAATAGTGAAATGTCTATGAAGAACAAAAGAAGCGGCGATGAGCAACAGTTTGTGTACAGCCAACTACCGTCAACTCGCCGTCATAGTTTCACAAGTTTGGAGGTTTATTGGCATCAGTACAACTATCGCTCCATTTTACGAGAAGTAGGATTTTAAAATAACATGTATATATATTTTGGAGGAATGTTAAAATTGAAGCAGTGAAAATAACTAGAAGAAACCTGGAACAAAATACTGATTGTTGAGATTTTTGAAAACTAAAATTTTCAGACTCGATCCTGTGATATCATTTTATCGGAAACGATGGACTCATCATGGAACAACGACTCATCTTCGGCCGGATCATCGGGGTTGCCATCAAAACCCCACAGAAAAACTCCAGTTTATATGCAACCAAGAGATCCCTCACCAAAACCAACCGGGGATCCCTACGAGTTTGTCGACGACGATGAAAAAGAGGTAGTTGAGCTCTCTAGACATTCCCAGAATATTACTTGTTTCAGGAGCCAATCGTGGTTGGAGTCGTTGGGAGACCAGAGAGATATGGTAATGGTGTTCGAGAAGCAAGAATCAAATTGGTGCACAGAAACAAGGAAAGGGGAAATGAAAGAAATGGCGAGAGTGAAAAGAAAAAGAGGATGGTAAGCGTGAACGAGATTCTGAACGAGAATAGTAAAATTGATATACAAAATGACATAATTATTTTCAAACATTTGGGTTCTCTCACTAATTAAAACGTTTTTACAGCGATACTCTTCTCCAGTTTCCAATGACCTGATTTTGGCAAACTCGACAGCAAGCACATCTTCAAATTCGGAGCATGTGGATGAAAATGTACCAGTCGCAGACGAAACGGATACTCAGAAGATGGTTCGGGAAGCTCTTGCATATTTTGAACAAACTAAGAAAAAATGTCTTGAGGAGCATCCAGACCGTGGAAACGTAAGTTTTCCACGAAGCTCTCCAGCAACAACATCAGAAATTTTTAGTTCAGAACAGATTTGTTCCGAGTCGGAAAGCGGATAATCCGATTTCCCGATTTTCCCGACTTTTTTCAAAAAAATTTACAAACGGGAAATTTTTCCCGTCTGGAAAATCGTTTTTTTCCGGAAAAAAATGTCCAGCTTTTTTCAAAAAAAAACTTCCCGAAAAGTATGGAATGTTAGATGCGCATTGGCAATATCTTTTCTGATTTTAGCTGTTTTTCTACCCTTTGATCGCCAGTTTTCAAAAAATTAATCAAGTTTTTCGAAAAAAAAGTATATTCGGGAAAAACGTCGGCTCTCCAATTTTCCGAGAATAGTTTCCTGAGCAAACCTGGTCCAGGCAGACTAGGTCTCATTAGGCTATTTCTCAGAAACCACCAACCCCGGAAACAAAACAAAGACTCAGGCCATATTCATGTACACTTTTCTTTCAAAAATCATCCTAATTATTTTCCAAAGAAACATCATTTAAATGATTTCCTGATTTGCAGGGTCAGAAAATGGCTTTTGAGCTTAATTTTCTTGAAAACTATCGAATGAAAACTTCTCATTATTAGTCAGAATACCTAAAGTTCCTAGGTTTATCCATTCATGCCATTTTTATGAAAAACATGGTTTTTAAGTTGAAGAGCAGCAATTCTTAAGTTTTTAAATATGGATGATAATGTACTTAATATATTAGTTTGGTAAAAAAGTAATGCGCGCTATGTTTGGTGTTTTATATTTTGCCTGTGAATAGTTTGTTCGGCTTAAGTTTTTCTTTATTTTGAAGAACATGTCTTTAACTTTGTTCTTGATTGCTACTTCACTGTTCGAATCAATTTTTGAATTTGGAAAACATTCAAGGAGATGCCCAATCAAAATGTTCGCTTTCGAGCCTTATTTTCGCATGAATTCAAAAACAGACAAGCCGCCGCCAAAGCACATCGCTTTTTGCCGTCAGTATTTTGAGAAGATGCTCTATCCGAAAATTAATATCGACGCTGGTTCCAACGTTTCAGAATCGTTAAAGAAAGCTTGGAATGCAAAACACACAGTTTCGTCTAAAAAGCGTTGTCAACTATTTCTTGAGACAAGCAAGCGAACTGGACCCGTGCTAAACAACTAGATGCTTATCAGAACAGTCTAATCGCGCCTTAATCACAAACAAACAGATGCAGAAAAAAAGAGTCACACGAACTTTCTGACGATAACAAGGTAAAGCTCATCGAGGTGGCCGGTTTTATCTTGCGCCGTTCAAAAAGTCGTGGTTTCTTGGATCCAAGTTTTATTTTGGATAAGAGATGGTCTCAATACGAGTGCTTTGGGTAAAAAAGGCAGTGGCCGAATCATGACGAGGCACCGAAACCGACACCAAAACCGAGCATGCAAGGGAAAAGTATATGTTATGTGTCTGGTGGAATTTTCGATGTCTGAGGTATTTTGAATTTCTAAAGCGTAGTCAAATAGTGACTACCAATCGTGACAAATGTCAGCTGAACCGTGTGGACCGTGTGCTCAAACGGCAAGCAGTGAGTACATCGGCGAAGTTTCTTGTTCACGGCACCTCTCGACCACACACCTCAAAAATCACTCAAAACATTTTTTGGAGTTTGACTGGGAAGTGCTTTTACAGTCGCCTTATAGAGAAAATTTAGCACTATCCGACTATGACTTGCCCAGATCAATTCTGCATCATCTCTCTGAGAAAAAGTTCAAGAATGGGGAAAAAAGTGAAAATCTGGGTAACGAACTACTTCGAGTCACAGTCAGTGGGGTGCTTCACGAGAGGCATCGAATCTTTGCCCATGCGTTTGCAGAGGGTGGTCAATAATGAAGGAGAATATATTCTCGATTGATGTCCTTTTGTTTCACTTTTACAATAAAAATGAAGTACATCAAAAGCGCGCATTACTTTTTTACCAACCTAATACTATTCTATCAAAATACCTCTTTTTAAAATAAAAAAATCCTAAAATTCGTTCTTGCTAAATCTCTGCCCGGGCCGGGTTCCGAAAATTTTTAAAATTTTTCTGTTGATTTTTAATAAATTTTTGTGAAAATAATCATTCTAAAGCAGGAAATTTATCCCAGGACCCTTCTTAAATTTGAAAACAAGGTAATTTTGATAAAATGTTCTCCAAAAATCCGGGTTTCTCTCAAAAAATGACTCTTAAAAATTTTTTGCGTCAAAAACACGGGCAAGCCGGGCCGAGCCGGGCCAGGCCGGGCCAGTAAAAATTCCTACACCGGCCCGGCCCGCGACATGTATGGTGAAATTGACTTTAAGCATAAAAAATTAGTATACCTATTTTATGAAAATTTAAAGATTTTCCAAACAGAAAACGATTTTCCTTTCATTTTTACGCCTTTTCAATTGATTTTCTGGGAGAAAACGATTTTTCAATGTTAATGAATACGGTCTCTGACGTAAACTCTTTTTCAAAACCAAAATGGGTTTTTTGTAAAATCAAGTCATTTTTGTTAAAGAAACACTCGAGTGTATCAGTCGCAACTTCACCAATTGCTATGGCTCGGGAAGCCCTTTCTAAATTCCACCGAATTCGGAAAGAAGGTGACATGGAAAACGTAAGTTTCTTAAGAAATTCTTCACCAACAACATCAGCATTTTCTTCAGTTCACACCACAGAAGCTACCACCTCCTATTCCTGAAGTCCGTACACCTGAGATCTTCAAAAATGAGGATTATCTCGCGATGTGTCGAGAAGTTGGAATTCTTCCAGCCAATGATTTTCCGCTGCGCCAAAAGACACCAAAGAGTTTTGATAATCAACAAAATCAACAAACTCCTTCTGTGCCTATGAATGCTCTTCTGAATTCGGCTCTTCATGTTCAAATGCAATCAATGCAAACTTCAGCTGGACGGATCGAGAATCATGGTTTTCTGGTTCCACGTGAGCAACTCGCGCGGACTGTGAGGAATGCTCATTCGAATGCTGGAACCCACAGCTCCACAACTTTCCAACATATTCCAACAACTGCAACACCAACGCAAAATTCAAGTACCCCGCAAATGAATTCGGCCGTTGTGAGATATCAACCACCACCAACTCCCATAATGCCTCCTCATCAACAATTACCTCCCGCTCAACAAGAACTTGCGAATCAACAAATAGTGGCCTACCTCCATAGATGGAACAAGCAATTCATGGAGGCGCTGCCTGCCAGGCTGTCATTAGATCCTTCCTTTTTGTTTCGACATTTTGGTGCAAACGGACTTGGCAACCAACCATTTCAACACATGGTACCACCGGGAGCTCGTTTGATGATTCCGAATCATACACAGCAATTGGCAATTCAACAATCGAACCAAATTGAAATGCAACTGGCTATTCGAACGTCGAACAGTTTTCTAGTACCAAATCAAAATCTTCCCAATCACAGCAGCCCTCCAATGCCCAATCAAATGCCAGCACCAATTCACAGACCACTACCGGTATATCCGAACGGATTATTCTGGAATCATGGACATCCACCGCCGCATGGACCACCACGGCCATAAAACCAAGTGAGCTGTTCTAAAAAATAGCTTGAGTTCTAGAATTGTTGAAATTGAAAAAAAAATTAGCATCGAAGAATTTTTGGGCAATTGAAATATTAATCTAGAACATGTCTGTGTTAACTTGAAAATGTTAATTTCAGGCTGCTTCACATTGACTGCAAAACTCTGATACTCTCCATTAACTCAAAACAGGCATTCTTCTGTGTTCTTTGAAAAACGGTATCAGTCTCTAGTTTTTTATTATTTTATCCTAAACCCTCGTTTTCATTCAATTTCCGCATGAACTTTTCCAGATTTATTTGTATTTCTATCCAAATTCCAGTTCAACCTTTCTTCACCTTAACTGCCCCCCCCCCCCCCAACTTTAATGAAAAATTGTCTAGTTATCCGCTGACATTTCTCTATTCTCTTTTCGAAAACCTCCAGTATTTTGTCTCCCCACACCTATCTCAATTCAAAATGTTTTCCAAAAATCAATTTTTTTTAAACCAATCCAGAAAGCTTGACTGTTTTTTTCTCCTATTTCTGCTATTTCTACTACATAGGGCATTTTCTTCCGTGTCTATTTCTCTCGGTTTGTAACACGTCTCCTATCACTCTCTCGCCTCGCAATGTTATAATTTTTTTTTTCTGTCCTTTTTTCTGACTGGAATGAATAATTGACAACAGAGTGCAAAATATTTGGTCTGTTTGAAGAGTTTCCACTGGAAAAGGAAGGAAAATAGAAAACGACTTGTAGAATCCTTTTTATCGCAAAATTCATTGCTGCTACTTTGCGAAAAAAAAATAAGAGAAGAGGTCCCTCAAATTTGTCTTCTCCCCCTTCCCAATTACTTAAATTGCGTGCGAAGAGAAGAATGCGGCAGGGGATTAAGACAACATTTCTCAGAATATTGTGCATTTTATGCAAAAAACCTGAAAACTTCATGAACATAAAATTAAATCACTGTTGTCCCTGCCCATATAAAATCTCAGATTGGAAAAACTCCCACCAGTTTATTGCAATGAACAGGACGGTCGGGCAAATCTCGAAAATTTCAGGAAACGATAAAGCTGATTTAACAAAAACACCGGACAAAATCAATTAAAATGAAACATTTCCGTTTTCTTTCAGTAAGCTTTTTGCTACGTTTCAAGTATACTTTTAAACAAATTTTCGAAAAATAGCGTAAACACTCTAATGAAATGAGCAGTTCAACTTTCAATTTCAAGCAAATTTGTTTTGGTTCATGTAAGAATTATCAGAAAGTGATCAACTGACAAAATGTTTTTGAAATTATGGTTAACATTTTGTTAGTTGACAACTTCTGGATGTCTTACAGAAAATGAGATACATAGGCTCAAAATTTACGGTTGGGAGAGTATTCTATTAGATTAGCTACAGCATATTAAAATCTTTTACATAGATGCGGGATTTTTTGTGAAACACGATTGCAAATGAGAATTTAATTTTCAATCACAAAGCGTAACTTTTAAACAAAATTTGCTGTGATTCAAAAAAATAGGGTTTTTCTCGCATTTTGAATAGAGCAACATCTTTATTTGAAATAAAACACAAAATTACAAGATAGCTTGTATTAGGTTGGCGGGAAAGTCTTTGTCACTTTTTCAATAGTTTATTTCTCAAAGAAAAATAACCGAATAATTAATTATATTGTCCATCATTATCAACAACATGTCTCCAACGTTCCCTCAATTTATGGATTCCATTGCGGTAGAATCCAGCCGGGCGTGAGGCAAAGTATTGTTTGAGTGCCGCTTCGACCGCTCCACGGGAATTGAAGCTTCTTCCTTCGAAGGCACGTGTCATATCGCCAAATAACCAATAGTCGGAAGGAGCAAGATCAGGAGAATACGGGGGGTGAGGGAGAACATTCCATCCATATCCCATCAGCTCCTGCTTCACTTGTTTCGAAACATGTGGGCGAGCGTTATCATGTTGATAGTACACTTTCTTGTCTTTCAGGGCCGAACGGTCGACTGCTTTCTTGAAGTTTCGTAGTTGAGTAGGGNAGAGGTCTCCAGTTATTGTTTTGCCCTCGGGCAGAAGTTCCAGTAGATGGGGCCGTCCACTCCCCACCACACAGAGAGCATAACTTTTTTCGGATAAAGGTCGGGTTTGGGGACATCCTGTGGGCTCTCTCCTTCTCCAACCCACTGGGATTTCCTGTGGTGATTATCGTAGAAGACCCACTTCTCATCTCCGGTTATTAGCCGGTCCAGCCATCGATCGCCCGCGTGGAGAGTGAGAAGAGTAATCGAATCGTCGACTCGGCGGTCAAGGTTGGCTTGAGTCAGGTGATGAGGTATGAATCGACCAAAAAGTTTTCTCATTCCAAGAGACTTCAAACCTTCAAGGACTGTGCTATGGTGAACTCCGAATGTGACAGCTAGTTCACGGCTAGATTGAAATGGATCCGATTGCAATGCGTGCTTCAGCTTGTCCAAATCCAACTCACGGGGTCTCCCAGAGCGATCCTTTTCATCGAGCGAGAAGTCATCTTTTTCGAAACGATGGAACCAATTGCGAATAGTATTGTAGTGAGGGGCATGTGTGTTGTACACATTCTTCAAGAAAGTTTCCGAATCCTTCATCGTGGTGTGAGATAGGAAGAGGTAAATCAAAACATGTCTGATGTGAATTGCAGTGGGAACAAACATATCGTTTCAATTACAGATGAGGAGCAGGGAAGGAAATGGGGACTTGTTTATATGGAAGGTTCTTATCACCTTGTTATTCACTAGAGTCGATATCATACACAGCCTCCATATACGAGAACAGTGATTAAACAAACAGAGTGACAAAGACTTTCCCTCCAACCTAATATTTTTGAAAGCAGTAGAAATGATACAGAATGCGGTAAACTTGAAATGACTTGAAGTCATGTATAATTCAATTAGCATTAAGAAAATATGAGCAATGTGTTAGATATTTTAAATCCAATGGATTTTAAGAAGAAAATGGATAATGGTTGACTCGGCATCGCCGGTATGACGTTCTAATTCTTAATAGATTAATTTTACTGCTTAGTCATCAGATCAGAAAACCCACCATTTTATTTTTCTAGCAATATTCTGTTTACTGAAGATCCCATTTCAAATGAGCATTCAAAATTGAGCAATACGAATAGCTTGCATAGACGGTGGAATAACAATGTGAGCCTGAAATTCCAGACTGTTTTTTGTTCTAATTTGTGCTTTTGAATTACAGAAACAGTCAATCCTGGGAGGAGTCCTTCCGCAGTGTGGGACAGATTTCTAGCTTCGCTTGGCGTAAAATAAATCGAACAAGCTTCACGTTCAGACAATCGGGCTGTGCGCCTCTTAAACAATTGTCTGACTAAATTGACTGCGTTGAAGCATCGTTTCTTAATTCTTGATAACATTGAGTCTCCAATTTTGTAATATCTGGTTTTGGTTATCTGAAATTTGAAATGTATTTATAACAGGAGTATCTTGCAAGTTTATTCTAAATGGACTCATTACTTTGAAATATGTCTCGGACAAGAAAATCTTCCGAACAATAAAAGTGACGGCTTATGTGCGAAGAAATGTGAAAAGTGTTATCTCATTGACACCACGAGATGACTGGCTAACAACTTCCGAGGCAGTGGGAAAAATGAGCAGGTTGAGTGATCAATCGGACCCCAATTAATCACATCTTACTATCATCCCTGGGATTACAACCAACAGCGTCAGTTGGTTCTTGTGAAGAAAAAACTTCTGTGGAGAAACGAGAAGAACACGAGGTAGGAACAAAAATTGAAACAGCTGCCGCTTTGGAAAAAGAGAAACAGATTAGATAAATCGAACTTTGACTTGAAAAATAATAAAAGTAGACATTTTGCCAAGTTTTGCGAATAATCCCGTTGCAAAAATAGGAAAACGTTTAGTATCGGCTATTCCAAATAATTGTTTTAATTTGATTTGAAGCGTTGATCAAATTTCTTTTTTTAAAGCTTCTGACTAAAAAAAATGAGAAAAAAAATTTCAAATCGGATTATGCCGGCACTCCAAAATTCCGAAGCCTTCGAATCTCCAAAGTTCTTATAATGGGAATATTCCAAATACCGAAACTTTGAGAAATCGAAATTTTCCACAACTCGAAAAGCATCCAAGCAACTCGAAAAGCACTTTAGCATCCATGGTTCTTGGAATCTTTAAAATTCGAATGTTTCTCAAACATTTTAACATTTTTTTTCAGATTTTATTCTCTCTGTATTTGAAGATTTTTCAGAAAATCTCTAATTTTTTTTCTCAAAATTTGTTCTCGTTGTTTAGAATTTTTTCTCAAATTAAAAAAAATTTCTCTTTAAAATTGGTGCTGACTAGTGCACTTTTTGGCTTCACAATGTTCCAGCAAAAACAGGAGAAGAGTTGATACGGCAGATGGAGGAGTTGAAAAAATCAGATAGTGGATTTGCTATTTTCAATTGGGGTGAAACATAAAAAATTTGTTTTTTTGGTTATTTCTTGACGTATGAAGTTGGTTTTTGAAATCGCACGTCGTTTGTTTATTTCCCAAAGAATTTGTTCAGAAGAAAGAAGAAAATTACGCCAGTTCGTAACAATCAATGACCGCATATTAGAAGAAGCCGATGGATTTTTCAAAGTTTACAAAAGTTTTCTTGTCTCTGCTACTAACTAAAATTTTCAGATCCGCGTCTGTCTTCTACAGTGTCACATTTGTATATAGCGTGTGTGTAGCGTCTAGCAGGTGTGCTCCCTTTTTCTCTATTTTCAAAAACATCACAAAATAAAATAAAAAACATTACTTCATATTTCTCAAATTTTCAAACAAAATATATTAAATTATTCAAAAATTAAATAATGCGAAGGTAGCCATCTCCTTTGGCATATTCCTAGTTGAAATACGACTCCAGAGTATTTCATACTTTTTGAATTTTCAAACAAAAAAATCAAATTATTCAAAAATTATATGTCAAAGTTGGCCATCTCATTCGGCATCAACGTAATTTCCTTTTTCAAATGATTCTAGAACATCTCATAGTGGAGTTTTTCTACGTTCGAGCCAGTCAAGTTTTTGAGAACCCTCCAGCAGATGGTTTCTGGAATTGGCACAAGAACTCCTGGACTTCTTGATTCTGAAAATTCTTAATTTTTGTATTGATTCTAAAACTAAGGCTGTCAAAAACAGTACCGCGGCTTTGTGGGTAAATTAGTTTTGGTATGGGTGAGATTGACGGCCCTTAAAGTTTTTAGCTGGCTGAAATTTCTTTCGAAAAAAAAACGTGAATGGTATGGTACCCATCGACCGCGGCGAAGTCCTGTTTTCGACAACTTGTAATAAAACAACTTACATTTCAATTCTTCTGGAGCCTTCTATTCTGGTACTGGGTGTTTGTTGAAAATTGAAGCGTTGCCGGAATATTAGCAATTATAATAGCCTTGAAGGGAGGGAGGGTGGGGGAGAGGTTGAATACTCAGAAAAATAGAAACATAGGATCCCAATCGGGGTTCCAAAGAAAGGCATGGATATATTCTTAGTGTGTTGTTGATGAGCATATTGATCAGATTCAGAGAAGTCAATGACTTGCCTGGACCTGATCAATCCGCTCCAACACCAGAGAGAACATCGAATGCCAATGAATTTGGGTTTCTGCTGGGGCCTTATATAGGGGCTGTCTAGGTGGGCGTGACCAGGTGGGGTTGGGCTGAAGAGGGATGGTGGGAACAAGGTGAAGAAGATGGTCTCATCTGAAGACGTTCAATGATGTGAACAAGAGATATGTGCAGGTAGATAGACCCATCGAAACGACTATAGGGCAGTAGACTCCGATTTTTAGTCTTTTTATTATGGGTCTGTCGTATCCTACAGGGTCATAAATGAAATAAAGTGTCTCAACCTTGTGATGCAGACCTGACAGACCCAAAAGTTATATTTTTCTTTGAGAAAACAGAATACATACGAAAAGGATAAGAAGAACCATGCCATCTGTATATTTTATAAACTTTTGTTGTAGAAACGCTACATTGCAGGGTGACATTCAATTAGAGAATGATATTGCAGTATTGAACAGATTTGCTATTATTTATTTTTTGGTCCGCGATTTGAGAAAAGTGTCCTTTTCTAACTAGATTCATTGAATGGAGATTTTTAAGAAAACTATTTTCCGAAGAACCTTCTAGGGGGGATTCCTATAAATTTGAAATCATATTCTGGCAACAAAATCATTCATGGGTTTATCAAGAACATTGAAAATCATAACATTTTGATGTTCTTAGAGAAAAAACGAATCGTTCAGATTTTCGGAAAAATTAGTAGATGTAAGGGAATTCTGGCGAATGAGAAGGGGAAAGAAACACCATGCAAGTGATTATAAAAGGTCAATTACGAAGCAATAACTTTAAACAGTGCCATCTATAGTTTCCAAGAAAGCAATAAGGTTGACAATATGTCGCATGAAGTTTATCATTTTCTTTGTGCCCTCCTGAAACAAAAAAAATTAAATAGGAAAGGGCTTGTCGGAATCTGGATTAAAAATTGCCATGCTATTACCTTTGTTTTCAACTCCATTCCAACTCCCAAAACTTTGCCGACAACTTCTTTCACAGCAAGAACGGTGGTTTTACATGGCATGTGATCAATCTCTGGCAAGTTTTCCTTAAAAATGCACTGTTTTGTAGGTGGATAACTTAACAAATCTTACCCAAGGACGTGCTTCCAGCAGTTCCGAGCAAGTGAGATCAAGTCGTAAGAAGAAAACCTGAAGATTTAAAAAAAAAACAGATAATCCTTTGATTATCTACACTCACATAATACTCAGATGGAAGATTCATTACCGTCGGAATGATTGGTCGAATTTCAAATCCAAATGCGTTAGCTAACGCTTCTAATTGTGTAACGTAACACGAAAAACACTTGGATGGGGTAGCGGCCATGATTGTTACGAACTGGCGCAAAAAGTGGAGCTAATTTCTAAAAAAGTACATTTTTCTGAATAACATTTGTCTGGTGAAAACATTCGTTCAGAGGAAAGGAGAGAGGGATTAAGACTAAGAACGCCTTTAAGGATGTTGTGAAACTGAGATTGATACTTAAATCTAGAGGAGGAAATGATAAAATTATATGTATTATCGAAATTTTGATGACAGTATCATCTCTAGACAATCTTCAAATTTGAGAAAAATTACCAATAAGTCGGATTGATTCATCTAATGTGGGTGATATTCCTTTTCCTACTAAGAGTTACCTGAAAAAAATAAAAAAAAACATCAATTTCTGTTTGAAGATGTGTCTACATGCCAAAAACAATCGAATATTTCATCGAACTCACGATTATAAAAACAGAGGTAAGAGACCCATAAACCTTTAGAAGTAGTATGATTTTACGGAGAATAAAAGTAATACGAGCATGCAAAACTAACAAGCATTTTTTTTGCTTTTCTGGATGTTTATATTCGATGCAAGACTAAACGTCATCTTTTAGAAATTTCAGTAATTGATTCTTCTCAAAAAAGAAAATGTATGGGATTTGCAGAAAGACGAGAACAATTTTCAAATGGCAAAATGAACAGTATAGTGGGAATCCATTTGGCAAAAAGGGCGGAAGATGGGTTTGAATGCGTTGTGTTGTAATCGAATAAATGAACTTTTATGGGAATGGGGTGGGCGTTGATGGGCTTTTACCCAAAAATGTGTATTGCTTCTGACTTGAAATTGACTGTTTTGCTTTATGCACAGCTGGAGGACTGATGGAGTACTGAGAAATGAAAAAAAAATATCTGCGTTGCAATGTCGAAACGCTCTAATTTCAGGCCACACTGTCTAGTTTTTATTTCAATTTCTGAAAAAGTTGTAATGCCAACAGATATAACCGTACACAGTCTCGTCCAAATGCATACTATAACTCTGGAAAACTTTTTAAAAATCTCCTGTCTCCCCTCTTTTGAACCCAAACAGCAAATTTCACAATATCTTTTTCGACAAAATGCACTTTCATTGTGCAGTTCAATGGAAAACTTTTTTGAATTTCTAATTTTTCTCGATTTTTCGTCTTCCAGTACTCATGCTCCATGCTTCACATTTTTTTGGCATTAGTCTTTTCATCCAATCTTGGAAGACTGCTCTTTTCATTGACACCTGACAAATGACCACATCGAAAATCTTCATTTGTTTTGTTTTCTCTTCTTTTGGCTCTTCTTTTCTCTTCCTCTCAATAAAACCTCGTATGACCTTTTGACAAATCATTTTCATATTTTTTCACTGCCGGGAATTCGAAGCTTCTTTCATTTCTTCCCTAAAATCTTTAGAAGTGAACGTTATTCTATGTGATAGGTTGTTGTTTTCAAGCCCATGGATTTTCGTTGGCGTTTCTTTTTTAAATAATACGCGCATTCATTCATTTTCCTATTCAGACACAAACGTCATACATGCCTTCTGGTATTATATTCCGTTTATGATTTCTGATAAAGCTTTTGTCCAACTTCCTCGTTCGTAGCCCACACGATCAAATATTACAGAGTTTTCCATACCATGACAATTCCAATTTCGGAGCATCCCCCACAAGGTGTTGGCATTCACCCTCCTAACAATCCATACTCATTGTTCGAAATTCCTGAGGAAGGAATAAAACTTCTACCTGAAGAAACAAGAAACCAAGATCCTCTTGTTCTCTTCTCGGCTCAGCTTCAAAACCGTCTCTATGTCACACCTGCCACTTCATTCGATACAAATATGCCTGAAACTGTCAACGTGAGTCAATTATTAAAAAAAATATAAATAAATTTTTCGTTAAAGAAAGATTACACCACTCGTTCGATGCAGTGGCAGATGTATGTTGACCAAAAAGGATGGGTGAGTTGCAGAGTAGATAATGGTTTGAACTGGCGACAGTATTCTAGAAATTGTTGGAAAAATCGGTTCAAATAACTGGAAAAATGGTGGCAAGCAGTATAATACAGGAGTACAATGTGCTAGCTCGTTTGGGACGAGAGGAAAGATGCATGGTGAGTAAAGCGAAAAAACTGAGGAACATTTTTTTCAAAAAATCCCTCCGTGAAATTTTGAAAGAGTCTATTCTGGTTTTGCTTTTAAATACTGCAATTACTCTGACGGAGTTCCACTCACACTGTGAAAATTTCGAGATCGTTCATCTCGATTCCTGAAAAACAATAAAAAACTGTAAACAGATAAAATATTGAGGATATCATTTATCAGTAGACAATATTTTGCTATCCTTTGCAGTAATCGAGGTAATTGAGCTTGAACTTTCCAAAGAGGTCTCGTTTTTGAACCAATTGATATTATTAAAGAATATGGTATTAGAACGGATTCTCAAATAAGCTTTATTGACCCATATCTAATATTTTAAAAGCAGGAACATCCTGAAATAATAATCTTTTGTTTCAGTTTGCCCTCGAGAGCATTGCTTTGCACGTCAGAGAACTTATAAGTTTGGAAACGTTCTTCTCCAGTCTTCTCGAATAAATCGGTCACAGCTTTATGATAATATTTTTTATTTGCCAGAATGTTAATTCCATTCAGTATGGAACAATAAATATTTTATGTCTAAAACAATTCAAAAATTCCAATTTTCGACACAAGAGTTGCTTAAAAAATTCTACTTTGTTGTTCTACGGATGTTTTCAATGATAACTTGTTGTGATGAAAATTTTTCCAGCGTTGTAATATCCAGAACAGTTCTTATTCTGATCGTCTCTCTATCCTCAATATGTTCTCCATTCGACATCGTAGGCTAAAAGCTCAACTAATTATTCTCTATAAATTTTTAAATGGCTCCGCCTACTTTCCTAACCTAAATGCACATGTCAAATACTCCTCCTCCCCTCGTCGCCCTATGAACTTAATTATTGTTCAGCCCTACTCCTCTGACTATTTTTCTTCAATTGTTCCCCTGTGGAACGCCATCACTTCCCAAGTTACCCGATTTCTCCTACCTTCCAAGTTTGAATCCTTAATTTCTTCCAGTATTACCCGTTATTGATATATTTGCTCCCCTATTTTTCTTTTTCTACCGGTTACATCTTTCCTGTGTCAAATATCTAAATTATCCCGTTTCCCCTCTCCTACTCAGGTCGGCCTCGTGAAGGGCATTTTTTCTGAGTCTTTCATGTCCTGCCCTCTAATGTTTTATTACACCTGATCAATAAACAAATTAAATTAAAAAAGGAGTACTCTACTATAAGCAAAATGTTGAGCTAGCTATAACTTATTTTAGTACAGTACTAATGCAATAGTGTGCTAATATGGTCATTAATAACACTACCTGAACCCTCCAATCTGCGAATATACTCACAACTTATATTTCTTTCTGTTCAATGCGTATACGCAAAACTCGATTTGTACCTGCCGTTGCGCTCCGGATACGTACTGCAGGCCAAATTTTTGTCATCTCCTTGGAGCAAATTTGTGTTGACCACCGCTATTTCGTAATGCTCTATACCATCCCTTGCATCTTTTAAATAGAAACACGTCCAAAAATTTTGAGGAAACCAGGAGAAAATAGAAAGTGGATGCTAATAATGTCATCAAGAACATTTCATTTAACATGAAGAGCCTATTTGAAATTGAAAAAGGTGTGGAGAAAGAACGGTGTATGTGTGTGTGCGTTATTCTCCGTTTCCCGTTCTCCCCTCTGGCAAGATATGCTCAGCACAAATTGCCAGTCTTCAAACTGCGAATATATTATATTCACGACTGGTCCTCTTTCTGTTTCTCTCTTTCTGAGCAATGTGTGAACGCAAAGCTCGATTAGTATCACTAGCATCCAGCATAGGCAGTGTTCGATCTGGTTGTGTCTAAACAAGCGAATTCTCTTCATTGCAAACGTTTGTATATCAATTATTCTCTTTTTTTTCAATAAATAAAACACTTTTTTATGACCCGGTATCTCAAAAAGAAAAAGATCAAAATCTTCTAAACCGGCCTCACACATGACTAAAAGATCAAATTGAGAATTCCAGAAGATCAATTCACACAAATTGTCTCTTTCCGTAGAATGAAGAGCACAAAAAACTTGTCACAAATATCTATTAACCTCTTCTAGTCCTGAGCAAAGCTCTCCCAAAACATCAATGGAAGCTATTTTCAATGAAACAATATACACAAGAATCAGAAGATCAAAAGATCTACTTGAGATTCATTATTTCTTCTGAACTCCGCACTTGCAAAGACAAAAGACGGCTTAATCCGATACAAAAAAGTGTACGCCCATCAATATCGTACAACTCTATCATGAGTGAATTCATGAATAGAGATGATGAATCTATCGGAAACTGTTACGTTCAAGTCTTTACATGTCTAGTAATCTGCGTAGCTCGTTGAGCTCATTCTAGATGTATCCACAGAGACAAATATCAAGTGTAGAATCATCTCTACCACACCTGATGCCTCCAAGGCCACATACTCTGATAATCCCACCTAGTGCAGATTTTTCGAGTGGCTCGCCAAGGAAGATATCATAATCCACGAATCATCAGATACTCTGACTGGATTCTCGAAAAGATTCTCCTCGAATTCCAATCTCCTCGCAGTATTCTAGTAAAAACGGAAACGATAAACAACAGTCACCCACTTACTCCTCATTCCAGAAGTCCTAACAGAATGGTAAACTTCAGTAGCCCTGTAGCCTTCAGTACTACTGTAGACTTCAGCACTCCTGAAATACCTACCATCTGGTTACCGTACGATCCTTACCGATCGAACGCGGAAACCCGGACCTTTCTACAAAAGTGGATGAAACTGGAAAAAAGATCGAGAAAGCTTGGATACCTGGGTATCTACCACAACTTCGGAAATCGAAGCACAAAACGAAAATGCTTATCTCGGAAAACAAAATTTATACAAGTGGTGTTAATCATCGCAAATCTCGACAGAAGAATTGAATGACCTCTTGGAATCATTAACAACGTCTTCGAATCAAAAGACAGATCCCGAATGATGAAACGTGCACAGGAATGCCCGAAATAATTGTCCACTAATTCATAACTAGTTGGAAATCGACTCGTTTGAACCAGAAGTTGTTCAAACGAGAACAAAAATACGGACGAAGATCCACAATATCAGTCGACCATCCTCCACAATCTATCAGCGTTGATTTTCAAAAATAGAGTATGCTCCTAAACCATTCAATGATCTCAAGAGAAATCAAGTATATCTGATCTACCAACTAAAAGAGAGCGTGATACTGAAGAGAAATGATTTATGACTCTCAAGATCCTGTTCCGGATCCAAGGCAGAGACAACAGTGATACAAACTGCTAACCAATTGATGGAATCCAAAAAAAGGCTCTCCCAGACAGATGAGCTTGAGAGTACCTTACAAGAAAGCAGAAGCGCTGAACATCAATCAAGTCCATAGCGTTGTAGTCACCTCTTTGTCTGGGCCCCGCCCCCCAATGTTGTCAACTTTTCCCATTGTCTTGGGACTATGACAACCTGAAAGCGAGATAACCCAGAGTCTCCCGATTTTCCCCATAAAATCTCTCTGGATTATCCACTTTAATCGGGTCATGTTCATTCCCCTTCTTATCTCTCTTCGTTCTCTAATTACAAGTACATTGTTTCAATCAAATAATATTAATTTTATTCGAATACACGCCGCTCGGCACTGGCGCCCGCCGCCCGTCGTTACTCAGTCTTCGCTGCGGCAAAGCGAGTGTTCGTATCTCACCAAGAGCTGACCGATTGCAGTCCCGTTTTAACCTTTTATAACCTTTCAGCTAGTTTTCTACGTTTGCCATCGTTTTGGTTTGTTAGCACCAGTTTTAGAAGGCAGCAAGGTTTCCTCCGGTAGCTCCAAGGAGGTTTTAGCCCTACACCTTTACTTCCTTTCTGTTCTTGCTTTCTTTTCCCAATTCCTTTGTCTTTGCCGTTTATTCAAATCCCTTTCCGTCAATAAACTTGGATTTGAATACTTTGTGTACTGTTATTTCCTTTGCACCGCTTATCTTACACTTGGGGGGAATTGGGGGTCATTTCAGGTTGCTATCCTTCCTGGTGATACATGTCACTTGTATTCACATATATGGTGGAAATGGTTAGAAACTATTTTTCTACATGTGCCTTATTCTGAATTATTTCAGAATCGAATGTTCCTTGACCGCATACATGTCGGTGTGATTTTTATCACAAATCGTTTACTACTGGTTCTCTTGTCGATTTTCAACATTACGAATGAGTTCTTTCGCTTTTCGTGTCACGAGTAGAAAAATAGCTAAAATCGATATTTCACGGATCTGTCCGTCTAATCGCTCTGGATGAATCTGACAGGAGTCACAATTCGTCTTTTCATCTCGCAGAGTATTCTTTTTTGAGGTGATTGAGGTTCTTTCGGGAGATGCCGCTCCGTCAGGGTTAGATCAACCATGGGTTTTACTAAGAATCTGGAAATATGGTTCTAGTTTTGTAGATGTGGCACTAAACTATATTTGAGAACCAGTCCACTGTTACTGACTTGATGTCTTCTGTATTCTACAATTTCTAGAAACCTTTCCGGTCTGATTGAGTTGGCATATCTCTCTCAGACACATCTGGTCATGGACGAAAATCCTAATCGTGAAATCTCATCGCTCATCTTTCACAACTGAGCCGAATTCACTTATGGAATTATAGATTTTCTGTTTGCGAAGCGAAAACTCATGATGATCGAGCCTTCTTTGTTGTGCACAGTTTTTCAGCTTAGTCTATGTCTATAAATTTTTGTTGTAATGGTATGTCTTGCTAAAATTATTTTTGTCACTGTGAAGCTACTCGATCGGATACATCTAACAAAAATGACGGCTATTTGCTCATCATTACGACTTCTTCTGAATCGTCTTGATGTATCACGACTTTGTCAACATTCACTGGCTTCTAACACTCTTGGTTGTGCTCGTGTCTTTCTTGTTTTCTTTCTTTCGAACAATTTTTCTTCTACGTGACTTTTTTCCGACGACTTCACTGAAGCTATGACTCACTTCGACGACTACAAGGACCGACGACTACGTTGAATCAGAGAAAATCAGAAGGTTTCCCGCCTTCATTCAAGAAGACACTTTTTAAGAACACAATTGATTTGACAACAATATTTTTATTATGCTGAAAATTCGACAATTTTATGAGGGAATTTCGAGAGAGAAGAAATCGATAATTAGTCATCAATTCGGGGCGTTGACTCCGTGACAAATGTGCTCTTGGAGCTACTTCAGCTATTCTGACTCCACATTCTTCCGTTATTTTTGTTTACCGTCGTTGGATTGGAATCCATCGGACTGACACGGTTTTTCGATGTGATACCCATTCTGTAACAAAATCACGTTCGTTTTTATCGAATTTCAAAGATTCCACTCACTAAAAATGTCTCCGCTCTGCTGGAGCTACAGATGTTTCGCTTCGATCTTTTTGAACAGCGACGTCTCCAGCGATTCTCTTCACTCCCGCATTCGGCTCGCTCGGAGCTACCTTCCACGTCTTCAACCTTCTCTCCAGCCTCTTGTGGCTACCTGGCTCTGACTTCTTGGTCTTCCCATCGCGTTGACGTTGTGGAGCTACCGAATTCTCCAACCTGGAAAAATTCCGAATTTAACTTGAGGCGGTAGAGCGTGTCTAACTATGCGACAGAGAATTTTACAATTTTCAGTTAGAAGCAGTTATTTTCAGACTTTCAGCAAGATTTTAAGAGTTTTCATCTTCAGATTTACTAGGGGCCTTTAAGGGCACATACAAGAATTTTCCATCGCTTTGCCTTCGTTTACCGATCTATTGAATTTTTTCGAAAATTTTCAAAAGTAAACGTCAGAGAAATTTCAGCTTTTTCTCGACTAATTGTTGGCTCCGAGCCACAAGAAGTGTATAATTTCCGTTTTTGAGCGGAATCAATCGATTTTTAGACGGGAAAATAATTTTTTGACCTTTTCGTAGTGCAAAATTTCCGGCGACTCCGTTTTTTTGGGTCAAATTCTCAGTCTTCGAGCATTTTGGGACTAGAAGCTGAGTTGTTCAAGCACAATGCTTGACCACGCGTTCACTCAGTTAGCGAAACGCCATGAAAACTTCGAATTTCTGAAGATTTTTAGGCCAAACGATTTTTTTAGACTACTGAGGCCCTTTTCGTACTAAATAGTCAATTTTTATCACAAATCAGTAAAACTCACTTTTATCGATTCTTTGTCGATTGATCCGTCGATTTTTCCAAGTGATCGGTAGAAATTGGGTGAGAGCAGTGACGAATTTCCGAGAGTGCACTCTCTCGCTGTCTGCGGTTGTGCGTCGCAGTGTTCACACCAAATGCTCATTTCTCAGAGACGCAGGAATCGTTGTCCTAGAACGCGTCAGTGGCTGCTGAGAAGGGAGAGGAGAGACGCAGCGACCAACATGCGTCTCTAACTTTGATGTGCCTTCAAACACACATATGTGGAATATTGATTTCCGAGGTAGTCTCTTCGACTTTTTTCTAATCTTCGACTTTTTTCTAAATCGTCGTTCGACCAAATATCGAACTCGGCATTCTTGCATCGTTTCTTCAGTTCGTCGAGTCCTTTCTTCCCGTCTTCTTCACCTCCTTTTCTATTTTCCCGTCAAACTGCTTCTCGTTGATCAATTTGTGTGTGCCCCCTGAATTAAAATAAATTTTAATACATTTCCAACAAAAATACAAAAAAATGCGAAAAAAGAAAGAAAACAAGCGAAAACAAGACATTTTTCATTAAAAAAGGAAGGAAAAACATCTGCGAAATTTCTCTGCATATCCTCTCTGTGTGTTACTAGCCGCGTCGCGGAACCGCAGCACGGTCAAGAGAACTGAGACAAATTTGATCGCATGTGCGCTGTTGCAACCCCTTGCTCGGAGAGTTAAAGAATGGCATTTTTGGCTAAAACAATCAATTTCAGTTTCTCGCAAATTTTCTTTTACCCTTTCTTTTTCTCTATGTGCAGCTTTTACTTTGGTGTAGTTTCAAACTCTCTTCGTATGTGAAATATTGTTTTTCAAGGTTTTCTTTTAGCCTTCTCTCTTTTTTAATCATTCTCCAACCAAAAATTTTAAACTTTCAGAGAACTGACACAACAGACAAAATGGACAATAAAGAAAAGGAATCGGAGGATGATGACAACATATTGGAAATCTTAAAACTTTCAACTGCTTGTGTGGGAAAGATCATCAATTCAATGGAGTTTACCGACGCGTGAGTTGTTAATTTCAAATATTTTAATAACTTCAAAAATTTAGAAGCTTACAATCAGTTAGGGAAAACCAGGGGCTGTATTCATGAACATTTACTTTTATAAATCATTTACTCTCAAAAAACAACAAAAAAACGTGAAAATTTAAGAGAAATCATTTACTTTTTGGTAAATACCCCTCTTTTTGGTAAATAGGGGTACTAATTTCGTTTGCTGTTTACAACCACTTCTTGACACTTTTCATTCCAAAAAAGTTATGTATGGAAAGAGTAGTATTGTAACATCAATATTAGTTAACTTTAAACACATATCTCGTTTCGGTTCAACTCAAAATTATGACTTTTGATACAAATTACATGAATGAATCGAGCATTCAATTTAAAGTAATATGTCAAAAAATGAACATTTTTCAGTTTGAAGTAGTTGAGAAATTTTAGTTCAAAGTCGTTTCCCTATCTAAAAAACAGGAAAATAATTTACAAATGAGAAAAAGATTTTCAGTACATTTTCACGCTTCCATTTACCTTTTGGTAAATAATTCAGTTGATTTTTTGAGAGTAAATGATTTACAAAAGTAAATTTCATAAATACGTCTTCAGATTCTAATCTAGATGAAAACTTCAATTTTAATTTTTGTTCAGGTTCACCCTCTCGTCACTCTCGAACCGCTCCAAAAACTGTGTTCGAAGTGCAAACTATCAAATAGCTGGTATGAAGTTCGAATTTTGCAATTCCGAAGACGACGACAGGATCTTATTGGCACGAACAACACACGCCCTTGCTGATTCAATAATAGAGCCACGGGACTCTCATCCACAACGGTGGTCAATATTCTTGCCTAAGCGAGAAGTGATGGGAATACTTACATACCGCTACAAAGATTTCAATCTGGTAGGCCGTACAAATGTAGATTGCAAGGAATTGGCCACCAACCATTTGATGAACGTGTTTAAAACTGATAAGACATACGTCACAATCAATCAAACTATCAAGAATCTGCCGGATTTTTTTCTGTGGAAATATGTGAAGAAATTCAAGTGTGTTGAGATTGTACCAAAAGAGAGAGCTGACACTCTGAACATAACAACTGATGACATTAACTTTGTTTTGGGAACAGTCAAATCGCTCAACTATCGCTTTAGCGTGAACATAAACGAAAAAGTGTTCAAACTCAAAAACTCGATTTATGATGAATGTGAACTTCTTTGTTTTGATGACGCGCATTGGTTGGATACAGAAAATCTACTCACCCATACACCATTACTGAAGAAGCTCCGTTTGAATGGAATACACGGAAAGCAAATCAACACAGTTCTCAAACACATGATTCGCGGTGATTCAAGTAAACTTGTTGAGTTCAGCACATTCGCCGGTTATCGATTTGTAGAGAACGATATTTTCGACGGAATTGAAACAAAAATGTGAGTTTTGGACCGATTCACTTTGGAACACGCCTTTCTATTTTCAGTGAGAATATACAAAACAGAAAAACAACAGATGGGCGGTTCCAAATATCTTATTGTACAAGTATGCGCCGGGTTCGTTGCATAGAATCATCGATGTTTAACATGTTTTAGTATCTTCTTTATGTTATTTTTGAGTGGAAAAATATTTGTGGAAAATCAACATAACTAGCAAAAATATTCGTAAATACTTTTTCTCGTACCTTCATTTTGATTAACACTCTCCAATTGTATTACGCTTTCAATTATGATGCCTCTTCAATTATAATGTACGTTTCTTGATATTTCGTGTTTTCCTGTTCTCAGATGTTCCAATTTTGTTTGTTCGAAGAATTTGTTCAGGTTGTTTCAACTTTCTTGTAAAAAGCTCAACAGTGAAGCGAAAAAATTCTGAAATTTTGTCTCACATGACATGATTTTCGAAGTGATCACCAAAGCCTCCTCCGTTCAATAATACCTATCGTTTCTCTCTTCTCACCTAACCAAAAGTCAACAGCTATTGTTTAATGTGTATTTTTCTTATGTTTTCAATTGTTTCACACTTCAAGACTTATTCATATTCCAACGATTTTCTTTTTTAAGAAATCAAAAAAAAACTTTTCTAAATAAATGTTTCTGTGAATTTTCAATCTTGAATATTGAAGTTTTTGTTAATTTTTCTCTCCAGAATTTATTGTCGGAATTTCATATGACCGGATGTATGTTGCGCTGCTTTTTCGGCCACTAAAAGTAAACCATTTGATTAGAATCCTGTTTTCAGAAGTTAACCGATATCTCAAAATTATGGCTCGGGCACGGTGTTGCGTCTGGTAACCGAGAGCCAGCGCGCTTTGTCGCATTTCAAAAAGTTGCACACCAGTGATCAATTCGAAAAATATAAAAATTCCCTTTTTTCAGTTTTAACCGATATTCGGAAAGATTTCGGTCTCATGTTAATAAGATCGCAATTGGATAGCAACAAGAATGCAGACAAAATTGCATTTTCTTCATAAAAGGAATTAACAGTGTGTTGTTGGAGAGGAAACTGATAGTTTGGAAAAACATTCAAATTAAATATTCAGATTGAACAACTTCAATTAGTAATTACAAAGGCGGAGTTGTGGATTGTTCGAGAGTCGACGAGCACTGGAGTGAACTTTTTTCTGAAAAATCGAGTCTCAATTACGGTATGATTAACTGTGTGGAAAGATAAGGGAAAAAAATGACCTGGAAACAATTCCTGTATTTCGGGTGCAGTTGTTGTCGTCCTTGTTGATTCTTGTTAATATTTTATTGATCTGAAACTAACAAATATTATGCTGAAATATTAAACGGTGTTGCCAAACTGGGCCTGCAGTCTTTGAATAATCTATACTCCTAGACAAATCACCTAGCTAACGTTTAGACATAAACAATATTCGAGTGACCATCGAAAATCCTCAAAACGAGTTGCTGCTCAATGCTCGAATTGCTGAATTAGAAGAGGAGTTGAGGCAGAAGAGGGAGCGAAAACTATAATATTGTGGGTAGATCAGCTGCTTACACAACAAGTACTAGATAAAGACGAGGATATTGTTGAAGAGGAATGTAGGAATCGTGACGGTGGATGGAAATGTGTGGATGGCAACAGCTAAGGTTCAGAGAAACATTAGTAAAAATATTAGGTTTCGATTTGACAGTGGGAATCAAGGCGTTGGAGCAAAAACAAAAGAAAGTGGAGAGCTCGCATGACCGGAAACGATTGAGAGAGCATTGGCCCAACTATGTCTCATTTTAAACAGTTTTTGATGGGAGGTTGAGAGAAATCACAAAACTTTGTGTGCCTAGATTGATGTCAGCTAAAGAAATCGAGGATTAGAGTGAGCAGATTGAAAAAAGACCAATCAATTAAGACTCAAAGGTAACTAGGATTTTCAGAAAGTCATCTGATTTCAATAGGAGCAGCTTAAACTAAACGACATATTGACGCTGAAACTGCATATTCTATTGGAGCACGTTGTCCATTTCGTGCATTCTCATAAAACATGTTCGAAGATTCAACGAACAAGAACTGAAGGCTCTACATGCGGTTGTCGACAGTCTTTCTAACAAACTCGATTCGACGAGCAACTATCAGGCTAATTAATAGATTTTTTGAATTTTTCCCAGTAACCAACCTTCAACTCGATTCCATTCTTTTTTCAACTTTCGACTCCTTCATTTTCTTCTAGCCGCGTTTCCCAGTCTGTGTTGAAAATAAGCATTTTCAAAGTCCACAAGTGCATCGTCGATCGTTGGCTTTGATACTGTGGTACTGTATAACATGGATGCAGCAAAGAATTAGTGATTTTTGAGTTAAAATCTTTTAATAAAATTTTAATAATTTTCTCTTGAGCCATGCGAGGGTGAACGAGCAACATGCACGGCAATGGGACAATGCGAAGTCGGTTGGCATGGCTTAAGAACGTGGTCGCGTCGTTCGACCAAATACTGCCGTTTCTCGCAAAAGTCGTTGTACTGGACTGTTCGTGACAGAACCAACACATTCTCCACAGCAGATCGAACTCGCCATTCTTGCATCGTTTCTTCAGTTCGTCGAGTCCTTTCTTCCCGTCTTCTTCACCTTCTTTTCTATTTTCCCGTCAAACTCCTTCTCGTTGATCAATTTGTGTGTGCCCCCTGAATTAAAATAAATTTTAATACATTTCCAACAAAAAATACAAAAAATGCGAGAGGAGAAAGAAAACAATTTCAAAAAAATCAATTTCAGTTTCTCGCAAATTTTCTGTCAACCTTTCTTTTTCTCTATGTGCAGCTTTTACTTTGGTGTAGTTTCAAACTCTCTTCGTATGTGAAATATTTTTTTTCAAAGTTTTCTTTTAGCCTTCTCTTTTTTTTAATCATTCTCCTACCAAAAAATTTAAACTTTCAGAGAACTGACACAACAGACAAAATGGACAATGAAGAAAAGGAATCGGAGGATGATGACAACATATTGGAAATCTTAAAACTTTCAACTGCTTGTGTGGGAAAAATTATCAATTTGATGGAGTTTACCGACGCGTGAGTTATTAATTTCAATTTTTTTTATAGATTTATAGATTTAGAAACTCATATTTGATTAGGGAAAATTAGCTGATTCAATTCTAGATGATCGATTCCAATTTGAGATTCTAGAAAACCTCAGACGGCTTCGACTCTAGACCTTTGCAAAAAATTTTTTCCAAAAATCTGTATACAATCCATAGAAATAAAAAAGAGAAATTCTGGACCTTCGGGAAATATTTGATTCTAACAGCCAACAGACTGCTACTGGACCTGAATTTAAATTTTCAGGTTCACCCTCTCGTCACTCTCGAATCGCTCCAAAACCTGTGTAAAAATGCAAACTATCGAATAGCTGAGATGAAGTTTCAATTTTGCAAATCCGTAGAAGACGACAGGATTATAATGTCACGAACAACAGATGAGAATTACTTTTCATTATTACCGTCACGGGACTGTTTTCCACGCTGGTTCTCAAGAAAGGCACTCGATCCCGTCGCTGTGAGCCAGACATGGGCGGAATAAAAATTTTGAAAATCCGGAATAAGGAATAAGGAAGAAGGAATGAAATTTAAAAATCAGGAATAAGGAATAAGGATTAAAGAATAACAATTTTAAAATCCGGAATAAGGAATAAGGAATAAGGAATGAAAAATTTAAAATCCGGAATAAGGAATAAGGAATAAGGAATAGAAAAAACACCCGGAATAAGGAATAAAGAATAAGGAATAAGGAAGGAAAGAATTTCCGAACGAAGGAAGGTTTCTTTTTGTCTTGAAAAACACTGTTTATTTTAAAACACGAACAACGAAGAGAGAACTCACAAACCGAGACACAAACAAGAAAAATGAAGAGGGAACTCTCAAACTAGAATTAAAAAACTAAAAAACAAAATCATAATTGTGAATTATCAGTTGTCCAGGCCATAATTTTTCAAATTGAGTGAACAAAAAGTTAATTTGCCAACAGTGTCGTTATTCAATCGGCTTCTTTTCGGGGTAAAGATGATGCTCGACTGGTAATCGGTTTCTAACCAGTTTCGGGCAATTTTCCAACCAGATTCGAGTAAAATTCCAATCAGATTCGGAAAGTTTTTATTTTCCGACCAGATCGGGTGATTTTCTGACCAGATCCGACCGAGAAAGCTAATTTTCCAACCTGATTCGGACAATTTTCTAACCAGATCTAGCCATTTCTGCTGCGGAATTTTCCCGAATCTGGTTGGAAACCGATTACCAGGGATACACTCGTTTTCTGTTCTGACGAAGCATTCGTCAAACTTTCTCCGTTTTTTAGACATTTTTTCTGAAGTATTTAGTAATTGTAAAAACCTAATTTATTTCGAAAAAAACACTGAGAAAAACGCATAACTTTTCCAAGATTTCCAAAAAAAAAATTTTACGAAAAACGGTGCAAAGGTGCTCCGTTGAGCAAAATTTTACGCGGCAATTTAGAGCGTTCAAATTTTTTTCCCAGTTTTGAGATAGAAAAATTTTTAAATTTTTGAAGAGGAATAACAAAAAAAATCAGGAATAAGGAATAAGGAATAACAATTTTAAAATCAGGAATAAGGAATAAGGAATAAGGAATAGAAAAAACACCCGGAATAAGGAATAAGGAATAAGGAATAAGGAATTCCGCTCATGTCTGCTGTGAACCCAGCGGGAATATTTACGTACCTCTACAAAAATTTTGATCTCGTTGGCCATGAAGCTGTAGATTGCAAGGAATTGGTCACCAACCCTTTAATGAGCGTATTCAAAATTGATAGAACATACGTCACAATCAATCAAACTATAAAAAAATCTGACGAATTGGTTTCTGTGGAAATATGTGAAGAAATTCAAGTGTGTTGAGATTGTACCAAAAGAGAGAGCTGACACTCTGAACATAACAACTGATGACATTAACTTTATTCTGGGAACAGTCAAATCGCTCAATTATCGCTTTTGCGTGAACATCAACGGAAAAGTGTTCAAACTCAAAAACTCGATTTATGATGAATGTGAACTTCTTTGTTTCGAGAATGCGCATTGATACGGAAAATCTACTATTTCATACACCATTCCTGAGGGCGCTCTATTTGCATGGAATATCCGTGGATCAAGTCTGTTCTCAAACAAATTATTCGCGGCGATTCAAGTAAACTCATTAAGTTCAGGGCATCATATGATCGACTTGCACAGAACGATATTTTCGACGGAATTGAAACAATAAAGTGAGTTTTGGACCGATTCATTTTGGAATACACCTCCCTATTTTCAGTGAAAATGACGAAGACAGGAAAACAACAGATGGGAGATTTATGATAACTCGTCTTAAACCTATCTGCGCAGTCGGATGCAGTAGACTCATCGATAATTAACATTTTCAGTATCACCTTCATGTTATTTTTAAGCGAATTCTTTGAAAATCAAAATATTTAGTAACAAAATGCATAAATGTTTTTTCTCGTGCATTTCTTTCACTCTCCAATTGTGTTGCGCTTCCAATTATGATCCCTTTTCAATTATATTGTCTGTCCCTCGGTATTGCTCGTCCTCCTGTTCTTCAGATTTTCCAATTTGAGTTTTGTTTTTGTTTGGTCGTAGTGTTTATTCAGGTTGTCTTAATTTTCCAGTAAGATACTCACCTTTGTACAAAAAATATGAAATTTCATCTACAATCACTTTTTATCCGAGTATTCTTTGCGGGAGACAAGATTTCATGATACGAGTATAGTTTTTGGCTTTCTTAGCTCAATTTGATGCAATATTAATTTTTTGTAGAAAATACTGCACACTGCTACAAAAAAGAGTCGATATTCAGCGAGTGATTGTTTGAAAATCGTTTTGCAGACCATATTCGAGTTGCACCAATCATTGAATATAGCATGAGACGACAGGCAAATATATTTTTGTTTCATTTTTAAAACAATTCGAAATGCAAGCAAAGATGGGAATCGGTAGTGGTACAACCCGTAAATGTTAACTAGACTACACTTAGTTACTACAACGCAATTTGTCCTGATAGTGATTTATATGTGGGGGGAAAACAATAAAACCGTTCTAAAATAGACAAGAAATCCGGACTGGGGAGGAGGCAATAACACGTGCGTGTGGTTTGAAAAGGCACTCAAATGAGACAATGATGTGTGTGGCGGGAGAAAAAGAAGTTAATTTGACAATGATGAATTGTTGACGTCAACGTCGTTAGTGAAAAAAATTAGTTAATTTAACATGCTACTAGTGAGAAGAGAGGTAAGTTAATTATCCGTAAGTAGGGAACCCTCAAAATAGAAAGTGATATTTGAAAGAAAAATGTAGGTTAATTTAAGAGCAATTTGTGGGATGTGACTCAAAGCTTCACGAGGGAAGCTGTGTCTACAAGCTTATTTTTAATCGTTGCATCTGGCTCGTTCTCGATATTTTCAGCGCTAGCATCTGAAAACAATTCTTAATTATTATTTTTATGAAAAATGTTGATTTACCGAAGGTTTCATCCTCCTCCTCCTCCTCGTCGACAAAAACATCTTCAGGGAGATCTTCAAGGGAGTTGTAGCCGGAAACTGATTTGTCCACTGAAAAGAAAGGTTTCAAAGAATTGTTCAAAACAAATAACCACTTACAGTCCAGTGCAACTTCCACATCTTCGTTCTTGACAACTTCCGAGACCGATGTATATCTGGAGAGGCGGTTGGCATATCTCTCCTGTTGCTTTGCGACAAGCTTTGGTGGAACCTTGGCTCGCTTGAGACCTCCATCCCATTCCAAATCGACAAGTCCTCCCTTGTTAGAAATTTCCTTCTTGACCCGATTGGCAAATTCGACAGCATCTTCACCGGCTCTCTTGGTCATTGGTGGCAGATACCAGACGTTGCAGATGATCGCCCAGGATGTCATCATTCGCATGATGTATCCACACCACGATTGTTCAGAGCTGTTCCAGAATGCGTCACCGAATCGGGAGTCGTACTTCATGGCGATGGGATAAATGGTAGTTTCTATCTAAAAACATTTTTTGATTTTTTAATCGACTTTCTTTGATAGTCACCTCAAAGGATCCCTTTTTAAACATCATCACAGAAGTGTTGTTAATACACGTCCCCTCCGGGAAGATCAAAATCGGAAGCTTTTCAGGGTCCTGGCAATGTTGGCGGAGCTTTTGAGCGACAATGTAGCGATCTTTAGCTTCACTCCTCTCGAACCAAATGTGGCTCGATGCACGAGAAAGTGCTCGTTGTACAATGCCAAGCAGACCATCATGCTTCTGTCCAATCAGTGCGTAGACGTTGTCGATAGAAAGGATAAGCGCGTCGATTGGGGATGTGTGGTTGGCGACACAGATTCCTTGTCTCTCGGCTTTGTAGTGTTCATCGTGGAAGTAAACTACGGCTGTGAGACTTCTGGAGAGGATCCGGTAGCAGATGAGCATGCACTTATGGTTGAGTTTCCTGAAAAATAAGAGATTGTCTTTAATTAATGAGAATCTTGATTTAACGTTTAGTACTCGGTGGTCGCCGGCAACTTCTGACAGAAGAATTCTTATTTTTTCGATTAGAGCGCTGCTAATAAGTTGTTTCATACTGTCTACTGAGCAGTTTGACAGTCTGTAACTTCCGCTCAATGTTTTCCATGGCATGTTATACAGCCTTGATTGGGCTAAGCAGATTCGCAAATTAGTCATCCGCTCTAAGAACCGTCCAAAAACCACTTTTTTAAAAGTAGAAGTTGCCGACAACCGAGTATTAACACTATTAACACTGAACTTTGACTCACTTCTTCCATGATCCAACTGGCACAAGACCAATAAGCGCGGTGGAGCTGATGAGGAAGACGAGTCCGATGCAGAAGATTGTGAAGCGGAGTGGGAACATGACACAGTAGCGGAACAAGAACCCAATGATCCAGAGAGCACTCAACTTCCAGCTGAAAAAATGAAACGGCGCTGCTAATCGGGTTATTGTTTACTCACTTGACGAACTGATAAAATTTAATGCTTGTTCTGGTCAACATGTTCCAGCTCACCAACTGCTCGGCCTCGAAGCGACTGGTCACTTCGTCCTCGATAATAGCTTCCATGCCAGCTTTCACAAAGTCCACCGAATCCCGAATCGCAGCCCATCCTCGAGATCTGACGAACACCTCGTCTGGAATGTCGTCGGCAAAGTTGTCGTCCAAATAGATTTGAGTTTCACGTTTGATGATTCCCACTGGAAAAAAATGTGATTAGTATTAATTGACAGTCATTGTCTTAGTTAATCAAATCAAATAGGCAGATTACTGGGCAGAGAAATTCGTTTAATTGTTTTCCTTTTTGGTAACCAAAAAATGAATGGAAGCGGAACATAACCAAAAAAGCGTGGTATCACCGGCCAAAAAAGAACGAAACAAAATTAAAATGTCTTTTTTTCAATAAACGAGAAGAGACGTCTTTTCTATCTCTATTCTATCTTCTACCAGAAATCTACCACAACATACATGTGCTGCTTTCCGATGACCTCCGATTACGAAGATTGCAGCACGAACCGACGGAAGCGAGACCTGAAAACAAAATACCCAACCTGAGAGACAAAACACAATATTGAAAAATAATAAGAGAAATAGACATGCTAAGCATTCATGCTCTTATAGGAGTTTCAGATTTTTTTCTAAATTCAATTGTTGAATTTCAGGACTCACTGGTGGTGGACCCGAATTTCCTCTTCAGGCAAGACTCATCGCCATCTGAGTCCACAGATGGAAAGTCTTCTCCAGAATCGTGGCTTTCAGTCTCACTACGAATATCCAATTCGTCATCCGTAATCGGCTCGGTGGCCTCGAATCTCGGGGTTTCCAAACTTCTCAAGTCATCGTGATCCTCGAATTCCTGCTCAGCAAGCTTATTGATGAAGAATGGAGAATTCACGTTGCTCTCTTTCCTCTTGATTTTCTCAGTCGTTTTGATTTGGCGCGCACCCCACTGGAAACGGATAAATTTAGATTAGATTAGATATTTCTCCGTTTTTTACTATTCTTGTGTTACCTATCTGACCAGACCTTTTCTGCATCAGACCATTTTTTGTGACATGTCGGAATGTTTGAACGTTGTAAAGATAAGACAACGGTAGGTTCGTGATTAACGAGATCACTTTTGATCTTCATTCTTATTCTCGGCGAAACGAAAAACAATAAATCTTACCTCGAAGATGTGAATGAGAGTGTCGACGTACATCTGCCGCAACCCAAGCGATTTTCCAAACGTGGCCAGTATGATGCATAGCAGAACCGTCAATGCCACTGGTGGGAAGGCGAATGTTGTAAAAAGAAAGAGCAGATGCTCAATTCCGAGCATTTTTGTGTGGTAGCTGAATTTGAGTTCCTATTCTTGGAGTGGATCCTGAAAACAAGTCATTTAAAGTTTAGAGAAACTTTCAAGTGTTGGTTGAAAGAGTGAAAAAGAGTGATAAGTCTCTGAAAATGTAAAATGTTTCAGCGACAGGAACCGGGACAGGAATGACCGGACAGAAACCGAAACACGAAAAAAAAGTGTCATTCAAAAAACACCCGCGTGGTTTGATAAGGACTGTTTGTCGGGAAAGTGCAAAAGTGGGAGTGGTGCGAATAGGTTAGGGTCACTAACCAACCAGACTCTTGTTATAGGGAAAACTAGCTAACTAATAGGAACAATATCTTCTTGAAATGACATTAACCTAATCTTCCTACAGTTTGCAACCAATAAATTAGAAAAAAAGATTACTGCAAACGCTGTCAATTTTACGTCATTCTGACGAATTTTGAGAGAATAAAACGAGAGAAAGGAATCACCTCAAAGTGGAACGAGTAGGTCGAAATTAACAGTTGTTCTTTTTCCGTCGCTTTAGTGTAAAGCGAGCAAGCCGGAGAAACATGATTTTGGTCTTTGAAGTATCACGCGTGTCGGAAAAAAAGAAGAAAAAAAGTAGCAAAAAACAACAAAAAATTGTTGTCTCGAGACCGAAAAGAAACGGTAATTTGTGATGTGCTTCGAAGAAGAAGAAGAAGAAGAAAGTGTTGCTTGCCATTTCTGGGCGGCGGCGAAAGAGAAGAAGACGCACACGGTGGCCATCAGAAGCAAAACTAGAGAAAAACAGTGGAACGACTCTAACCTAATATACTGCGAATGAACTTGTATTTGTTCTATAGAAGACTAAAAATTGAGAGAAAATGAAAATTGTTTGTTTTTCGTAATGCAACGTTGGCTAAAAAGCGTTACGAAATCTTTCTTTTCCAAGAAAAATTGTCGCTGATTGGCTGAATTTGAAAAAAAAACATTATCTTACAAAATAAAACCAATTTTTTGCACGGAAATAAGAAAAAACGCATTGAAACTCGAAATACAAGCGGTGGCAACCAGAAAAAAACATAGAAAAAACGTCTCGAGGCGGAAAGGAGGAGAGAGAGAAGAGGCCAATGACAGTGCACGACCCGCCACGTGACTTGGGGTCAACCCTCTTTTCCCGGGTGAGGGGTTACTAATGCGTACACCCTCAAAACTGCGCAGTAACGAACGAGCAGCAAGAGAGAGAGTAAAAGGAGGAGGGTGGCGAGGGAGGCGAGGGTCTTATGTGGTGGGTCCGATGAACAAAGAAGGGCTGGGAGGGATATCCAATATGCATGAAGAACTAGTAAAGAGAATGATGAACGTTGTCAACAACTATTATCTAATACCGTTGAGAGAAGAAGAAGAAGAAGAAGAATGAGATAATAATGTTGACAAAACTTGTCAGTTATCAGTTTTGCTGATTCTGCCATTATGTTGCGGGTTTTTTGTTCCTGATTGAAAAAACAAATAAACAAGAGTACGAGTTCTGCAGACTAGCAAAAAACAAATGGGAGCTAAAAAGCAAAGAACGATTTTTTCAGGAAAAATTAGTATTCGTATTTTCAAACTACATTTTGAATTCAATCCAACTCAGAAAGTCTCATTGGAAAGGAAAAACATAATTTTCGGTCTCAAAGAATGAATAATATTAGGAGAAGAATTGTCGCATTTTTCAGGGTTTTTTGACTTATTCAGAAAAAGATGCAGAAACGAGTTTTGTGAGAAATGGGTTTGAGGGTATTTTTAAGGTCGCGAAAATTGGTTTTTTTTCAATTTCGCTTGAAAGCTGGCATTTTTGAAGAAAAACGATACTAGGAAACACATTGGTACCAAAATGCAAGCTGAAGAAATTATTTTTCAAAAACTTGATAGCTCGCATTTCTAAAACTCTCTAAATTTCCAAAAAAATTTTTTGTGCAGAAAAAATTTCAACATTTGAAAAATTCAAACTTTGAAAAAAATTCAAACTTTGAAAAAAATTCAAACTTTGAAAAAAATTCAAACTTTGAAAAAAATTCAAACTTTGAAAAAAATTCAAACTTTGAAAAAAAATTCAAACTTTGAAAAACATTCCAGTGAAACCGCACCCACTCGACTTTGACCCGATCTATCTAGGTTTCTGTAACAGTTATAAAAAAGTAGTCAATTAACAAAATATTAACCAGCTGATGTTTAACATTTGATCAGTTTAGCACTTTTTGATATCACTCACAGAAACCGAGATAATTCAAGTCAAGGTAAAAAGTGTGAAGGCTCTGTTATGCGGTATTTGCTATCCCTACTGACTACGTGTACTTTGAGCTCATTATGCTCGGTTCCTTTGTGAGATATTCAAAATTGGTTAACTGATAAGTTACTGTTCATAATATCACCAATGTTTTATCAATTGACAGATTTTTGATAGCTCTCATAGGAACCGAGATAATTTATCTCAAATTGCACATGTAGGGTGGATTTCTATTAGAGAAAAAACAGAAAAATTTTTGCTCTGATTTCAAATTGAAAACAATGAAACCATTAATTTTCTTTTAGCTGTAAAGCTTTTAAACACACATTTTTTTTCGGGCTTCCTTCCTGTTCAAAGATGAACTTTGGAAAGTTGAAAAAAAACAGAGACCAGGTGTGCATTAAATCTCCAGAGCTCCCTCGCTGTCTCTCACATCAGTGGTTTCTTTTCTATTCATTGTGATGACGGAGCAATAGCACTTTTTTCTCCTAGCTGAGGACCGGAAATCACACTACAACGTGATAGCTTAATTCAAAACAAAACGTGGTTGAAAAAATATTGGAATTTTTTCAAGTTTTTTTTTCAGCTCACTCTTTTTTCACAATCTCGACCCTTCAAATATAATTTTGTTCGAATGGGATTTTTCTGTTTTGTTGTTTTATCCGTTTTTTTTTTCATATCATGTTGTCCTAATTTGGAAGACAGAAGAGATAATCTAAAAACAAAAAAAAAGAGAGAGAGAGAGAGAGGAACAGAACTGCAAAACGAGAAAAAGAAATGATGTTTTCTAATAATGTAGAAATAATGTTACCAGAACTCAAGCTGACGGAAAATGTTTGCACAGCAGTGACTGAGCGATGCACACTCGAAGAATGGTCAGAACCGTTTGTCACTCTCCACTTTTATAAAAGTTTTGCCTCCTCTTTTTCCTTTTTTTCACAACTCCATCTTGTTTTTAGCATATTTCACATGACTTTTGCATGAGCACACACCTTTGACTTCTAATCGAACTTTTCTTTGGTTTCTTCTTTGCATCTGCTACACACATCAAGAATCAATTGTTTTCCGGTGGCAGTAAGAGAAGGTCTTTCCCGTTGTGATGTGTGGGCGTTCGGGAGGAGAAATGAAATATAGAGTTTTGTGAAAAATAGTTATATTTTTCGAGATCCTGGAGAGCACGAAGAAAACGCGGGAAGAACAAAGTGTAGAATTGGTAACTTGTATTTGGAGATAAATTTTTTTCATTTTGTGAAGTCAAAAAAGTTTCTAGACACTTTTTCGAATAAATAGTTCAGAAACTTTCTACGCAAACTGCAATCAAGTTTCGATTTTAAACAAAACTTGAAACAAGTTAAAGAACATAACCGTCCGAACAAATTTAAACTTTTTATTTTTCTAATTTTTAAAAAGATTTCTTTGAATACAGTTGATTTGTGTGTTAAAAAAGTAAAAATTATTACAGTAATTTTTCACAGAAAAAATAACTTCACACTCATTCTTGACAAGTTTTTTTTGGTAAAAATTCATCTAAATAGCATTGTTTCGGGAAATCTGCTTGGTTTCCAGTAGAATATTAAACTTAGATGAATTTTTGCAAAAAAAGACGTGATCTGGAAAACTGAAGATTCATCAGGTCAAACACATTCAGTTGCATCCAACAAAATCTTTCGTAAAAACTCTAATTGAATGTCACCCAAAACAAAAAGTTGACTATAATAAGAAAGATATTCTATCTGTTAACAACTTTTTGAAATCTGTCACAGGAAGTAAGTTAAATTGGCTCAAAATTAACCTTCAGGGGGCGTTATATTAAAGTATTCGAGGTATTTTTATGAAAATATTTTTATGATTAAGACATGCAAAGTTAGATTATTCCCATTTTAAATAATTCAAATTTATGAACATGTGACCAGCAGTACATCTAGGATTCTGCTTTTAACATTAATCGAATTGAAAACGAGCAGACTACGAATATCTATTTTACGACTTTTAAAGGATTTGAGACTGTGGTAAATACGTTTGTTTTGTAGTTACTTGGTTTTTATTTGTGTAAATTCTTAGATTTGCGAGTCTCCTCCTTGGGCTTCATTTCCCTCTTTTGAGGGAGTCTTTTCCTCTATTTTGTTATACTAGTCTAATAATATATACCTTCATTAGTATGTATACACACGTACCTCCACACACATCTCATCTCATCCCGCTCTCTTTTCAAACCATTCTATCTAACCTTGATCGTTTCAATCAAGAAGAACACGGTCAATCCTTCCACGTTGGAAGATTCTAGGTGGAGTGACCTCCACCCGACCCACTTCCCTTTTCTTTTTCTTCTTCTTCCATTACTACTACTCACCTTGCGCAAAAACTTCCTTCCTTTTTCGCTCCACACATTTATCTGCGTTAGTCTACGTTGTTTTAGGGTTTCGCTTTGTTTTTGGAATTGATTTTCGCACGAAACCTTTTTTAAATTTCAGGTGATGAAGTTCCTTCTTCTATCTCTTCTGGCTATTGCAGTTCTTGCCAAGAAGAAAGGCGATGAGGAAATCAAGGATTTGTCTCACGGTAAAACTTTTTAGTTGAAAATTTCTCTAATTTACTATTTCAGGATACCCAAGTGCTATAGAATGGGTTGAGTTTGACAAGGCTATCGGAATCGCCAAGGACTTGAACAAACCAATTTTCTTCCTCATCCACAAGACATGGTGCGGAGCTTGCAAAAGTAAGATAGGAAAAAAGAAATTAGATTTAAATCAAAAATTAATGTTTCAGATCTCAAGAGAGAACTCAAAAGCTCTCCAAAAACTGACGAGCTCATTATTCTCTCCCGCAAATTTGTCATGGTCAATGTTGAGGATGATGAGGAGCCAGAGGACCCGAAATATGCCCCAGATGGTGGATACATTCCAAGAATTCTTTTCCTAGGTATAAAACGACTAACCACAATGAACATTGAGAATGAATATAACATTTCAGACACTGATGGAAACCCACTGAAGACCAACAATGAGCAAAAGTACAAGAACAACAAGTACTTCTACCCACTTCCAGCTCAAATTATCGATGGAATGGAGAGAGCTCTGTTGGAATTCGGATCTGATGAGGTAAAAGAAAAAAGTAGAGAAGTAGGATTTAAAAAAACTATATTTTAGGAGCCAGTGAAGGGAGAGGTGAAGAAGGAGGAAGCTAATAAGGAGGAAGCCAAGAAGGAGGAGAAGGTTGACAAAAAGGTAATCCTGGTATCACCAAAAACAACCAAAACTATATTATGGCAAGATCATAAACATGAGAATTTGAAAATGGGGACATATTTACTGTCACTAGTCACGCGATATATAGACAAACACCGAAATAGCACTGAAACTAGGTGACGTCGTCATAACAAGTCATCATACTAAGTTTTGGACAAAAATTTTCATAGGTTGCCTTGGAATTTTTTTTGCCTATTTTTCATTTTTCGAAAAATCAGATAAGGGGAAACATGAGAATGACATCATCTTGTAAACAGCGAATTAAACTGAAAAAAAATTAACGATGCAAGTTTCAGAAGGACGAGAAGAAGGATGAGAAGAAGGAGGAGAAGAAGGACAAGAAGGTTGATAAAAAGGAGAAGAAGGAGAAGAAGGTAATTTTGGAACGAAAAAAAAAAATGAACAGCTGAAATTTTGAAATATCAAAATCAAAAAATTTTCAGGAAGACAAGAAGAAGGACGAGAAGAAGAAGGATAAGAAGAAGGAAGACAAAAAAGACAAGAAGGATAAGAAGGACAAGAAAGACAAGAAGGATAAGAAGGATAAGAAGGAGAAGAAGGATGACAAGAAGTCCAAGAAGAACAAGAAGGAGGAGCTCTAATCCCTCTCATATCACCATCCATCAATCTATGCACTTTGTCTAAACTGGTTCACTTTTTCCCCTCTGTGGTTTTACTTCTTTTTAGTGATTTTTGAATCGCGTTTTTCATTCTATTATGTATGCGTAATTTGATTCATAATACGTAATGTTTCTCGTTTTGAAGCTGTAATAAATACTCTACTCCTTCCAATCGCATTGACTTGATGAAAAAATAAGCTCTGAATAAGCGAAACCTTTTCATTTGGCATAAAATTAATTTCCTGCTCAGCCTAGCTCAGCGTCTTCAGTTGAAGCTTCACCTAAATTCATTTTCATGTTCTTTCTGTTCTTTCTCAAAGACGTAAGAGATTGAATACTTTTTGTATTTTTTCAACTTTTTGACGATTTTTATCGTTTATCAAATCGGAAACGAATAAAATGATGGAAATCATTTAAACAAGGAAAAAAATCTTCGTAAAATTGAAAAAAGGAAAATAATATTGAAAATATAGGCTCAAAAAATACTGTAGTTCGCTCTCATTGTCTTTTTTTGGTATTTCAAGTAGTCATATTTAACCACTCGAAACAATTGAGACACCTGATACCTTCTTTTGTTCACATTAGAAATTGAAAATGCCACACCCACATGACTCAATACATACATAACCTTAAGCTCATGAGCTTCCTATGTCTAGGTGATTAATTATGAACGACTATTGAAGGATTAGAAAAATTACATGTTTCTCCACCCAGCAATTGATATTTCTGTTCAAAGACTTAAGCTCTGTTATGTTATGTATCATTAGTAGCAGATCACATAGACACGAAATTTCGACAAGTGGTCAGAAATTCATCGGCTTAATTCCCTATTACTCACACATCGCCTGATGTTCGTCTGTCCACCAAAAAAAGCTGATCTTCGTTTCACCTGGGCTTCTTTTCTTTTGTTTTTGTATTTTTTCCCTTCGTCAAATTGAGATTTCTTCTTTTTTTTTCTTTTTTAGAATTACGTATTGTTGTGTCTGAAAATTTTTGGCTAAAAACCAGTGTTCCCTTTTTCATATGAATTTTTCTGTCACGAAGTCATACAGATCTAGCTGAAAATCCATTAAAGGAAAATTCTTTCAATATTAAAAAGTTGCAGAACTATCAAGACTTCAGATTAGCATTGTTCTGATCCCTTCTTTGTTAACGAACTTTAGCAACACAATAGACCGATTATCTCTCATGTGATGAGAAAATAGGTACTTGGCATATCAGAATCTGTGCCTACTCGCTTCCTGTTTTCCTTCATCTCATGCTTCTTCTCAGAAGGAAAAAAAAGGAGCGTCACCAAATTTCCGGACTTTAATTTAAGATTCACATTGGCACGGCGAGGGTTCTTATTTCCAATCATCCCAGTTCTCATATGATCGTGAGTGTGTGTCTACTCTTACGTCTAGTCTTACTATGAAGTACTCCGCCATGTTTTTTTTTCCTTTTTTTTATTCTCAAATTCCCATTGCTGCTCTTTGTCATTTGTATTCCTCCTTCGGTTTTTTTGGCTTTTCCAGATTGTTGATCATGTCTGTTTGCGCCATCTCTTCAAAATGTTTACCAAAAAAGGAAAGGAGATGAAAAAGTGCATGGTCCCATGGGGTGGTTTAAAAGGCAAGGAAACTAGAAGCTTCCCGATTATTATTCCAAGAACACTTCCCGTCTCCTTTTTAGCTTTTCAATTTGTTCTCTTCAGTTCTTTGAGATACCTAACCCCCACTAAAGGGTTTGAAACTAATACTTTTTGTTCGAAAAACTAACGAAGGACCCTTACAAAGCCAAACTTGCAAGGATTTGATTCTCTCTCCATGCTTTCTTTCAGAGGAGGACTTTGAAGCAAATTTCAGGCTAGGTTAAGAATAGCCTATCTGAGCGCTGCTGAAAATTTCTGAATCCGCTCGCCGGTTTCAGCCGAATTTTATGAATTTCAGTGTCTGAAAATCTCAATTTTTAGTGAAAAAAGTTGTTTTCAAAAAGAATTTTCTTAACTCCTTAGACGTTCATAAGATGAAAAAAAAGATATGTCATATTTTAGACATTTTCTCGTATATTCCATACTTGTAATCCGGGACTTTGCCGGGCCTTCGCGGGCTCTGCCATAATTTCTTTCAGAATTTATATTTTCGAACCAATTAAATCAGATATGATAGAGCTCTACGAGTACTACAAAACGGTATTATTTGGAATACTGTATCTTATCTATGAACAAAGTTACAACCCATAAAGTGGCTTTTCTCGCGAGGCCCGGCAGGCCCGGGGCGGGCCTGCTTTTTTTTGCTCCTTTTGCTCTGTAACTCTGTTCCTAGACAAGATACAGTTTTCCAAATAATACCGTTTTGTAGTACTCGTGGAGCTCTATTATACCTGATTGAGTTGGTTCGAAATTATATTGATTCTGAAAGAAATTATGGCAGGGCCCGCGAAGGCCCGGCAAAGGCCCGGATTACAAGTATGGTATATTCATTTTTTTCGAACTTCATCGATAGAAGATTTATTCAAAAATTGAAAAATCTGAAATATTAAATTTCATTCAATTCTTAGTATGTTCCAGAACGTCCTAAAGGTGGAGAAAATCGTCTTCGAAAATTACTGTTTTGTATGGAAAAAGCAATTTTAGGTACTGAGTTTGATATAACTTGGCTGAAATTGGCGAATGAATTCGCAAACTTTCAAAAACTCCTTGTTAGGCTGTTCCTTACCTATCTTCAAATTTTCAAAAAATCTAGGTTTGCAAAAAGTTGAGTTCTTCGCTTTTTTGTTTCAAGAGAGGAGGAGCACGGCAATTGGATGTGTTTGTGAGTGAGTGTCTAACTCAGCAGTGCAGAAGACAATCAGAAAGTTTTTCATGAACACATGGCTTTATAAATTACGTTTTTTCTCGTTCACTTGTTGCTTCTTTCGACCTCGTGCAGTTGTTTCATCGATTCATTTCTTGTCAAAGCAAATAAATCGTGAAGCTTCTTTTTCTTCTTTTGAGAGATAGATGAAAAAATTGAGGAAAAAGTGGAGCTGAAGAAGGTCGGGAGAAATCTCCATTAAATTTATTGCTCTGAACCCAACCATTTTTTCTTCTTTCCGCTGCTGGGTCAATAAAAATCTGAACTCATTAATCTAGGTTTTTTTGGTTTTTAAGGTCCACAAACCACGGAAACCAATTTCTCAAAAAAGGGTTGTCCGGCGTAAACAGGAATTTTATTAGTGGTGTTTTTCCTATTCCTGATAACCCTACCAATTGACACTAATTTTCAAGTGAAAATAAACATGAAAAAATGACGAGAGGGACTAACCTTCAACTTCCGATGTGCAATCCCATTTCTCGTATTTCTCTCTTGACAGCGCCCTCTTTCCATTTCATCCCTTCCACGCCAATTCTGGAAAAATGAGAGCTATTCAGTCACCCACACTCTTTCTCTCTTACTCGGTTATATTCAAAATTGAATAGTAATTAGGTTTGAACGTCTGCTGATGCTGTTGCTGCAGCACAAAAATTGGTGCTTAAGCGATCTTCTCATTTATATATTTTCATTTCTTTCTAAATGAAAAAAAACGTGTGAAAAAAATGGATAATCTTTAAATCTTTTTTTTTCTCGTGTTAGCCCGATCACCAAAAATCCTTGAGAACATCTTTTCCATCCTGACTATCATCTTAAGCACGTCCACCGGCTAATCCCTTTTCATTTTTTTTATCTCATTCTCCCTCCATCCATTTATCTACCTTCCTATTCATCGCTTATAACTCCATTATCTGCCCACCTTTAATGAAATCATGCACAGATTTCACATGAAGCTGACCAGATCGTCTATGGCATCTGTCACGGTCACAACGCCGACTCCAACAGATCTTCTTAACGAGAATCTGAATTTCACGACAACAGTGTGGCCGAAGAAAAAGGTCGGAGGTCTAAACCCGTTTCTCGGTAAGTGGAATTTCCTTAGACATGTACATAGTTTAGCAGAGGACACAATTCTTTCCTTGTTTGAGGAGTAAGTGATGTCAAGAAAGAGATTCTACTTGACAGAAAAAAAATTTTGAACGCGGTGACACATTCCTTCGAGATCCGTCACTTTCAGGGAACTCTAGCACTTTTTATTTGCATAACTAATGCCTTGGAAAAGTGTGGGGCTCCCGGAAAAATGCAATAAATCATCTCACACCAATACTACCTTTGCGTGAAAAATGCGAATTTCTTTTTCTTCCCCAAGTCCAGCCCACTCTTTGAGATCTTAGATATTTATTTTCTTGTCCTCCCCCTATATCAGCCACCATTCCGTCCAAAATAATGGCTGCGGTTGCAGACGAATCGTCTGATGTCTTTTTCCTGGTTTCTGTGGTGGCACCGCTCCTATTCTGCTGCTTTGCTATCTTTGTCTGTGCTCTGAACAGCATCTGGAAGACCCGCAGCAAACTCGAGTGAGTCATTTTGACCTTTTATCCATAATTAAAGTTTCTCGACGATATCATTTTCAGAGCTCTGACTCAAGTGGCCAAGCAGCGTGAACCAACCGAGTACACTGAATTTACCATTGATCTTACAACCAAAATGGACTCATGCGTCGAGCTATCATCTCCACAGATAAGCTCAAAAGAGGTAACGGATATATTTAACTTCCTGAATCCCAATATATGGCTATTTCAGGAATCAGTTTTGCTGTGACAAAGTCTAGTTATGCACTGATTTCTACCGGTGTGGCTGTGTCGAACCAACACTCGTCTTCATTCCTTTTCATGTATTTATGTATTTTTTCTAGAACACTCCCCGCTTAGAAGGAATCGTCTTCCTGAACTGGTTTTGAATTTTCTTGTAGTATCAGACAGGGAAGAGTTGTAAAACTTGTATATATTAAATAAACATGCTTTTCGTTTTTGAATTTTTTTCAAGAATTTTGGAAACCGTCTTTTGGAACCGGTCGATAAGATAATCACCCATTTTTTTCATTGGCTATTTAGATCGTTTTCAAGAGTCTGGAACTCGGCAGTCTGGAACTGTCAATTTTTCAATCAGTTTGCAAATTTTGGAGCGTGTAAAAAAGATCTAGATAGGAAATTCTGCCTTTTAAGTAAGTTTTAGAAAACTTTTAGTTTTTCAGCGAATTTTCAATTTTAGAAATCGGAAAATAGCTGAAAACTAACCATTCTCGCTTGAGCAAAGTTTTTAAAATTTTTCAATTTAGGCTTGTTTGAAAACCTCCAAAAATTTCGAAGTCCTCGGATACCTGACAGTAGAGTTCCAGACTCTTGAAAACGGTGAAAATGACCGGAAATCAACTGAAGAATATTTTTTGAATATGTTATGGACCGGTAGTGAATGTGTCAAAAATGCAGTTTTCAAGAGTATCATAGTTCCGAATATCACATTCTCTTAACATAGATCACATCACAAAATTACATGTCAAAGCTATACAACCTAGGAATTTGTATATAGTGTTTTTATGCGAGTTGTTATAATTTCTTTGTTCATTCATTTCGGCACAACGGGGAAAACCGCCACCACTACCAGAAAAGTGTAATTCATAATAATAAAGCAGAGAGGGATTGTGGAAAAAGACAGGAGAGTATATAATAGAGTGTGAGAGGTGGAAGGCATATACAAACTGGTCAGGTGTAATTTGGAAAAATGCGCGACGCCTTTATAGAAGGGTGGGCTTCCTTTTGTGGGAAATCCTCTTCAAATGATTCATTCAGTTTAGTTCCTTTTCTGGAAACTTACATGCATAAAGCGTTGTTGTTTCTTTTTCCCACTGCTCCCTAGTATCAAATTTCATCCCCTTTTCTATCCAAAAATCGCGAGAAGAAAGTTGTGTCAGATTCGGACAATAGATTGGAGGAGCATCCATTTTCGGGGCGCAGTCTGTGCGCGTTCTTCCCGATTTCTCATGACATTTTCACATTTTTCATTCTCCAATCCTTCTATTAGGTTGGTACAAAAGTAATGCGCGTTTTTGATTTACTTTATTTTTATTGTAAAAATGAAACAAAAGGACATTAATCGAGAAAATACTCTCCATTATTATCGACCACTCTCTGCCAAAGCATGTGCAAAGATTCGATGCCTCTCTTGAAGAACTCCGCTGGCTGTGACTCGAAGTAGTTCGTCACCCAAATTTTCACTTCTTCGTCGTTTTTGAACTTCTTCTCGGTCAGATGATGCTGCATGGACAGGAACAAATGATAGTCAGATGGTGCCAAATCTGGGCTGTAAGGCGGATGTGGGAGCACTTCCCAGTCCAACTCCAAAGTTTTTTTCTGGGTGATTTCCGCGGAATGTGGTCGAGCGTTATCGTGAATCAAAAGTATTGCCGATGTGTCCACTCCTTTATGTTTGAGCTCCAGATCCACGCGGTCCAACTGACCTTTGTAATGTTCGGCAGTCACCGTTTCACCATGACCTAAAAGTTCAAAATACACCAAACCCCGAGTATTCCACCAGACACATAGCATAACCTTTTTTCCGTGTATATACGGTTTTGGTGTCGCTTTTGGGGTCTTGCCCGGACTGAGCCACTGATGTTTTCTTTCAGAACAGTCATACCGAATCCATTTTTCATCTGATGTCAAAATTTAATGAAAGAAACCGCGATTTTTTCAGCGGCGCAGAAGATCATTAGCCACTTCGACGTGCTTCTTTTTGTTTGCTTCAGAGAGTTCGTTCGGTAGCCATTTTCCGCATCTATTCGATTTCTCAAGCGCATGTTGGTGGCGTAAAATTGTGATATGACTGCAATTAAACTGTTCTGACAAACTGCGTGTTGTTAGGCACGGGTCCGGTTCGACAGTTTGTCTCAAAGCATGAAACTGTCGAAGAGTAAGCAGGGTATTCACCAAGCTGGTGCCCTTCTCCGAACAAGAATCGATGAAAAAACGGGGCCAGAAAACAAATTCACAGATTTCCCGCCTATATTTTGGCGCGAAAGCGCGCATTTCCATTAGTTACGGCGGAATATTCAATTTACGAATATTTAGAGACTTTAAAGGCTTATTCGAAGAAGAACCGGATGAGAATCCGACATATAGAACGAAGCTAAAGACATTCTCTTTAAAACAAGAAAAAAAATAAACCGAAGAGCTCGCTCACAGGCGACGTACAAAACACCTAACTTAGCGCGCATTACTTTTGTACCAACCTAATAGTACTCTGTTTTTTTCAATTTCCCATCGTTTGACAATGAATGGGAGGTTAATACACTTCACTTTAATACGTCAAATCCTTCTTTTCTCATTTTTCACATACCAGTTGGGGTCGCCTTCTTTGGTGTTTTGAATTTTTTTTTTCTTCGTTTTGTACATGTTTCAAATAAGGGAATAGTTCTGAGAAAAGCAGAAATATTAAAATAAAACAAAAAATGTTAGGAGACTTGTTTAATCACCTGCAGAGTCCAGCAAAAGTCCAACGTTTCCGTTCATTTTGCATTGCGAAATAGACTCATCATACTTTTCAAACATTTTAACAATATTTAAAATCATCAATATCTTTTCAATAATGAATAAAAGTTCCATATCTTTCAATGGTGTCTCGGAAAGGCAACATCAAACTCCCCTGAATAGCTCCATATAATTTATCGTATTTCATCTGGTAGAAGACCCGCCCGAACCGTCAACTTCAAGCTCAATTGTCTTGTTGTTTCATAAGGTATCAAAAAGTTGTCAACGGATAATATATTTATCACATTATTACCAATATTTCATGAATAGACAAATTTGTGATACCTCTCACATGATTTAATTTTAATGAGCTTGAATGAGCTTGGGCTTCCATCAGAAAAAATATATTTGCAATTTGAGCTAAATGATCTCCGTTTTCATAACAGATATCAAAAACATGTTAACTGATGAGATTGGTCAAAACTTATCACAAACATTAATCATATCTTTTCAAAAACCGCATGGTTAAAATTAGAGAATTTTCGGGAAATAAAACCAATAAAATAAAATCTTCGAACACATACATTGCACCGTTTACTCCAAAAATGAGGTTATTCAAACTCAAAAAATTTCCTGTCTGATACACATTTCCTGATAAGCTGGTTATCACAAGGCATATCATCTGACATTAGCATGAATTTGCCAAGCCTCCTCTAAAGTAAATGCTAAAAATTTGGTTTTGGCTGCAAAACTCAAAACAAAAAATACCCAAATCTTCATACTTGCAAGAATCGTTGAAGGCCCGGACAGGTATTTTTTGGTCGAAATTAAAAAAAAAATTTTGATAAATTTTTGAGAATTTTTAAACAAAAAATTAGTTTTTGAGAAAAAACTGTTATTTTGCTTTAAAAATGCAATTTTTTTTCTTCGATCTCAACTTTGGAAAAATTCAGGAAAATTTTTTTTTTTTCAAAAATTTGTTCAAACTTTTACAAATACAATATTTACAATTTAGCTTACAATTAGATGATAAAAACAACTTTTTTCCAAAAAAAAAAAACAGACTGTTTTGCCTAAAAATCGAAGCTGGCGTAACTGGCCGGGCCTTGACAAATTTTTCCACGGCCCGGCCCGGCCAGTCGCAACTATGCAAATCTTTAATTTTCTCTCCTCTTTTTTCGTTCAAATTTTCAACGGTGACGTTTCTCTCTCTCTCTCTCTCTCTCTCTCTCTGATGAATGAAACGCTTGGCTCAATGTAGATTCGCATGCATATACTGCTCCTGGCTCCTGCCACCTTTCCGTTACTCTCTTCTCCCCAAAAATCGCGTTCTCGTTTTTCTTTTTGCTCTCTTTTCCTGTCGTTCCACTACTAGGCCAGCTTTTCTCCCACCCCGTTTTGTGTCCCGTTTGCTTATGAATCTGAAATGTAAGGGTGCAAAAAGCGCGAAAAGCCCTCTTTCCTTGCTTGGTGTTTCGATCAATTCGAATAAGTGGTGGTGCCCTTTGAGGGATGTGTCCAACGACATTTGTGCTTAACATTTCATGAGGCTCTCTTGCCACTCTCTTTTCTTTATCGAAACTTCTATTGTTTTCATAAGACTCTTCATTCCCATCCATCTTTTGCAGAACAAATCTTGCGAAATCCTCACTTGTCCATATTTGTTCTCTGCTTCCATTAAACATTCCAATTCCAGACATGTCAGATTCTCTTATCATCCGATTTAACGTCGGTGGCACACCAATGGCCACATTAAAGACGACTTTTCCAGTGGATTCCATCTTTCACAAATGGTTCGTCTCCAGAACAAAAGCTTCGCCGTTTACGAGCGACAAGGATGGCGCATACTTCGTGGACCGGGACCCATTCTCGTAAGTTTGTGACTTGAGGATGATGAACAAAGACAGTAACAAGTCATTATTAATCATGAATTACCAACATTAGGTTGTGTGAAGCTAAAAAAGAGGGTTGAGGGATGAAATCAGCTAAAACAGATGGTTTTTCGAATAGAAATGGGTTCCAAAATCAATGAGACTTAAAAAGCAAACGAAATGAAAAAAGCATACAAAAAAAGCTGTAAAATTGAAGTCAAATGAGATTTAAAGTTTTCCCATCGACATTCGAACTTTAGACATCAATTGTAAATGCAAAAACCAGTAAAAGAAGGGCCACCACACTATTATTTTTGAGTTGATTTTTCTTGGCACCTATGCAATATAGCAAAAATATGTCAACTGATAAAATTTTTGTAATATCAAGATGAACTTTTATTAGTTGAAAACCTTATTGAATTTTTGACAAGAACTGCAATAAATTGGCTCAAAATTACAATTAGAGAGCCTTTCTATGTGTTAGGCGTTTTACAGTACTTTCATTTTAAGATCTCATATCTCAATTTCTGTAAAATATATCAAAAATCTATAAACTACAAAATGTTGAAGATGCTATGAAAAAAAGTCATTAGTTGATATGTTTTCTCTAACTCACAGAAATTGAGACTGTTGCGATCGATATGAGAGTTCGTTTGAATCTTGTTGTTGATAGATCTGAGTGACCGTAAAACAATGTAATACACTGCTAGTTTACACAATACAGATTACTGTATTTCACGAAAGACACATCACAACAACACCATATAATAATTTTTGTCTGATCTCCAATGTCACATTTTTCCAGTTTTGGCATCGTCTTAAACTACTTCCGTCTCCGGAAAGCCGGACAGCTCTGGGAAGCATGTCTGCCAAAAGATCCGGACAGGTTGGCCATGCTCACACAGGAAGCCGACTTCTTTTTACTTCCGCAACTCCGTGACCAAGCTATCTGCATGCTACAGCTTTGCAGCAACAAGAACGACTCGAATTATATCAATGAGGTATCTCACATATAGGAAAGGATATGAAATATCGATTAATTATCTATCAACGCACCTTAGAGTGTTGAAACTTTTAATCAAATTTTAGGCGTGCTATAGATTGAACTATACAGAGAAAATAGCACTCTAGTGCCCGAGCTGCACAAAAATTGAGACCATATAAAATGAAGACGGAAGTTTGAATCATAAAACTAATTTTTCCTGTATCACTTCCATATAAAATTTTGATAACAAATAATTTTCAGATGCTCTCCAAGAGTACCAGCTGTCCACAGGGATTCGAACAGAAAGAAGAGGAGGAGGACTTCTAATTTGTTTTTCCATCTTTCACACTTATTCGCTATCATTCCAACAAAAATATTTTATTATCTCAATAAAGAATGCATTTACCCTTCTGCCAGACATTTATTTTTCAGCTCTCTTTCAAATGCTTCTTTAAGTATTCTGCGAACGTTCAAATAGCAAATTAAATTTGAAATTAGGGTTCCCACCAGCTGGCTTCACGCTTTTTCATCTGGTCCCAGCTTCATTTCCCCATGACATAACATGACTCCCAAAAAAGAGGAGAGTGTCCAGGCAATAAAATGAATTAGATCTTCGTTTTTCCTCCACTCTATTCACATTTCAACTTAAGGGCACATCGCTTTCTCCGCTTCGGGAAAATAATGGGACGACGGTTCAATTTCCGAGCTAGAGCTCTCTTTCCGACGAAGCTCCTTTTTTATTTCTTAAGAACCAAAAATGAAAATATTTGAAAAAGTTTAGAAGGATTCAGATATTTCCGCATTGTCCAAGTTGGAGTCCAACTGATCAATGTAACTTCACCTGACCTGCAAAAAATCTTATTCTCCAAATTACTTTCAAAATCCTGTGATATCAATTAGGTCTCCTCACCACAGCTTCCTGCAGTATATTCCCTTTAGGGTGCTTCTCTTTATTAATGTACTTGTGTTTTTATTCTTCTTCTTTCACAGAGAACCTAAATTTATATTTACTCCCCCATCCTTCGTTTTTTTGTCTGAAGCTGTTTTCCAGCAATGCCAGGTGTACTTTTCTCTCTTTTTTAGGAATTAGTTATTCTTCCTTTTTCCTCTTCACCTTTTCTGGCCGAAAAATGCATGCGTCAAGTAAAAGTTTCGATATTTTTTATTCACACGACTTTTCAATGGGCTTCTTTTAGTTTTTCAGCTTTGAAATGCTTAATTATCACTGAAATTGTGTTCATCTGAACCGAAATTTTATTTTTCCTTTTTATTCCGTCTTCCTCCGACTAGACACAATTCATCAAGTCTAATACGGTGATCGTCTCGTTTGTTGGTTTTGCTTTATTTGTGTTTGCTTTTTTTCAAATTAGTGGTATTTCACAAAATTAGATTGGAAAAAAAATCGTCGACCGTTTTCTGGAACATATTCTAAAAACAAGGTTATTGATTATTTGCAGTCCCCTATGAGAGTGGTCAAATTGTTACTTCTTCTTGGAGTTTTAAAGAATGTAGGATCAGTATTAGTGCCAGAGTTGAAGTCATGGTCAGAGGATCGCTATATCCAGTGAGTTTTTTTTCTGGATTTCGAAAATTGAACTCTTGGACTTCTATTAAATCAAAACTAGTCAAAAATAATGGTAATTGTTTAAGCTTGCAAGGGTTGAAGAATGGTGCTCAACATAATTTTGGGCATTATTTTGAACTGTTTGAGTTAAAATTGAAGTTTAAAAAGTAGAAGTTCTCCGAATAATGGAACTTTAAGCTCAACTGATGCTTTATCTAACATAATAAAACCAATATTTCATCAGTTGTAAGATTCTTGATTTTTCTCATTGGAACCAAGATAATTGAGTTCATACCGTACGTTTTATTATAGCAAATACGGTGTGGTGCTAGGAGGTTGATTCGAAACAAAAAAGTGTTTTTTATTTAATTCTAAACGAATTTTGAATATTTTTAGAACGTTTTTTTTTCTAAAACTTGAAAATGAAGAAATCAGAAAAACTCAGAAATTGGTTAAACATGTATAGGAACATGACACAGTAGATTTCGATATCAAATTCAGATGTGTTCACTGCATGGACTACGATCGGAGCCACATTTCACTATTTGGATGCAAACCTAGACGCCCAATTCTTTGCAACGGAAACGCTTGCTTTATGAGTAAGACTGTTTATCTGGAATCTCCGAATTTCTAAATTTTCAGGATTTCACAAAGAATTCGAGCGACCGTCTGTTATGTACACCAGTGGATGTTTAAATTTGACTCTAGCTGAGATGGAAACAATTGCACATGCTCAGAAACAGTGAGTGATTGAAGAAAATTAGTTTTGTTCAAAGAACGTTAAATTTTTCAGTTCGAATGAAACTGGGAACAAAAATGGATCACTTCTCTGCGAGGTGAGTTTTTTCTTTTTATCTTTTGAGGAATAGCAATTACTTAATATTAGATAGCTGAAAAATCAGACACCTGCATCTGCTCTAATATGGACAAGTGCAATTTCATCAATCTGTCTCCAGATTTTAGGTGAGCCCATAGTACATACTATTTTGCTATCTCAAAGAACTTACAGCGAGTACAATAGAACACCTATTCTGAAAAATGTGAAAATCGATGAAATCAATCATATGAAGATGTTTCTACCACACGAATACCGACGACTTACCACCTACAGACAGTACCAGCAACAAAGCACCATTCGAGTCTCCCACTTTTGGCTAATCCCAATGTTCGCATTTCCAATCATAACTTTTTTCAACCGTTGAATTAAATTTAAATATTAAACTCGGGTTATCCCATCCTCCTTTTTAAATTTCAAAATTCAAATTTTCTCAATCGAAATAAATCACTTTGGGAAAATTCACATGTTTCCTAATAACTGCTGTTTCTCAAAGATGGGACTGCCACCCAGTCATTAAATATTCTAGAAGAACAAAGGAGTGTCTTGGAAACAAGCGTGCGTCCACATTTGTCAAACCGTCATCTTTTCCTGAAAAGAGTCTTTTTGACATTTTGTTTCGAAACATTCAATGATTCTCTAATGAATCCCGGTGATTTCCAAAGATATGTCTGGGTGAAAGGAGAGCGGAAAAGACAGATAAATCGAGAGAAGTATGAAGAGACGAGGAAGCGGTATTTAGACTGCGGTATGTTGAAATAATGTTGATGAAAAATGTTTTAACAATTTAGTTTCCTTATTATCTGAAAATTATATTTGTTTCGAGAATAGTGTCATTTTTTCAAATTATATGCTCTAAAAGTCATTAGGAAGCATACCTCAGTTTTCACCTTTTGTTAGTTTTCTAATGAAACAGAAAGCTTCAGTTGCACTTTAATTATCTAAATTTCTGAAAAAGATAACAAAATAGTCTGCCAACTGACCAAATGTTTGCATAATATCACCGACATTATGTCAGTCGACCACTATCTCATATCTTTTACGAGAAAAGAGATACATGGATTTAAAATTAGCGGTTTGGGTGCCATTCTGTTTCTATTGGTTACGGTAGAAAAAACATTGTTTTTCTCTCCAATTTCGGAGTACTTTCAGAAAAGTTATTCTAACTTTCCAATTCAAAATTTGGATACCAAGATTTCTTATTTATTTGTCAAGTATTTATATTAGATCCCAATTCTCCTTTCACTCTTTCCTAAGTGATATATGTGTTTTTGCCAAAAACAGGAAATAGCTTTATTCTAACACTTATTTGTCTTTCAGGGATCTTTTCCATTTCCTCCTCTCATGAATTCTTTTTTTCAGAAGTGGACGACATCGACCCACCCAAGAAGCCAAATGTCGTGTGGCCCGGAGAATTTGAAAACCAATTAAAAAAGCGAAATCGAAATCTTGAGAAAATTGGTTGGTGAAAAAAAAAACGAAAAGCGAGAATAGAAAAGACGACATAAAAATGAACGAGTCCCTCTTTTACTTGCTTTTTTCAGACGAAAGAGGAAATGGAATCGGCACACCAGCGATACACACTCCTTCGGACACTCAGAGCATAATTTCCAAGTACTACACTACGGTAGAACTTTTCTTCAAGTGTTTCAATTTACAGCAATTCTCCCTCAAGTTCTGATCTTGAAACTGAACCAACCCAAGAGCCCGAAGTGGACATAAACCCGAAGAAAAGTTCACCGAAAAAATGTCCCCAGCCTTCTCTTCCTACATTAACTCCCATTTCCATCAACGATACTCATTTTCTAGATGAGTACTTAGATGCTCCAAAAAAACTGAACCCCACCTCCTCGTGTGGCTCATTTTTCCTTGTCTCAAGCAATCTGGTTAATGAATGAAAAGGAATAAAACTTTTTTCCCGACGCCTCTATCTCTTTTTGCAGTTCATTTCAAAAAAGAAAAACTTTTGCTACTAGTACATGTATGAGCCTAGTCTCTGAAGTTCTTCTACTTCTTCGTTTTTTCATTAATTCAAACCTTTTCGCATACACCAGTCAATTCAAATTGCTCCTATCGTTTCATCACCGCCGCCGAGGTTAGTTTCCTGCACTAATCAATCAAATGTTCTTATCTATAATTTTTTATCGTTTCCACCCCTGTGTTTGCTTTTATTTTATTTCAGTTCTGTTGAGGTTTTTCACACAGATTATTCGTCGGTAGGTAGTTCAATAAAATTCACATATTAGAAGCGTTTATTTTTTTAAAATGTTTTTCTGCTACAAAATATCAAAGCTGAGGAGGAGAATTGCCGGTGACCGTGACCGAAAGTCTTACAACGAAAACTACCGTAACCTAAAAATATTTTTATTCTCGGGATTAATTTTCTCGATTTCCGTGCGATTTCTGTCATTATTTATATCTTCCGACATGTTTGGGGGAAAATAACAAAACACTTGACAAAAAGCAGGGAACAAAAAAATCATTCAAATGAAAAATTCGGGTTACGGTAGTTGTCGCTGTGGAACGTTCAGTCACTGCCACCTACGTTTCTTTTCCACAGCTCCGATTTTTTTGTACCAGACTAGTAGCCTTCATTTTTCAAAGGTTTCAAAATTCTTGAGACGGAACAGAAACGTATTTTTAAACATAAAAACATCTTGTATACACTTTCATTCTGAAAATAAAAAACTATTTTTCTTTGTTGCTTACCGCATGAATGTCTTCCTGAACTAAGCTCCGCCCCTCAGGCATTCCTAATGCGCCCCATTATCTTCTTTCTCAACCAGCCCTCTTCAGGTGATGAGCAATCAAAAGAATGCAAAATTTAGAATTAATCCTGTCTGCACTTTTCTCATCCCGTAGAAGTGTGAAAGGGCTCTTCTTTTACAAAGTCCACTGAATGATGTGCTCTTTCCGGATAAGAAAATGTAAACCTAGTTGACCTAGAACGGAAGTCGTGATGCATGCGAGCATCTGTTCGTCACTCAAAAAAACACACTTCTCCTTGGCATCTATCTTTTCACACTTTGCGCTTTTAGATATCTTTGCGGGGATGCGCCTAAACTAGTGCTCGTTTCTCTTAATCTAATTTCCCAGAAAAACTTGCCGATTGTACTTCTTTTTCTTTCTTTCTTTTTATAAGAGAGAAAGAGACAAGATTTTTACTTTCATCTTTTCCACTTTTCACACGATTTTGAACATTCGAGATCAAAAATTCCATAAACAATTCGAACTCTATCATTTTCTTCTAAGATTTGAGGAACAAAATTCTCAAAATTCTTAAAAATGCAACCTTCAAAATTTCAAATGTCATGCACAAAGCACGTTTTCAAAGTTAACTATTTTTCATTATTAGTGTGCAAAGAATCAGCTCTATCTTTTTTTTTAGATATTCTATGAGAATTATGGTTATGTTCAGTGCCAGCTGAGTTTTTTACCTTAAAAGATAAAATGCAAGTCAGAAGATTCAGCACTTTCCAATATTCCAAAATTGGAGTTTTTGAAAATTCGAAGATTTGTTCATACAATGTGTTTTCAAAGTATTTGAGAAATTTGAATATTTCATTTTATGATTACAGAAAAACATATTAATATTGTTTTTTGTATCAGTAAGTGAGAAGTGTTTTGTGGCAAAATTGTGTTATCAACTTTTGATTGAATTACGAGAAAACAGTTCTCAGAGAATAACCTGGACCTAATAACCCCATTTGAAGTCTCATTTTTCTCACCTCCCTTTTCCCAACCTTTTCCTTGTTTCAACTTCACCGAAACTACCGGACTCCTTTTTTGTCCTTCCTCACCATCTGCTTGATAAAAAAGACACCTAAATTATTACGCAATTTTCAAATTCTCCTCCTTTGTCTTAATTGTGCAATTTGAACTTTTAAAAATTTTTTGAAGACCGCCTTTTTCATTCTTTTTTACTAGACCGCCTTTCTCACTGGACCGCCTTATTCATTCAAAATGTTCGCTAACTCTTTCAGATTCGTTCATTTTGGGATTAAAAAATGATGAATTAACCAGAAAATATGTTTTTTTTGTTTTTAACAGCTGTGAGTGTTAACCGATAACTATCAAAACTACGATTCATCGAATTTTTGTAGAATGTTTGTGATTTTGAATCTACCAACTCAAACTAGATCGAATTAGGATACGAATCAGGATATCAAACGTTGTGAACAGCTTGATTTAGGTTTTTTAAAGCAAATTATGAAACGTTCTTCTCATTACCGGTATTCTTCTAACAAAAAAACGAAAACAACATATTCGAATTGAATGTGTTTTTAGCTTTCGAAAGACATACCGTACCGGTCAATAAAATATATATACAAAATCGTACTTTCCAGTTGAGTTTTGGGCATTTTGACCAATTTCAGATGGCTGCAAGTTTCCGATCAGTTTTAAAATTTTGGAATGTGTAAAGCAACTTAGATTGAAAACTTTGCATTTATAGAATTTTTTGAAAATTCCAAAAACTCAATCTAGGCCTGTTTTACACCTTCCAAGTTTTGAAAAGTTATCTTAAACTTGACATCTAAAAAATCGAATTCCAGATTTTTGGAAATGGTCAGAAAGACCGAAACCCAACTGATAATACATATCTGTTGACCGGTACTGTATGTATTTTTCATTTAAAAGTTTCACACCTCAGTCACAGTCTTCCTTAGTAAGTGGGAAATACACCTACAATATCGTTCATTACAATATACGTTCCCACGGCCTCTTCTGTTATCTGATCAAAAGTTTTTTATTGACCACTAGTGTAGATTTATAGTTCAAAATAATTTATTCATGACAAATAATAAAAATGATGGTTCACTCACTTTTAGTTCAAAACATACTCATACATGGAACAATTTCTTGTTATGACCAATACATGTTTTTGCTCACGGCATTTTTGAACCTGCTTTTAGTACTATGGGCATTTTAGATTTTTTCTGAATTTGGTAACAATTTTGAACTAAAGAATTGCAAAACCTACAACAGCTGAAACATTTGAGGATGGTCACAATTTCTTCTGCCAAAAACCATAGGAATTTTCTCACGAGTTTGCAAACTTTTTTGAACATGCAGTTTCTTTATTGTAGAGATCGGGTTATAAGAACCCAGCTTTTGTGTTTTTTCGCAGTTTTTGAAATCGAATTTTCTGACCGGCATGAGTTTTTTTGTTTAGCAGAAAAATGAACAATTTCAAAAATCAAAATTTCTGTAGGTTGTTTAATTATCAAAATTCAAGTTTTAACTTACGTTCCACCTCTTCCTCTCATCTCCTCCTAAAACCTAAAACGGTCAAAAAAAAAGTGGGAAGCCCGCCACATTTAACACTTGCGATTCACGCAATCTAATCTCGCTGAAATCAGCATTCTTCATGTAGATGTGGTGCTTAGATGCCTTCCCAAGACAAACATGGCCAGGGGGAACGGGTAAGAGGACACTTGGATTTCAAGTAAAAGACAAATTGCAACAGATTTTTTGTCACCCCTTCTTCTATTTTCAAATGAGATTCTGGGAGGTATTTAGCCTCTAGAAAAATGAGAATATGTAGATGAGTCCTAGTGTTCTTCTAACTTTCGCAGATATACAGCAGAGTCACTTTGTAAGTTTTTCTCTTACCCGTTCTCCTATTCTCACAAGAAACCCAGATTTTGATGAAAATTTCAGCAAAACTTAAGAATAGCCTATCTACACATTTCTGAATGATTTAGAGTTCGCTCGCCGTTTTCAGCCGTGCTATATCAGTTTTAGCACCAAAAAATCGCGATTTCACTGCAAAAAGAATTTAGCCAAAAATTCATGTCGTTTGGCTGAATTATTTTTTGCGTTCGTCGTGTTTTCCGGATCTTGCACTTTCAGATAAATTTTCTTTTGGAGCTTTTAAACGTCATTTTGATAGCAAAGGCTTTTCAATCTGGGTTCAAAAGGTGTTAAGGACCGCTTGTCAATGATTTCCGTGCAAAGTTTCAGAAATAAATAACATTTTTCTCCTGACTCATCTTGCTTCCGAAATTTAAAAGTTGATGATGTAAGAACAATCAGCAAAAAAACGATGGAAAAAAAACGAACTCTTTCTATCTAATGGTGTAAAGAAATTGGGATGCTCTTCCTGCTGTTTTGTTTCTTCTTCCTTCACTTTTTCTTCCCCTCATACTTTCTTCTGTTCACCGCATTAATTTCTAATTCAGAATGATGATGAATATTCCAAATTCTCATGCCGCCAACAATTTCCACCCACCGCCAATGCCGCCGTTTGTGCCCCACCATCATTTCCCACAACATGGTGGTCACTACCATCATCATCAAGCTCCTCAGGAGAGACAATACCATTATCCATACCGTCATCCCAACAATAACAGCGACCAGCATCCACTACCACCACCGCCGGAACAACAACAACAACAACAGAGCCTGCATCCGCCACCGCAACCAGCAAATTATCCTTGGGGCTACACGGTGAGTTATATCGAAAAGGAGAGAGAACGAGCACATATGCTGTGGTCCATTGCATAAACATATACTTTGAGAGGACGTATGCCATTTTAATGAGCAGAGGGTGGTCCCTCACATAGGATTTCTGGTTTGAATTATGCCCAGTGCCGAGATGGAGAATCACTTTTCGAAAAAAGAGCAGAGTTTCCAAACATGAGTTATCACCTTTCGAATCACCGTTCTGCACGAAAAAGCATTATCTTTTTTTCAACATTTTTTTCCAAGATTTCTTTTTTCTCGAATAGTCTTTTCCAAAATTACGAAGTTTTTTATATAGGTGAAAGCTTATTAATTAAGAGAAGACCTAGTTTCAGAACAAACTTGTTCAAATCGGAAGAAAGAGAAATTTTTCCAAGTTTTCCAAAAATGTTTTTTTTTCGACGGAAAATATCCTGAAATCGTTAAATCTTTCTGGCAATTTGTTTTGAAAAATGCTGAAAAACTACCTATCCCAAATTGATCACTTTTCTTCCTATTTTTCTCGATTTCTGTCTTATTTTGTTTTTATTTTTGCTGATTTTTTTCATTTTTTTGTCATTTTTCATAAAAACATTGAAAACCTTATGAGGAAAGAAAAATCTCGGAAAAAAATTCGGGACAAATTTTGGAAACGAAATTCCCCTAAAAAATTAGAAATTCGTTAATTTTTCGGGAGCGTGATTGCTAAAAAAATCAGGAAAATTTGAAAAAAATCCCATTTTTCTGAAAAATTCGAGCGAATTTTCAGTTGCGACATTTTCCGAAAGAATAATCTCGAACAAGTTTGTTTCAAAACATTTCGAAAGTTCGCAAAATTGTTTTTGCTTGTCACCGTTTGAGTGTCCAAATATCCTTGCAAATTAGATATGATTCAGATTTTTTTCTAAAAAATTTCAAAACCCCGACCACTGCCTGGCACTGCGCGGTGTTCCCAATGTCATTATAGAACCAGCTGGCGTTTTCAAACATTTTGAAAACGAGTGATGAGCAACATGTGTGCAATAAAAGTAAATCACTTTGTTGTGATCAGTATCCTAGTATCAGGAGAATGAAATTACTTTTTTTGCGAGTTTTGAATTTTCAAATTTTCAAAATTGTTTGAAACGTATTTAAAGCTTCGTTCTCTGGATAAAAAGTTTGAATATTGTATTTTTTCTAACAAAAACCAAACTGTCAACTTTGAGCTCAATTATCTCAATTCCTGTTTGAGATATTAAAATGTTGTCAACTGATAGATTATTTGCCATATTATCACAAAAATTTTATCAGTTGCCAGTATTCTGATATATTTCACCAAAATCGAGATCATTGAGCTCAAAACTGACAATATGGGTGGGTTTTTTTGAGGAAATACGATAACTTGAAAACACTGTCCCTCTCAGCTCGCTAATTTTTCTCTATTTTAATTTTTTTTGATTCCTTGACGTTCAAAATAAAAAGTTTCTAACCAACTGCTGCTACGAAGACTTTTTGGCAAGTCAGCAGTTTTTATCATCAATTAAAACGGAACTTTTCACCGAAGTTTCAATAAAACTCGTGTCGTTTCGATTCTTTCGAATACCGTTTTATCTACGAAAATTAGAAAGCCTATACATTGTTGCCAAAAGTTGTTCCCATCGAATTCCGTGATAGATAGCCGTGAAGAGACAGCTGCTTGCTGACTGACCTTTTGTCTCCCCACACACACATGCCACTTTCTCTCTGACGGAGGGTTTTGTCTCTGCGTCTCTGACCGCGCCGCGGCCGCAACGCACGGCCTTGTAGCCACAGTGAGTCTCTTACCGTACATTAGTATACAGAAACCTAAACCGTCGTTGGCTAATAAGGTGCGCTAAAATTTTTGAGTTCAGAAAATTTTTCGAAGGTTTAATAATTTTAGTTCTCTTCCTTATACTTACTTAAAAATTGCGTAAGAGAGGTATGCCAACATCTCTACCGTATCCCACTGTCTCTTGGGGGTCAAAAGAGGCGAGTTAGTCGCCTCCTGCATCTTTTTGCGTCGCTAATACCCCTCGACTCTCTTTCTTTCTCTCCCCAACTGAAGACAGTGTCTTTGCCTCGCCTACAGTACCCGATTACTCTCATTGTAGAATCAACGGAATACAGTGGATCAACGTCAACAGAACCCGAATTTCAGCGATTCAAGAATGGCTCTCGGGTCGAACCAAGCCGTTTACCATGCACAACAATTGGATGATTCTGACATGATGATGGAAGAACCGGAATATTCCCAGGTGTGTTAATTGTTAAATAAGAAAAAAAAATAAACCAAACAGTTTTCTTAGTTCCATATGGGATATCCCGAAGAAGATGAGGTCGTGGAAGGCATGATTACACCTCGTGCCGTTCATCAGTGTAACGTCTGCAACAAAATCTTTGTTTCCTATAAAGGTGAGTCACCGTAACCCAAGGTCTCTTGCTGTGTTTTCATTGTTCTCTTCAGGATTGCAACAACATGCGGTGATACATACGGATCAAAAGCCATTCCGATGCGATATATGTTCCAAGGCATTCAGATTCAAATCTAATCTTTTTGAGCATCGTTCAGTGCACACTGGTTTTACACCACATGCTTGTCCATACTGTGGTAAAACCTGTCGGTTAGTTGTACTTTTTTTCTGCCCTAGCATTATAACCAATAATGCTAGCCTCAGCGTTTTTTCCCTCATACCATCTGCTCTGTCGTCACTGTATGTACAGTAATAAAAATGCGGTCGTTGTGTGTGTGTGTGCGAGCGTTGCGACAGTTGCCCATCTGTACCCCCTGTTGGGGTCGCTCTCTCAATCACATTTTTTCTCCCCATTCTTCTCTTTGCATACGGTGCAATACAGTGTACGGTAGAGAAAAAGAGGGCAACGCAAGAGACACAGTAAGACACACTGTAGATGAATTTATTGATGAGACGGTAAAAAGAGAAAAGTGAGAGAGAGGGGCACGGTGTGTTGTGTTGGGGTGTTGTCATACTGTGTGAATTAAAAACGAAATGCGTTAGATAAGATGCATCGGTGCGATTAGATAGTCGACACTCGTGACAGTAATCACATTTTTGCAACATCAGTTTTGGGGCGAATAAAATTGAGAGAAGTAGCAGAACAAATCGACAGTAATATTTTTCAGTCTGAAGGGTAATCTGAAGAAACATCTCCGCACACATGTTACCTCAAAAGAAGAGCTTGAAGCAGCATGGCGACCATTCTCCAGGTTTTTTGTACTAAATCAAAAATCAAAATACCATATTTTTGGTTTCAGTAACCGCCGTCCACCAGCAGACATCCCAGAGGATGCTATTGTAGTTCGAGGAACGGGTGGTGGACCATACTACACCCCACCACCACGACCAAAGAAGAAGTAAGATTTTTTATTCAAAAGCTGATTAAGGCGACACGTTTTTCAGGAAACTTGGTCTTGGAGAACCAGATATGTGGGTCGACAAGCTTAGACGTGGAGATTTGCTGCCACAAGTCGATCTAGAGGATAAATTAAGGCGACTAGAAGACACAATTTTCAATAACATGTCTTTGGATAGATGGGTTAATCTCTTTGAGATCGCCAAGTCAATTGCATTTGAAACGTAGGTATTTTTTTTAATGGATAAGACTCAAAAGGCAGAGAATTCCAATTCGGATTCTCTGAAGTTATCGTAAAACTCTAATAGAAGGCAACTTTATCATTGCGTTCCGAGCCTAATTATCTTAATTTAATTTCTAAGACAGATAACATAATTTCTAAGACAGATAACAAAAATCCGCCAGCTGATAAAATATTTTTCATAATGTTATCAGCATTTTATCAGTTGACACGCTTTTGATATCACACATAGAAATTGGGATAATTGAGCTCACAGTATGAGTATAGGGAAACCTCTTATTAAAGTGTTTACGGTATCAAGAAATTTTGTCAAACTTTCCCAACCTTCAGGGAAGTTGTATCTCAAAAAAAACCGCACTTAAAGTAGGTCAGGCGGACCTAAGCTACCGTTAGATCAACGCTCGAAATTGGATAAATGGAAAACTGAGGGATTTTCTGAATATCAAAACAGCTCTGACAAAATGCAGCACATTTTCTCGAGTATAACTTACGATTTTCTATTTTCAGACATGAATGCCCAGTGTGCAAATGTCAGTTCATGACTCGAATGGATTGTATGAGCCACCACAGCATCGAACATGAGAACAGTCGAGAAGGACTTGATTATTTCTGTGAGGTAAGTTTTTTCTTGGCGTTAACAAACATAAAAATCTTCACAATTTCCTGAATAAAATGCAAATTCGCATACTTGTAAATTAGCGAAACGGTTTGACGAACAGCCCAGCGGCATCGTTGTCAGGCTCAGTATTTTTCGACAAAAAACATAGTTATTGAAGCCGCAGGGTGGAGCTCAGCGAGTATTACAAAGTTCTACTATTTGAAAAACTGGTTAAAATTCCAAAAAAGCTGACAGATTTGATATCTGATACTCCTGGCTATTTTTTGGCTCGTAACGATTTAAATAGCCTGATACAGTTTTTCAAATTGCGGAATTTCGTAGTACTCAGTAGTACTCACAGAGTTCACTCATAGCTATTTAAGGTCAAAAAATAGCGAGCATGAGAGAAACTTGAGAAACTTGAACAGTTTTTCTATTTGCGAGCTGCCTAATTTTTTGAAGAGTAATCATTTTACGAGCTAAATCACAAAAAAAAACAAATGTTCTTGTCTTCAAAAATCTCAAATTACTCAAATTGGCGCAAAATCGCTCATATACGTTCAGTACCTCATTTTAGCCTGTTTACAAGTACGAGCTTTGGTTTTTTCAATAATTCTGAACTCATTGATGTCTCCTTCTCCAAACAAATTTTAACCAAAAATTTTTAGAAATGCTTCCGACCGTTCGCTGACGAGGATAGCTACAATCAACACATGGAGTACCATGCCAAAGTCGCCAACCTTATTGACACTGGAGCAATTTTGGTGAGTTCTTAACGTTTCTGCTTCCTTATTTCACCTTTAAATGTTTTAGCCAACTCCCTCCGACCCGGACATTCTGGTGCCGACAACCGACGAGTTCAAAATGCTTTTTGATGGAACGATGAATCAGCAAATGATGCAACCCCAAATGATATGACGAAAAAATCCCTGTGGTTAATCCAATTTCCGGTTTTACACAAGCCGAAACACATTTCACTATGAGTTAAAAGTTACTACATTTTTTCCTGAAAACACTAAATTTTACCAAATACTACGAGGTATCTTGCAAATTTTCAAGATTGCTCCTTCTTTGCTCTCTCTCTCTCTCTCTCTCTCTCTCTCTCTCTCTCTCTCTCTCTCTCTTTCTATTTTTTGCCAAAAGGTATTTGGACAAACATTACGGTCTGTAATGTGCGATCTCCCTTCTCAGTCTCTAATTAGAAGTTTGTTTTAGTTTCCCTCTCACCAACCTTTATCCAATGATCCTTCCATTGAGCTTCCAACTTCGATATTTATTTTTTGTAGTAGTTCTAAAAACTAGTGAATATAATTTTAATAAATTTTTCACAACTCTACCAGCTAAACTTGTAAAAAGATTAAGATCGTCCCAGGAAAAAAAAGGAAAGTGGTTTTGGACTAGTTCCGGAACATACCGATCGAGATTTTAGATAAGTTTAGCAGCAGTATAAAAGGATAGTCCGCATTAGGATATCCATCATCCAATTCTCCCTTTCATTGTTTTACTAATGAGCTACAAAAGCATGGAGTCTTCTTCTTCAACTGTCTCGTTTGCTGTGATCCTCTCAGGATGTGCCTTCCTGATTATGGTCACTGCCACGCCGGTCCTCTTCTATACCATGAGTGATATGACTTCTCAATTGGAATCTGCGAAAAATGGATTCCAGGAAACCTCAAATGTTCTCTGGAAGGAGTTGGTCACCAACGAGAGCTCAAGACGATTTGCCAGACAGACATGTGAGTTACTTATTTCAACAATGCAAAAATTTAAAACCCAAACTTCTATCTTTCAGATAAAGAAGGAGGTTCTGCTGCTGGTGGAACACCTACTGATGCCCCAGTAGTTGCAAACGCTCCAGAAATTTCTGTGGTTATCGATAACACTTGCCCACCAGGACCAAAGGGTGAGGATGGAGCCGCCGGAGAACCAGGAACTGATGGAACTGATGGAACACCAGGAAAAGACGGTCAACCAGGAAGAAATGAACAAGCCGCCAGCACATCTGGAGACCTTTGCACCGCTTGCCCAGCTGGACCACCAGGAGTCGCTGGATACAAAGGAAAGCGTGGATCTCGTGGAGAAAAGGGAGATAAGGGAGCACCAGGAAACGCTGGGCGTGACGGAGCACCAGGAGATGACGGACCAGAAGGAGACCACGGACATCCAGGACCAATGGGACCACCAGGAGAAAGAGGAAACGCTGGAGCCGACGGAAAAGGATTCGCTAAGGGAGCGCCAGGACCAAAGGGACCAACTGGAATGGATGGACTTCCAGGAGATGAAGGACTTCCAGGAGAGCGTGGAGAGGATGGAGCTGGTGGAGCACAAGGAGAGCAAGGACCACAAGGATCACAAGGAGAAAAGGGAGCTGATGGATTCCCAGGACTTCCAGGAGCTGCTGGAGCTTCAGGAGAAGATGCTGCCTACTGCCCATGCCCATCAAGAAAGGGAGACGTCGCCGGAGGAGGTGGTGGATACGCCGCACCAACTGGAGCTGAATTCGAAGGAGCACCAGTGGTAAGTATTTCATTGTACAGTATGATTTCTAACTTGAATGGTTACAGGGAGGAGGAGCACCTGCTGACGTTGCCTCTCCAGCTGTTCCAAATGATACATCTGCTGAAGGTGCAGGAGCTCCGGTTGAAACCATCTCAACCAACGGAGAAGCATTGTCCACCGAAGCAGCACCAGAAGCCGCTCCAGCACCAGCAGCTGAAGGAGAAGGAACACCAGCAGGAGGATCAGATTCAGAAACATATGCTGGAAAAAGTGCTGGAGAAGGAGCCCCAGCTGGAGCAGGAGGAGGAGAGACACCAGCCGGAGGATCTGGCGATGTTACCTATCCAACTAAGAACCGAGCTCGTTTTACCGCTCGTCAACGTGATGCTTCTCGCATTAGCAGAACTTTCTAATTGAACATTTTCATGTTTCACTAATTGGGTTTTCTAATAAATTTTGTGTCGGAAAAGTGATTTTTTTAGTTTTCGATATGAAAAACAATACGCAGATTTCAGAACAATAATTAATCAGCGGACAGCTTCTGAATACTTCTTGCTGTCAGAGGGTACAGAAAAGATGTCTTGTGCCTAATTTCTACAGTTTTCATTTTTGAACGAAAAACCGAAAAAAATAATATTGTGAAAGTTCAGTAAATGTGCATTTTGGACCATCCAAAGCATGCAAACTTTTGCTTTTTTCTTTAAAAAAATGCTAACTGGGTTTTTATTCACTTATTCGATGCAGAAACACGCTGAATAAAAAAACCTGATTTAAATGGAGTGTTTGAAATCCTGTTTCATCAGAGCGAGTTTGCATCGCGTTGTGTAAAATTTGGGAGGTTTTTCATACGTACATTTTCAGCACATTCTCCAAAGAATTCCTAAAAAATGAAATTAAAACATTTGAAATTTCGGTTTCAACGATAGCATATTCCCGCCTGGAAAATTTTTTTTCAAACTTTGAAATCTTATCACTGGAATCGGATTCTGAAACTGGTTTTACTTTTGAGAGAATATTTTGCCTTTGATATTTTTAGGAAATATTTTTAGGAAAAAGCTCAAGAGCTCTGACAACGAGTCTCCGATTCATAATCCAAAAACCCCTGGTCTCTTGTAAATTTTGTCTCAGTTTGAATAGAAAAGCAGGAGTCCGTGAATTGATTTCTTCTGAATGTCAATGAAGGAAGAATATTATCATTTATCACAATTTTGCTCTGAAAAACTATATATTGTACAAAATTGATGATAATGTCACTAACCCGAGAGCTCATGTTTATTGGAAGCTTCCAGAATTCTTCACCGTCCAAGCCAATTAGAAAGTGAGTAGGACAACTAGTGTCGTATTCATTGATCCAAGATAAATACTCGACTTCTCGGTGCATTTTGTGCTTGCTGGTTTCAAGAACAGCAGCCATATTGTTTTCGACAACAAGCTGAGTGCGGTAGATGGTTTTTTGTGTGACAATGTTGTTATCCCCAAGTTTTGATGGATAATGACACCAGCATCTGAATCAAGCTTCTCTTTTTTTTTGAAAGAAGACTGGAACTTTGGCTTGAAGATATAATTCGAAACTCGCCTCATTGTGTAGTCTAGATAACCAGGCATAAAAGTTCAAACATTTGGAAGTGATGTTGACTACTGTAATATGAGTGATGAACGTTATGAACCTTCTGCACGAAACTCTGATTGTTAAAAATAAAACGACTTCTACTTTTCAGAAATACCAATAATGTTTTATTAAAAGTTTGCGAATAGGTCAAAAATTCCACTAATGATGTTTTAAATAATTACAATTGTTTCGAAAGCGGATATGTGTTCATTGTACATGTTCACACGCAATACAATGGGTCCAGGTTGTTCTCTACTACCAGTGACAGTTTTCGATCAACTTTTTTTAGGTGATATGACTTCTCATTATTTCGATTGCTATTAATATCTTTCTCTGCGAGTTTCCTCAGTGAAATGTGATAACTGTAATGATGATCATCGGAAGATCTGGCAGTTGTTCTAGGAGAGCACCGACAGAGGAAAAATAACACAACACCGATTGCAATTCTGGAATATTTTATAATGGTTAACGAGCTTTTGCAAAATTTAAACTCACAGAATAATCGATAACAGGATGAGTACCGTAATCGAGACAGTATCAAGAATAAAATTGAGCACAAAGTGGCTATCATAGAAATCTCTGGAGAGATCGAAGACTTCATTCAGTGAATATACAGAATTGACTTGCATTAACAAGACAAAGAGGAGTACAATCAAATGATGCTGGACCATGGTGAACAACAAAAACAGGGAGAAAACAATGTGCTATTTGTGAGGAAGGGAAGACAACTCTTATTAAATCTAGAAGGGTTTGGCAGAGTGGGAAAACATTCATATGTTTGAGATTCAAGAAAAATATTGATTCGCGGTCGACTAGAACTAATCAGCTAACAAAACGCAGTGAAGAAGAAACAAAGTCGTGGGTAATAAGTTATGAGAACTCGGAATGTACTCAACGTCACGGGGGTCAATTTTGGGTAGTTTTATAACCCTGGAATAGTTTTTCCTGACTACTGAGGACACTTGTACTAGGTACCCGTTCCAGATCAATCTCATAATCGTCTTGCAGGTAGAAGCGACGAGCCACACATATGATTACCACGATTCCGGCTCTGAAATAAGAACAATCAAAAAAGTGGTATGATTTGTGTTTTTTGAATCGGTCAGTTGGCGAATCTCTAGTACCGTTCTGTAGTTCGTTAATTTCACCTAATATGTAGAAATGCTCTAATTGAAGTCCAACCTGCACTTTGATCTCAATTGTCTCACTTTCTGTTAGCAACATCAAAAATTGGTGAAGTAATAAAATGATTTTGATATTATGTTGAACCAGTTTTCAAATGGCTAATTTTTGATGTCTTTCGAAAAAATCAAAATCATTGAGCTCAAGGTGCACGTATAGGATTGGCTTCTATTAGAGCATTTACGATATTTTTGGATGACAATCGAAAACTTCGAATTTCTTTGAAAAATTTAGTGGGTGTTCTTGAGTGAGAATGAAATTTCCCTGTTGTGCTTCAATTTCAAACAGTGCTTCAATTTCATAGTAGTCACATTTTTTGTACCAATTCATTCAAATAAGATGAACTGCTTGGAACTAACCAAATGCTAGAAATTTTACAAATAACACGGCGTTCAGAACTATAACGTTTTTCAGCGACTCATCTGATTTGGATGAATCAAAGTTCTATTTTTGTTGGGTAGAGCTGAAAAATTTTAGCGCTCATCCGACTGAATTGATTATACTTTCCAGACATCCAAAGATGGATACTTTACTAGAAAAGTGAGTTAACTTTCGATCAGTATTGTGGGAAATCTGGATAGTACCATAATAACTATTAAACCTTCAACTTTAAATATTTATATCTCGGTTCCTGTGAAAGATATGGAAATGTGCTCAACTTACAAAAGGTTTATCATAATATTCAACATATTTCTTCGGTTGACCACTTTCCTGTATCTTTCACAAGAACCGAAATGCGTGGGCTCCAAGGTGACGGTTAAGGTGGCTTTCTACAAAAATTTTGAGACCGATAGCAATTTTTCACTTACTCAATTTTAGTTTAAACTGATTTTATGAAAACTTACACTGAAAATGAAACAAACACTACCACTTGCATCGAACTGTAATTCGTTATAACTTCTGACTGGAAATTTGGATTTCTGATTTTCTCGTACTCCTCCATAGATACCGCATCCAACTCAACTACCATCTGATTCTCAAGATCTGCCAGTTTTGAAAATGTTAGATCCGGTAGCATATTTGTTTCTCGAAATATCAACGACTCGGTTTTGGTTGGTCTGTTCTGCAAAACTTGAACTTTGCTACGTCTCCCAGGCAGCTCATGAACTCACCTTCAGAATCCAACAATATCCTGTGAAAAGTACAAATAGAATAACACCTATTGTGATGTTTCGTATCCGACCCATTTAATCAATATAAATGAGAGATGGGAAAAATTAGAGGCACGGGACGCCAGGATTTCGTGCCAAAATGAAATAAAACACAAGTGGTTTCTCTTTTTTGGGAGTGAGAGGGAGAGAGGAAGGAACAAAGATTTTATTCAAGGAGGGAGAAATGTATGTAGTAAATATGATTTCCAAGAACGTTCAATGGGGATATAAAGAGTTTCTCTATTTCTTTCGAGCAGAAACGGATAAAAAACTGATCAAACACGTTTTTCTCCTTCCTTCGTCTATCTTTTAACTTGCCGCCCAACCATGCATGTTCAATTTCATCACAAAGCGTGGAACATCAAGGATGACTTGGAGTTAGAGTAATAGGAAAACGATATGTATGAAGATAGAAACAGCGCAGAAGAATAAAAACACTCAAGTTCTCTGTCAGAGAATACAAGATGGATAAAGAAAAATTTTGCCAATTAAAACCTGCACCTCGAGAGATGTTTCCCTGCTTGTTTTTTTTCGCTCCTCCCTTCACCCTCTACACCGCACAACACATTTGGCTGATAGTAGTCCACAAAGAAAAGGGGACTAACAATTTGAAATAAGATTAAGCCAAGTCGGAAATGGGGGAAAAATGTGACATCCAGTTAATCCAGCACACACATTGGGACCTGGCGCGCATCCCTAAAGTTGTTATGTACATCGTTATTTTTTCTGTTCAGTGGTTTTTGTTGCCAATAAACTTTTGTAGCTTTTTCATCTGGAAAGTTACGAATTCAACAAAAAAAACTAGCAATGTCCCTTTTCCCCTTCCCCATAATACGGAGCTATTCGATAAAATTGCGTCAAAAACGACATTGAGGATTAGCTGGAAAAACGAATATATGCGCATCATAGACATGTTATGTGTTTTTTCGTCGCCGCTGGTTTCGGGCGTCTTCTTCGGAGCAACACGAAAAAAATGGGCCGAGTATTCTGATGGATATGAAGAAGCTCAAAACGAGATGCGGAAAGAAACAACGTCGTCGTCGGCGGCGAAACCATCCCAACGACTTCTTCGTGCCCTTTGGGACATTGGTGTTTTTCTTGGGGGAGTGACGAAGAAAGAGATAGGATATATAGAGACCACTCACCCCTTCACACTCTATCATTTCTGCATTATCTAGTGTATGTAGTAGTTCAGTACATTGTTGCAATTCATCCTCCACCACTTTGCAACTCACATCGGTTTCCGTCTTTGTTAATCCGTTTCTTCTTCTTCTTTCTTTGAAAAACGTCGACGCGGTCGGTCTTCTTCTTGTGTGGTCAGTGTCCTATCTTAAGAAGCTCTGACACCAAGAAACTTTTTTTTCTGTTGGAATAGCTTTTGGGTCAATTTTTGATAAGTTAAACCTTTTGATGTAAGACCGATAGGATTAGAAAGTGACAGGAAAAAATAAAAAAAGAGCTTGAATTTGCAAATAGTGTCGTCAGCTACCGTAATACGTCATTTAGAAGTTTCACCTCTGTTTGGGGTTTTTGACTGTAAATAAAATTGTTGAAATTTCTTCAATTAGTTGTGACTTCACTACAGTACTGAAAAAATCATTTTTGACTTTTTACAACGGATAATCATGAAATCTTTTAAAATCCTAAAAAAAGTAGCACAGAATCTTTTAATTAGACTGAAATAACGAGAGTATACTTAACAAAATTTGAGCTTGACTTTTGTAATTGACAAATTTTTTGTACGAATCCAACTTAACGAGATTAAACGTTTGAAAGGGGCACAGCTCTCTTCAGTGTTAATTTTGACATTTCCAGAACTTTTGCTGGTTCAAACGATACGTCCAACCAGCAAAAAAATTCTGCGAATAATTTTTCAACTACATTATGTCAAAAACATTTCAGGAAAACCAAAATTTCTGGAATGAATTTTCAGGTTTTCAAAATTTACTATTTTTCACTGCAAAATGAAAAATATGGTTTTTTAGTCCGGTACAGTAGTAAAGGCAAAACGGATTTAAAAATTCCTACAGTTCTCAATTACTGTCAAAAATTGGGTTTTAACAGGTACTGCATGTTGCGTGATCTTTATGGTTTTATCATTTGAATTCAAGATAAGTTAAATTTCTTGATTATCTCAAAAGTTACCAAAACCAAATGAAAAGTTTCAACTAGGAAACACTTCGAAACACACTTCACCTTATTCTCCCGGTAGAACCATTTAGCATTTTCATGTTATCCTGACCTTTTGAGCATTTCTCCTCGCTTGTCAAAACGTTTCAAATCTTGTCTCATCCCACCCCTCTCCTCGTTTCGATTCACTATGTTGCAAAATAAGAGGCTCTTGTGTGATATATGCATGAAATCATCAATCATCCCAACGAGTACAACATCCTTCACATCCCAACACACTCTGTGTGTATATTCCACTAATTTCCAAAACATGTTAGCTCCTCCTTCAGATTTGTCTCTCTCATTTCATTTTCCCCGTATGCCACCATATCCTTCCGATTCAGTAGACGGACCTTGCAAGGTTTACAATCATGCTTTATGACTGGAAAAAGCGGGTAATTTGTGGGGGGTAGAGCTTGATCGGTTTTCCTCCTCCTAGCGATTTATATTTATTGCCCAAGACGATGAAAAAAGAAAATAGAGAATGGAGAAAAAGCAATTTGAAGTGAATCGGTGTCCCGTCTTTTAATTGGTGTGTCTACGGGCGGACCGGTGTGTGTATAAAAATAACGACATTCAAAACGGGGGAGCATTATTATGGTAACGAGCCTTGTCTGAGTTCCGAAGTCCTACTTCAAACTGTCTTTCTCTCTTTTTCTTTTCTTTCCCCCCAAAAAAAGAACATCCCATTAGTCAGCCCCTCCATACATTTTCTATTAACTTGTTCCGGCATAAGAGATAGGGAACAAAAGTTTACTAGGACTTTGTTTTTCAAAAGTTTCGTTTCGAAAACTCGAATCTCATTCACTTCTCATCTTGCGGCTGTTTCGGCGACATCAAAAAGTCTCGCGTGGCAATTTTGTTCGTTTCTTTCTTGCTTTTTCAATACCAATTTTCGCAAACTGAGCAGTTTTTCGGAACTCACACAAAGTTTTATTTCATAAGGAAGGATTTTTCGAGTGTGTCTTTTGAAAGTTCTGACTTCGAAATTCGATTAGATTTAAGGCAGTCCGGAGTAACTCTGGCTGAGCTTACCTCATTTAAAATTCATTGAATTTAAACTTTAGTCTGGATTATTTTAGAAATGCAACTGATAAACTGTTTAGCAGAAGATCACAAGCACTTGATCAGTTGACAAATTTTTCATACTTTGCTTAGGAGCCAATAAAGACTTTTTTCAAACTAGACAACGTCAGGCCCTTATACTGCAGGTCTAATAGACATTATTGTCACGTTTGAGCTGATTTTTCTTGACTCCTATGGAAGATATCAAAAGTGTGTCAACTAATAAAATGTTCATGATGTTATGATAATCAATTTATCAATTGACAACTGAAATCAATGAAATCAATTGAAATCGAGACATGTCCCATTTTAATATCGCTTTCATTGCCAATTCAGACCGAGTTTACCTGTACTGCTGTTCTCTACTTCACCTCTTGCTCCACTTTTTAAAAATCGAGACTCAAAAACATTCAAAACCCTTGTACCTAAAAAAGAAATCCAAGTCGATCATCGTCACTTTGACGAACTCAACAACAAAATACAGAGAGGAGCGTCAAATGAGTGGAGGCATTAGCAAATCTAATTCTGATGCCACGGAGTTCTTCTTCTGCGTTTCATTTTTTGCCGTTTCTTCTTCTTTTTCTATAGTTGCCTTTTTTACACTACCAAATTTTGCTTTTCCCTCTTTCCGGACTCTAAACAACACACTTTTACCCTCCTTTCAACTAATCGTTCATATTTCCCGAGGATGTGGTCCCTTGCAACGCTTCGCGTTCGTTTTTTGTTGCTTCATGTATTATGGAGAGCACCAACCCATTTAAGGAGGTTCCGTTACAACGCCCTGTTAACTCTTCTTTTCTTCTCCTTATTTTTTTCTAACACACACACACGTTGATTCTATGGTCTGTTTCACTTTTAATTTCACGTTTGTGTGGCGGGATGAAAAGTGAGGGGTTTCCTTGAAAGGAAGAAAGGAAGACGATGGGCGCCGCCTCCTTCGTTGCCACCGCTTCAGAAGGAGAAGAGTCTCAGTCAATTGTTTTGTGCATTGCTGTCAGAAGACGTAGGAAATGGAGCACTGGAGGTGGCGAAGAAGAAGAAGAAGACGTTGAAGACCGGGGTCACCGATTTTCACGCCACCGCTACCTCTATTGTTTTCCGCTCTCCGTACGGCGCACACAACTTGTTGGGACCCCTCCCCTTTTACCTATTCATTCACTACTCTCGAAACGCTTACCTTTCTATTTTTCAAGTTTTCTTGGTTTTTTGTTTTAATCGTAGGTAGAGTTGGATTGTAGCCATAATGCTGAATTCATAAGGTTACTGTAGACAATACAGTTTGCTATTTGTAGAACTAACTTCCGCTTAATTTCTAGAATGAATATTGTTTTGGAGTATACAGTACCGGTCGCTCGGCAAGATTTCGATAACGGAAAATTTTGTAGTCTGTTAAACAGAACTAAATCAAGAAGTTTGCAAATTCAGAATTTTTGAAACCTTCTAGTTTTTCAGCTGCTTGCCGATTTGTTGAAAACGCTTGTGTGTTTTCACAATTCGGTACAAAAACGATACTAAAAAAAGGTGTCCTTCAAAAATCTTCAGATAGCTGAAAAACTAGGAATTTTCAAAAACTTCTGTGATTGTAAAATTGTCAATCTTGTAAGGCTATTTCATACCCTCCGATTTTTTCGAAGTGATTGGAAAAGTGACGGTCTAGCTGTAGACTTCTGGAAATGGTCAAAACGGCCGGAAATCCACTGAAAAATATGTTGTTGTATATTTCATTGACCGGTACGGTACGATCAATCAACGATTCTTGAACAGTTTTTGCTAATTATTTGCCATACGTCCCAGAAGACTTGCTGCTTCGAATAATGCTCTAAACGTTCCAAATATTCAAAAAACTCAAAACAACTTTTGGAACACTTGAGTTCCACTTCAAAGTACCCCTCTCCAAAAATAGCTGTTCAAAAAAATCAAGGGCTCAAAAAGTTGTTTTTCTTTTTTTGAGAAGAAAAATATAATGATATCGTTTCCAACAATTTCTAATATCTAGTAGATGACTTTTTGATACCTGTTTTCTTCACACTTTTGCCGAGAAGACATGAAAAAACACATTGAAAGGGATTCATCGAAAATTAAATTACACGGTAAACTGCTCACAATGAAAAGGGATTTCCTGAAGGAGATAACCAGAAAAAAAAACACGAGACATACTAAAAAATAGCGAACAGAGGCAAAGAACTACCGAGAGAATATTCTTTATGTAATCCTCGTCTCAATTTTCATATGTTCTAGAACCAAGAACGCCTATTTCGTTTATTTTTCCTATCCGATTAAGCTAGAACTTTAGGCTTTTATCTAGTGAGGTGTTGACGGTGGAAGGGATTTGCAGGAATCGATGTGGTGCTAATCCGATATTCAGATAATCCACCAGGATAGAGATAGGGATAGATAGGAAATGGAAAATAGAAGAGCTTTTCCAAAGAGAAAGAGTAGCTGTGGAAAAGACCGGAAAAGGTGGAGGAAATCGATTGCTAAGCGGGGATTTAGTTGAGCATGAAGTATGCCCCACAAGTGATGCTCCTCCTCCTTTTCTATTTCGTTTGTCTCCATTTTTGGGTGGAGTTAGGCCAACTGATGAGTAGGAAAAGTGCGAAAAAATATACTTTTTGGTTCAAATTTAAGGTTTTATCGATTCGAGTTTCTTTTGTTGAAATGGACATTTTGAGGAAGTGAAAAGTATAGTAAAGTGCAACTTTGAATTTCATTGTTCTAATTGAATGTTTGAATATATCGCGAGTCTTTGGAGACATCTAAGATCAAAATTTATTGATTTTGATTAACTTCAAGAATCTTGCCGATATTTCTCCTTAAGTTTGAATATTGTCAGATATTTTCATTTTTTATTTTATTACTAGTTTGAGAGAAAAAAACCTACAGTACCGGCTAAGAAGATGTACAGAAATCTGTTTTTCCCGTCGATTTTTCAGTAAATTTGACCATTTCCAGGCGTCTGGAGCTTAGCTGTCAAGTTTCCGATCACATTGGAACGTTTAGAAAGTGTAAAACAGAATCAAATGAAAACTATTTCTATTTTATCAGCTATTTGTTGGTATCAAAAAATACCTGCTTTTTGACTGTGATTTAAACTGATAACGTGAAAAACAGGTAACTTTCAGGAATTGGTTAATAACTGAAAAACTAGAAACTATTCGAACATTCTATTTTACACTCTGATGTTTTCAAAGTGACCATACCTTATTGAACGGTACTGTGATTCTTAACAAATTTTTAGTTCGCGAATTCATTTTTAATCAAATTTCCAGAATCAAAAATACGGGAAGTTTGATTTCAAAAATTTAAATTTCAACGTTTTTCTGTTCTTTTCTTCGGCTTTAAAATGTTATGCTCTCATCTCAATGAGTATCATGACGTTATGCTACTCAACAAACATCATGTAACCTGTGTTCCGCTAAGAAAAGTAGAAACGGTTGAGATTTTGAAACGTTATTTGATCCATCCCAGCGATGATGCTCTTTTACTGGAGAAATCGAGAAAAAGAAAGAGAGAAAAAGAGGGAGTGCCGATGAAAATAGTGCGTGAGTGGCCGGAAAACAGGCAGATTCCATTTCACCTTCTTCCTTTTCCCACGAGCTCATCTTACCGAAATTATCGACCATTACGTTGATGCCCCCTCCCGCTTTACATCATGGATGACCTAGGAACAACTTGTTCTGTTCTTGTTTCTTTTAATTTAACATGTTTTTCAAAATTATTATTAGCGGTGACGACGAATAAGATCCATGTCTATCCACAACATAACATAAACGAATGAATATTCAATTAGAGAGCAAATAGTTCATAGTGGAGCAAAAGCTTACATTAGACTCCCGTTTGCTTCCCCCTCTCACACCCTCCACACTACGGATATGGTTGTAATTAATTTTTAGGGGAAACTATAGGGAATTCAACTTTGCGTTTCAGAACTTTCATGTCGCTTTCATCATAATATAACATTTGATATGTCACAGGTGATATCCGCTCTTTTTTAATCGGGGTTAGCTCTCTCTTTCATCACATTCAGAGTTGGTGAAAAAAAGAGAGGAGAGGATGATATGTGCAATTTTTATGGATTTCCCTCATAACCATTCCGAATAGCCATTCAGCCTTTTCTCTTAACTTGTCTCGCTTCACCGGTTTTCAACTAAAGCAACTCGTATTCTCAAAAGCAACTTGTCTTTTCTTTTCTCCTCATCTCTTCTAGGTTAGTCGGGATGTACAATGTTCTGTTTCTGGAAAAGTTGGGACCAACTGTTTCTGGTAGAATTTTTGGTGTTCGAAGATGTTACAACAAAAATGATCTCAAGGCTTTTAAGTGCTTTCAGGTGCTTTAATTTTTTGAATTTCTTTTTTTAAATTATATTCATAAAATTAAACAATACATATCATTAACTATTTTCTCAACTTGTGACTGAAAATACATGTTCAGTATACCATAAGTGTTGTGCCACAGTTAAACTGCCTACACATATGTTGACTTTGTCAAAATATAAACTATATGTAGAAAGTAAAGCTTTTGTTTAGGTTACCCTAAGATTTTCAGTCGAATTAAAAAAAATTTAGGACTCCAGTTTCGATTGCTTTCAACTGAATAAGTCAAGACATTATTTAATTTCAGAAATCCAAAGTTGTCCTATAAAAAGTCCAAAAGAGGATATCTGCCTGACACTGTATGATTTCTGAAAAATTTCCCACATTTTCAACATTTCCACACATCTTTATCATCCTCAACAATTCTTTTATTCCTTCACCGCCCCATAAAATTTGTCATATATTCTTCTGGTGGATCCCATCGTCTTCCTGCCAAACGGCGCCTTCCTATCTTTCCCCCAAAAAAATTTTACTACCCTATTCTCCTGTGCCGTACATCTCTCCCCACCCCTTGATTATTTATTGCGGTCCTACACATGTTCGAAGCCAATTTTTTGTTGTCTCCTCTTCTTCGAACATCAATCTTCGTGAATCGAGCCGTTTGATTGGTGATATGAGATTTTCACCACCTCCTGGCTGTTCTGTGGTTATATTTTTGTTTTTTTTTGGGGATTTTTTGTTTTTCTCAATGCGGTTTCGGAGAAAAAAGACAACAGAAACCTACTGATTAGTTGACAAAAATAATATTTTCTAACGTTCACCGTGTCTCTCAATACCTAATTACTCCATACCCTTCTTTTTTCTAATTCCAGTTCAAATTTTCTTATTTTTCAGGCCCTTTTCCCTCGTCAAAACATGAAATTCAGCTATTTGGTGTCGTTTGCTCTTGTGTTGGGATGGAATTCAGAAGTGGTGATGACGAGAAACGCAGTTCATACAGTTCGCCACGACATTGCATTTGTTCACACTTTTGATACCAAGGAAATGTGCATGTCCAGGTATGGAAAAAGCGGTGATTAAAGTTAAGAGACCCCAAACTATATCACTCGAAAAATTGAAGCTAAAATTGTTTTAAAGAATAAAACCGAATGAAGGTAAATTCAAAACTCAGAATATTCGAAAATTTAAGAGTTACAGTAAACAGAAAAACCACTATGTTTTGAGCACTTCTCTAATAGAAAAACAACCTCGATCTTGAAATAAAACTTCTCATAATTTCAAAAAATTTCGAAGCGTTATTTTGAGAAAATTGTCGTTGTAGGAAATATACCAGAGCACATTTTGTTCGAATTTTTATTTATTTCAAACTTGAAGTTTGGTGTGATGGAAACTCCAAATGTAATGATTTTTTGGTAAATTCAAGCGTTAGACTTCTAACGATTAAACCAAATTCAATACCGGGCCGGGCCGGGCTTTTTTCCAATTTTCGGAAGTCCGGCCTGACGGGCCCGTCATTTCATAAGTATGGAAAATTTCAAAAAACACATAAGGACTTTCGAGTTTTTTATATCTTTATTTGTTGATTAAACAGGCAAACAATCCAAAAAAAAAAACAAAAAATGGGGGAAAAATATTATAGGCTTAAAATTTGGCTCAAAAACCCAGAATTTTTAATACCGGGCTTACCGGCCGGCCCGGGATTTAAAAAGGTCTCCAGGCCTGGCCCGGAATTTCACAAGTTCGAATAGGTGCACTGATTCCCTGTGCGTGTTCTAATAGGAATTCACCCGATATTAGCAATTCGAGCAAAATTATCTCAATTTTTGTGAAAGATATGACAAATTGCCATTTGATAAAATGTTTCTAATAATATTGCCAAAATGTTATTAGTTGACAAGTTTTCAATATCTTTTATAAAGTCAGAGATAATTGACCTCAAAATGCAAGTATTCAGTAGCACTGTATCAAAGGTTTCTCGATAGTCAGTTTCCGTCATTTTTGAAAAACTGATTACCCAAATAATTATACTGAGACAATTTCAAATGATTATGATTTTAAAATTTCAAAAAATCAAATATAGGTTACTTCCTGTTTTAGGTTACTTCCTGTTTTTCGAGTGGCTTTCAATTTATGTTACACGAAGTTTGAATATAATTTCTGAATTTATTAATAACTGTTTCGGTATGACTATCTATACGAAAATAAAATTTTTCCGCCTTTCATACAAAACAAAAACTTCTTAACTAGCTTTTCAAAAAATTCCAGATGCCGTATCGGATGCACTCAACAACACTCTGAAGATCTGATGATGCCCCGTTGGCACTGTCCATTGCAGGTTTGGCTTTTCATCTCTACCCACATAGTTCCCTCTCATTTCCTTGCTCCCTTTATTCCAATTCTTCTATCTGACCAAGCCAATTTTATTTTTCATTTTCTTTCCAGGAAGAAGACGAGAACGATGTGGAAGAGGAGGAGAAGACGTCGCTGGGAGGAAAAATGCTCATCATTGTCCCTTGCGTCATATTCGGCTCTCTTCTGTTTTTATTCTTCTGCGTGTCGGCAATGCAACGATTCTGTCGAAACGACTATTGATTCGTTTTGAGCTCATCAAACATTTTTGAAAAGAAATTTTCAAAAATTCTAATTGCACATAATCCGTCGGTATTTTTCCCAATGAGATACACCTCAAACATCAATTCCCTGCCTAGAACCTCTACATCATGGCTTCCGCCAATCAAACTCTCTTTTTTTCTTTTTTTTTCCTGTCTACCAAACCTCAATCAGTACTTTTTCCAAAATTTTGCACTTTTAACTAAAGTGCACTTCCCTATTTTGTCTCTATTATCTTTGGACCCTCAACTCATTAATGTTCATTTCTTGTCGACAAAAAACCAGTATAATTTCTTGAATCGTCTTCTAGAGAATGCATGTTGTAATGTAATACTATGATCGTCAGTCTCATTTTCTCTTTTTGTCTGTCTTGTTGTATCAACAAGTAGTTTCTCCTTTTATTTTTCCCCTCGATATTTTTTCTCTGAGCAATCTTTTTCTTTTTGCTTGACTGTTCCTCAGTTGTGATCTGTGTATGGGTTCCGGTGATAAATTCATTTATTCCTTTTATGTATTTTTTTTCGTAAAATTTAGTTCAATAAACGTATCGCCTTATTCCTTATCAGAAAAAAATGTCGCAAGCTGTCAGATTAAAAAAAACGAGAAGTTTAATCATCAAGGTTAATAATTCTGACAATGATATATAGGAGGAAGTTCAAAGTTGCCTGGCTTATTGGTCTAATCAGCATCTTCTTTTATGAAAATTTTAGAAAGCTGACAGTTAGTATAAGACTATAAGAGATTATCTAACCATGCCTTCATTTATACCACCAATGCCGTGATAAAATGACAATCTGTATCTGTTCTTTGAGCTCAACTATCTCAATTTCTGTGAGTGATTTCAAGAATTTGTTAAGTGATACCAGGTTGGTGATATTACTATAAAAGTTCAATCAGTTGACAGATGTTTGACATCTCTGCTAGGAACTGAGATAATTGAGCTGAAAAAATTTAGTATGGCGTCCTATTTGAGTATTTATGGTTCCTTGTTGACTAAAAACAAATAAAAATTCAATGTTTTTCAAATCATATGAGTCAAAAGTGCACAAATTAAGTCATACGGGTTTTTAAAAATACGCCAACACATTTTTTATTTAATTTTTTTTTCGAAAACCCAAATTTTTGTTTTCATCTATTATGCTTTTCGACAGTTTCCAGAATCCAGTTTCATAGCAACTCCTTAATTTCAACTTTCAATCAAAAATTGCATCTTGCTCCTCTGCTCTACTCATTTCTTCAAATTTCACTTTGACGTACAACTCCTCATTCCCGTCGCGTTTGAAGGAAATGAAACAAAAAAGACCCCATCCAAATGCTCCTTTCCTGAGCTTAGTCACTCCTGGTAACGAGCCCCATGCCTCGAAATTTCTCTTTTTCCCTCTTTCTCTTCATTTTGTTTTCGAACTTTTACAATTAGCCACATTTTTTGTGCTGCTTTACATTCTCGCTGCTCTAATCAAGCTAATCTTTTCAAGCATTTGCGGACAGCTCAACAACCTTTTTTCTAATTATTACAACATGTCCTTTGCCCTCTCTCTTCGCGAATTTTTAATACACTTCTTTACATCACACTACTCTCTCCATTATCAATTGCGACTTATAGGCACATTTATCAGTTTGCATATTAGCGATTCTTCCAACCTTTCCCGACTTTTGCCTTTTTTCCTTGTTGCTAAACGGCTGCGCACACACGAGGAGGGTGAGTATGCAAGGTCATTCATCTCCACGTTGCACAAACACGCCGTGGCTGGGGGCCGCCGAGAGGGGGAAACCTAGTCCGCGCGTTTACTGCGTAGATTGGTAACCAGTTAATTGGAAATTCCTTCGTTGTTCGAGTTTCTTCCTGCTCTTTCTTTGCTATTTTTTGGTTTTTTTTTCAGCTTGTTTTTTGTTCCATTGGTCCACCGACTAGTTTGTTGTAATATGTTATCAATTTGATGCAGTAATCGGCAGCAGCTGTCGTTTTTTTAGTCTAACGATAAAAAAAGAGAGGAAAAATGAAGAAAAATTAGAGAAATAGAGCATTTTCTAACGGAGAACGGCAAAAAACAAGAGCTACACAACGTACATTTGATACTCTTTCCATCGCACTCTTGCTCGTGTCGCATTATTCAAATTTAGAAACGATTTTTTTCCTTTCTCTCGCCCTTCATTCAGTTCTTCTTTTTACTCTTATTTATGCGTCTTCTCGCAAAAAGGGTTTCCTATGCTCTCCGTTTTTCCTTCTTTTTTTGTTCAACTAATCTTCTTTCTAGTCTTCTTTTTACACAAGCTCTTCATTTCCTAAAATGCACCAAAACATTCTTAGTCACGTCTTCTTTTTGAACTGCTTCTTTTTTTTTGCAGATGTTGGATGCAAAACCGCTTCCAGCCGATCCGAACGATTGGCGTTGTGAGGATGTGGCAGTTTGGTTGCGGAAAATCGGAATGACAAAGTATGCAGATTTGATTGCAATGAAACATAAAGTGAGCTTTTTTCTGGTTTTCCAAATTTCAGGGACAATTTCTAAGGAGCGTTACGGTCATAAAATTGATATTCGTGATACGTTTTTGAGCCCTAATCTCTCGTGGGCAAAGAAAGAGTCTTTGCAACACCCGAGACCAATTAGTGGGTGTCCACCTCATTATCGATTTTTGGCAGGTCGACGGCAAGTGTCTTCTCGCTCTCACGGACACAGACCTCAAGGACCCTCCTGTCTCAATCAATTGCCTTGGAGACATCAAGAAGATCTTGTTTGGAATTAAGACGCTCAATGAGAAAGTGAGTTTCGCTACAGGCTACAGCTTCAAATTCTCGTCTAGTTTCAGGTCTTGGAAATTGGAACTTCAGCTGTATCCAACTCTCATCATCGGCCTCAATCCAATGGAAACGCGTGGAAAAACCAGAAAGACGGGTTGCTTGTCGAGTACAACGAACAAAACCATTTGTCGATTTCTGGAGAGGATGTCGTCACAACCACTCGTCGAGCGGAAATTGTGCAAGACGAAGAGACGTTGCTGGATACGCTTGCAAAGTCAACAGATGGCACGTCGACGGTTCAGCTGATTTCGAGAGAGGAGATTATCAGACAAGTCGAGAGACCAGACACGTACTTCAAGTCTGTCGCCAAACTTTTGATCGCATTTGCCTACTCGTCTCTTTCGTTTTTGATGACGTCTTTTGTGATGGTTCTGGTTCATGACAGAGTTCCAGGTAGGCGAAATTGAGAAAAAAACCAAGTCTCCTAAACAAAAAGCAAGCAATTATTCTTTACAGACACAAAAACCTATCCACCACTTCCGGACATCGTGCTCGACAACGTTCCACACATTCCATGGGCATTCGACATGTGTGAGACGATTGGTCTGGTTCTTGCAATCGTTTGGTTCACGGTGCTCTTCTTCCACAACGAGAGGTAACTGTTCAGAATAAGAGTGTCATGGAAAATTTAATGTTTTCAGAGTGATTATTGCTCGTCGAATGTTCTCGCTTCTGGGAACTGTGTTCCTTTTGCGTTGTTTCACTATGCTGATCACGTCGTTGTCGGTGCCAGGGATTCATTTGCAGTGCGAGGCTAGGGTGAGGTTTTATTTCAAGAAAAATGAAGACATGAGCACCAAATGGAAATGCGCTCCGTTGCTTTTTCGTGTCGCAAAAATTGGTTTTATGTATTTGAATAACCAAACAGCGTTTTCAAAATTGAAGCTACGCGTCCAAAGTTCTCTCAGTGCCTAAATTGAGAGTCCCTTCCGTGAGGCCCAGTATCCAAGGGTACANTCGAAAAAGGGTACATCGAGTTCTTCGGGTACATTGGTTCCAAGGGTACATTGGATTGTTCGGTACATGTAGGTGGACAAAAAAAGTAAATAAATATTTTTATACATACAATTTTGCTTTCTGCTCAAATTATAGGCTTAGGCTAAAACGCCTTACAGTCTAAGATCCCATGTACCCTCAGAACCAATGTACCCTAAGAACTCGATGTACCCTCGATGTACCCTTTTTCGATGTACCCTTGGATCGTGGGCCCTTCCGTGATGCCGTGTGGAAGTGGAATGGCTCTGAATGGGAGTTTAGGTCGTTTTACTGACTTTAAAGGAATAATTAAGAATGACGTCGTGATTTTGTTTTGGTAAAAATTGTGGCCGCTCAATCGGTAACTATGAATGAAACAAAATTATCTTCATTTCATTTGACATAGCTTTCGTATAGAAAAAATGCTGATTTTTCTTGTGTAAATGTACAGGTTGTGAAATATTGTATCAAATCATTGTCAGCAGAACAGAACTCTTGAAAAACGTTAAGCTGTATTTGAAGAGAATGAACATTTATAGTTTATGTATTTTCAGCCCAACACCACGATGCAAGAAAAACTGCACAAAGCGTTCCACATCTGGAGCAACCTTGGAATGTCACTGCACGGAGTGAGAAGCTGTGGAGACTACATGTTCAGTGGACACACCACCGTCATCACGATGATCTCTCATTTTATCACCGAATGTGGGTTTTTTTTGCGTTTTTTTACGTGGTTGAGATACGCAGCTTATATGCAAACAGATTCATTCAGGTGTTCTCTAGGTTTTCTATGTTTTGCTATATTCACAAATGGGCATAATATGTAGATCGACCGAAAACCGAACTAAAGAATTGTAATTTTCTGAAAGCGATTAACTCATGGTCCGTACGCATGCGATTCTTATTATAACCGCGCGTGAACGGCGGAACAGTTTTTTGTCAACTTTCGCGCAAAATTCGCCAGAAAACTTCAATTTCTTATTTTCAGACACCCCTGCCGACTGGACCGGACTCCATACATTCACATGGGTACTCAACTGCTTCGCAATCTTCCTCATCCTTGCTGCACATGAGCATTACAGCATTGACGTCTTCATTGGTGAGTCAACTAGCGTTTTCATTGCTCAATGAACTTTTGTTTCAGCATTCTACATCAGCTCCCGCATGTTTTTGTACTACCACGCCTACGCCTACAATCATGCCGGTATCACCGCCACCGACTACCGAATGCGGACCTGGTTCCCGTTGGGATGGTTCTTCGAGTATGGGTCGCAGGGAAAGGTACGGATTACACAACGTAAGAAAAAATTGAAAATTATGTTTTCAGGTTGAGAACGAGTTCAGTCTCCCGTTCAGCATCCGTATTCCTCGTCGAATTTTTTTCGCCAAGACTGAAAAGCCAACTCCAAAGCCAATTTCTCCAAAACTGACGGAGACCAATCGCAAAAAGTCTTCAGTCGTTTCCCCCAAGCAGAATGGAAACGGAAACTGCAAAAATCACAATAGCCACTCCAAAAAGCACAATTAGACACGTTTCTGACACTTTAAAATGTTTTTATTTTCCTTTTTTCTTTCTAAAACCCTCAACATAATTCCTGTGCAAAACTCGGGTACCTAGGATTGTCTTTTTTTTTGCTCTTTCTTCTCATGAACAGTATATGGGTATACTATTTTTTGTTGTTTCCTTCCCCACCCGCTCGTATTCACATCCTTTCTCCGATGATCTTTGTCGCATAGTCACTCTTCCGTTTTCTCGGTTGGAATATGAATTGAACCGTTGAGTTTTGTTTTGGATTATTAATAGATTTTTCTATTCGCTAACGTTGTTGTTTGCTACACAGACATAAAAGTATTGTTTTCTTATAAGCACTTCATTCAGACAATAAATTATGGATTGCACTCAAAATTTAATAGAGAATTATAAAAGACACAAAAATTAAACCAATTTTAGAATTATCTGCTTTCAGACAAAGAATAAGACAATAAATAAATAGTTAGATGTAAGTTAGAGGCATGAAATGTTAGGAAAAAAGTTAGAATTGGGAAGATAAAAAAGAAAAGAAAGACAAAGTTGCAAATTAAGATCACAGAAAGCGTTAACGATATATGTATATGGGATTATATAGTTGAACTGGAGGTTGTTTTGAGGTTGGTAGGATTATATTTAGTGATTGTAGATAAAAGACTACAGGAATGAATTAAAATATTATGTTTAGTTCCATTAGAATTGGGCGAAAGTGCACAAAGTGAGATCGGAACCGTGTGCCGATTTAACCCTGGAGACGAGCGGTGGCGACATGCAATTTCACGTAGTACTCAATCGTCGTCATGAGTCCTTCACTGAATGGCGTGGTGCATTGCCATCCCATTGCGTTCTTGATCTTCGAGAAGTCGATGTAGTAGCGACGATCGTGGTATGGTCGGTCCGGAATTGGAGCGAATGTTGGAGCGGTTGGCTCTCTAAAAAATTTGACGACTTAAATTGATCGAAAAAATTAGGTCTTTGTACTTACCTATTCAAAATCTTGCTGACTGTGCTGTGAATCATTTTGGTCAACTCGATATTGGTCATTTCGAAATCGGTTCCAATGTTGTAAATTTCACCTAGCGTTCCCTCAAGAGCAACTCTGGTGATAGCCTCAGAACAGTCCTCAACGTACATCCAACTTCTGGTATGAAGTCCGTCTCCCATGAGTGGGTAGGGTTGTCCGTCCAAAGCGAGTTTTGTGAACTTTGGAATGAGTTTAGTATGGATTTGGCGTGGTCCGTAGACATTGTTCATGCGGACCATCACATATGGAAGCTTGTACGAGTGCTGAAAACGAAATGCTTGTGAAATGTCAATTTCTAGGATTTATCTATTACCCAGTAAGATCTAATGACCATCTCGCAAGCAGCCTTTGAGGCGGCATATGGGTTAGTTGGGTTTGGCAGAGAAGCAGACTCGGATTTTGGAGTGGTGTCCTCGAAAGAGTCTCCATAAACTTCATCTGAAATAAATTCGGAATTATTTTTGAATCCAAAAATTCAAAAAAATTACCTGTGCTAATATGAACGAGTTTCTTGACTCCCTTGTATGGGCTGTTCACGATGCTCTCCAGAAGAGTTGTGGTGGAGATGATGTTGTCTTGAATGGTTCCAATTCTGTCGCTGTAGGATTCATCGACGTGGGTGATGGCAGCAAAATGGATAACCATATCAACCTAAACCATTTGTTTTTGAAGGTTTTTTTCATCGGAAAGAGGAATGTACCTCATTCTCAGCAAGAGTCTTGATAAGAGTTGGTTGGTCCTCGAGTTTGGCCTCTACGAACTTGTATCTTGGAGACTCTCTAATCTCTTTCTCAACGTGAAGTGGGGATGCTCCGAAAGCCAACTTGTCGTAGTTAATGAATCTGAAAAATCACATATTCGGTCATAATTTCTTTATTTGTCTATTCAATCAGCCTTCCTTGAAAGTTAAAAGTTTTCGGAATTTGCGCACAATTTTGTGCATAACAGCTAAGAAATTTTTCTTACTTTGTGTTTTTCCATTTATTGAAGGTGAAGTTGATGTAGTTGGACCCAATGAATCCACAGCCACCAGTTATCAGAACGCACTTTGGTTCTTCCCACGCGGAACCCATCTCTCTCTAGTGGCGGCGGATCTGAATACAGGATAAGGTGTTTTTATGATTATGGCGTCTTGTATTGACCACTAAGAATGAAAAGAACGATGGATGGATATAATGTGGTAGAGTATATAATCGAGTGATGATGACGACGATAAATGCAGCCGATTTTCTTGCGGCCGCAGAAGAACGAGAACGGAGACGATTAGAGTGAACACGAAACTTGTTTCAGATTACTAGATGACTGAATGGTCTTAAGATGAGAAAAATTATCTCGTTTCATAAAAAGAATCGCAAAAATAACAATATAAACATATTGGATTCAAGTGTATTGACGCGGATATTGAATGGGGGGATCGAAATGTTTGTAAAATCCAATTGATTTGTTTTAAGAAGTAATCAATTGGTATAGACACTTGACATTGTAAGCTTAAATGAAAAAAATATGATAAAGTACCTCTGAAGAATACCTCTGAAGAAAACGACCACCTTTCACCGGGCCGGAGCGCAAGACTAAATGAGGATATAGAACGGAATGTGGAGAATAAATGGCAGATCCTAAGTTAAGAAGCCAAGTCACCCCCCTCCTCCGAAAAACTGGATTTGACTGTCTGTGCCGAGCGGGTTCATCACTAGTGGTGACCACATCCACAAAAGTGGATTCCGACTTATCACTGCCGAAACGTTTTTTTTTTCTTGGATGAAGACAATCAAGTTTTTTTTCTGCCACTGTCGCCGCGCAATTAGATGATTGCATTCGACGATTATTCAACCGAAGATAATGAGAAGGGGACACAAAAAAAGAGGGGCTATCCGATTTTTTCCCGACTTTAAAATATTGTGTTGATCGGGAATCGGGATCTTTTTGGTAAAATGAACTGCTAAAAACAAAAATCGGATCATTGGAAATGAATTCACCGAGCTGATATTCAGACGAGAAAAAGAGGGAAACGGGATGAAAGTTCGCAAGAAATCAAGAAGAAGAGACGGCGGGTAATAAACTTAGTGATTGCTAGCCAATCGATTCGAGATGGAGGTCAATACTTTTCCCAAGAAGTCAAGAGACCATACACAAAACTATTCACATAAAAAAGAAAAATCACCTCCCGGTTCCAAGCAAAAACTTCCTCGTAAAACTTTCTTCCTCACGAATGAAACAAAATATTTTGCCAATTTCATGCCGGTGCTTGGCTTTTATACCGGGGGACCTGGTTTCTGCGGTCGGCATTATCGCTCTCCCCCGGCTATGGCATTTACACCCTTTTGTCTTTTTGTTTCTTATTCTCTCTTTCATTTCTTCTATCAAAAGTCGAGTGTGGCAATCCAGATTTTTGCGTAAAAATCGAAATAAGGACATTGGACACCGACAATACTGAATCTGTCCTTCGCGCCCCCGTTTTCTATTTGATCTTCTGTTGGCAACAAGAGTGTTCTCAATGTTTAGTCGAGTGTTCTCAAAATTATTAATTTAGGATTCTGTTTCGAAAAAAGGCGGAACGGATTTTATGAGGTAAAATAATTTTTAAATATAGGAAAAGTTCAAATATGAGCAAGCGTTTTGAAAAACTGGAAATTTAAAACAAATAAGAAAAAATTCTTAACATTTGAGCGATTTCTTAACATTAGTTGTTACTGGAAAAATGCTGCCATGGCCCGGAACAATCCAATTCACTATGCAGCCATATCGCCTTCTCGAGTCTCTTTGCGCAATAACATCTGCTGATAATGGTTGCCACATCATCGGATGGTCGATATCTTCCTCTCGCATGAATAGATCTCCTAAAAACCAATGATCTCTCTCCCCGAGAATGAAAACATTACTAGCCTGATACAAGTACGTCGCCACGCCCTTTCACGTCCCGAACAACAACTCCAATATCGTCGGATGTGTGTCCGCGGCATTTGACCAGCATCACATTTTCAGACAGGTTCATTGTATCGTTCTGAAAACAAAAAATAGAAAGAAATAACCTTTTTTGAATTTTGAATCCCAAAACCACCTCGAAAAGAGCAGTCAAATTGAATTTCATCCCATGATGAGAGTACCATCCATGATAATGAATCGCATCCGGGAAGTCATGAACACCTCCGACATGGTCCGGATGGCCATGAGTGCTCACTACAATATCCACAGATGCTGGACTCAGACCATGAGATTCTAGCGCTGTAATAAATTGAATCGATGAGGAATGACTAATAAACGCCCTACATCTGATAAGTTCTGTACGTGCATTGATATTGGTTCCAAGTCCGGTATCAACGAGAATACTTTTATCTCCATCTTTGACCAGTGTGATCGTTGCAACGAATATATACTGTCCATCGGCCGTTTGTTCAGCGGATCCCTAGAGAAAATTTTATTTTTTTGGAATTGGAGTAATACATTTTTTACATTTCGTAGTACATGGACTTGAGGTTGTTGATCAGTTTTTGTGGTCTCTAGTTGTTTGAGTATTTTTGTTAGTTCCGTGCTCAATTCCTTCATTCGTGTCTCGTAGACTTCTCGCGATTTCGGAGGCAAATCTGAAAAAATTGTAGTTTCTATTATTTCCGTCTAATTCATTGATGTTTGGATATTGGATCTGATAGGCTATCTTTATGAATCATAAAGTGTTCTCGTCAGAATGCTCTATAAGATGCCCGAATTCTCATCCTTTGATCGACTCCACTTTCGGCGGCCAGTCTTATAACAAAATGTTCATATTTGTTTCGTTGGCTATTCACGAGGCAAGCTTTGTGCTTTACGCAACAATATCGATGCCTCTCATCTTCGTTGATCGTCGTCAAAAATGACGTACATGTTCAAAACACCTCTGCGCAAGACTTTGTCTCATGATTCCTGATTGCTTCATTACAAAAACGAGTCTCTTTTTCTCATTCTCTCCTTACAAATTTGTCTCTTTTTTACGTTAGAATATTTTCTTTTTTTCGTCTCCCCCCTATTTTCCGTTATCCATCGCATTTCACGTCAACGTATATCCACGAGATGCGCGTCTTGAAAGCGAGCAAGTTTTTATGGATAGTGAAGAGAGAGAGGGAGAGAAAGAACCGTTGTCGGCGACGACGACGACTTCATTTGAAGGACTTCTGGTTTTGTGTCTTCAGAGAAGATGAAGCAAATAGAGGAAATGCGGATGCGTTGTGAAAACCGGGAATGGTTTTCTCTCCACTCTCTCGCTCTCTAAGCCATTATTTTTGGGATCTCAATAAATCGCTTTTTGTCTCCTCATTCACCGCCAACGAAGATTACTCCCCCCACCACCATAAATTTCGTAATGCCGTGGATTTCTTTGTCTGTGCCAAAGAAAAGTGAAATGGAAGAAAGAGATGTCTGTACGGAAAATTGAAAATACAGAGAGGGGCTAAGAATAGTGGGAGGAGAAACAAAATGTATTCCAGGAACTGAAGCAAAAAGAATCTGACACGATAAGAATTAATTCCTTTTGTTCAAATAATTCCAAAGAGTTAAAGATCAGAACCGGAATGATTTTCTCATCTCGCTTTTTCTTCGGGGATCGAATATGTTTCCTAAAACTTACTTTTCGTGTTTTTCGGTTTCTTTGTACTAGTTGTTTTCTCTTCTTCTCCACTCGCAAATCTTTGCATTGGTTTCCATTTATTCGAATTATTCTGGAAACTGATGTTGCAAGAACAAATTTTATTTCACAAAACTCACCGAGTCTGTATCAAACGTGACATCCTGATTGTCTTTGGAAGCAATGATAATCTGGTCAGGTAAAGCATTGACGCTTTTCAAATTGATTCTCCTTTCCGAAGAAACTTCTCCAGAATTCTTCCGGCGCTTTTCCTTACTTTTAGATGGCTTTTGAGTCTTGACCCCATTTTGTTTGTGAGATCTACGATCTATGAACATCTAAACTTGGGAACTCTGTGGCGGATGCAAAAAAATGATAAGGACCTGTATCATACTAGCTAGTTGCTCATAATCCTCCACCGAAGGTTTGTCATCAGCAGCTTTTGGTGGCTTTGATGGTGGCTTCGGTTTCCGTTTGGAAGCAGGTGTGATGATTTGGGTTATCGGTTGTGGTGGAATCATGGGAATAGAGATTGGTTTCGGTTTTTCTTGAGTCTAAAATTTGGTTTTCGACTATTTGCATTTCAGCACACTTAGGTTCTTACTGAAAACATTCCACCTTGATTTACCATCGTTGGATTCATAAGATCAATCAATCCAGAGTCCTGTCCACCCATTTCAAAATCTGGACCATCTTCGAGGTCCAGAGGAATTCTTTCTACGATCGGACGACCTCTTCCTCTTACAAAATCTCGGAGCACTTTAAGTTCCCACTCATCTAGATGTTTTAGATCTTGCTTTGATATTACTGAAATGGAAAACCAATTTTTATTTATTGAAAAAATCGAAGGAGGAGGTTTTGTGGTTATAAAACATACTGTAATCGGTTGCATCAATAAAACAAGGAATGTGTGTGAAGAAGATCAGTAGAAAAGGGAAGCGCATTTCATTTCATAGTCAAATTGGTGGTAAAGTTTTTCGGATGACACACGGAAGAAGAATTTTTACTCATCGAAAGGTGAGAGACAGAAGAACGCGTGTTTTCGCGGCTGTTTTCCCTCATTGAAATGACCTCGTTTGATCTCCGGAGAGGCCGAGACACACTTTTGTCAAGAACATACAACATACGGAAAAGAAAGGATTTAGGGTGTCCGGGAGAATACTTGTCTGCAAACCAAATGAGAGGGAAATGTGGTTTTGAGATTTTTTTGGTTTTATTTACAGGAAAGATTGGGGAAAAAATAAATTTCGATGGGGTAAAGAAGTAAGGGATGACAACAATCCGAGTCAGAATGTACTATAAAAAAGGATCGTATGCAGAGAAATGAGATTCTAAGTTTCGTATTTCCTCTATTATCAGCCCACCCAAGCCGTCAACTTTGAGCTCAATTTTCTCTATTTCTGTGAAAGATACCGAACATTTTTCAACTGATAAAATATTGGTAATCGTAGGATAAGCAATTTATTAGATTAGTTGACGAATTCTTGATATTTTTTACAGAAATCAAGATAATTGAGCTAGAAGCTGATGGCTTTGGTGAACTTCTATTAGAGCAAACATGGTTTCAAAAGCTTGCTAGGATAATACGGAATACGGTCAAAAATGTTTTAAAGGAAATACATTTTTTCAAAAAATGAAAATGGATGCTTGTTTCTGACTGCGGGAATTTTTTGGGTTGTTTTTTGGAGTTCTAAAAAAGGAAAGGATAGAAATGTGAAAAGGCTAGAGGAGAAGGAATCAGATGATCAGGAAAAATTGAAAAAAGTAAACAAAATTTTTTTCGATCAGGAAAACTAAAATTTGATAAAAAAGGATTTCGGTTATATCACAAAATTTAGGAATAGCATATAATTTTGACATTGGACTTTCAAAAACGATCACAAATATTTGATTATTGGAAGGCAAAGGAATTTTTGAGGAAACAGTGTGGACACTCTGATGAAATCACCTATCATCAACATTTTGATCCATTCCTTTGCTCAATATTTTTTTTACATACAAAACTCGAATGTTGTAGTCGTATTTTCAGGTACCGCCACCGTCTTCCTACACTAATCCCAAATTTTGAACAGGTTATGGACTTATTTTCTTAGAAAAAAGGATGAAAAACGTAAGAGAAAAATGACATCTCCTGTAAGATGCTTTGAAGCTGATTATTCCAGGCTGAGCGTCTCGATATTCTTATTGAAGATGACATCACAGCACAATCCAAACGTGTACTCAATATTGGTAGTTATGGTAGCTTGCGTCAAGTGTGCGTAGATTTTCTGATCGGCATCGAGACCCTGAAAATACAAAAATTCAGAAAATTCAGAAAATCGGGAAAATAGTGCAACTACAAAATCGGACAAAGTGCAATAGACGAAATTTGTACTATTTCATTACAGTGATTTTCTGTCCTCTAGTCTACAATCTATTTTTGAAAAATTACCTCGCGGAACATGCTCTCGATAAATTCGGCCACCGATTGCACCGAGTTATCGTTAGTGATCCACTGCTCGTAGGCTGGGAAGTGATTAACAAACTGAATCGTCTCCAATTTCTTTCCCAAAAGATCAATTTTGTTCAGGAAGAGCATGAAGTTGGAAGATTTCAGAAAGTTGTTCTCCCGGATCGAAGTGAACAAGTCGACGCTCTCATCGAGTCGATTGACCATCTGAAATGAAATCTTGAATAATGCATTTTCAGTCAATTTTGTACCCCAGGTCTCTGCTTGGCTTTACCAGTAGAGCGGACCAGAATTTTGTTTTGCACTTTGTTGAGTGACGTCTCCCACTGAAATTCAAAAAAACATGGATTCGTCATAGTTTTAAAAGTGATCTCTCTGAACGCAAAGACAAATCGGCCTCTCACCCACCGATACAAGTACAGTAGGGGTCGACTGTTTCCGTCGACCGTCTCCCTTCTAAGAAAATATTCAGTACGCGTTCCCAGTTTATGTTAGCTCACCGCAAATGCGTTGTTCGGCTCCTGTTCCGTGGCCTGGTTGAACGAAGACAACGAGCAGACAAACATGACGGCGGTGACGCCCTCGAAGAAGTGAATCCATTTTCGGCGCTCCGTTTTTTGACCTCCCACGTCGATGAGACTGAATTTTTTGGTTTATCAACGAGCTAAGAAATTAACGAACCGAATGGTTTGAGTCTGATAGTCGAACGAAATTTCATGAACTCCAAGAGTAGTCTGTCTCATATGAATTAGATCCTCGACCGTTGGCATATACTCGGAAATAGCAATGCGTTCCAAGTGGGGGAAGAAGCTGAATGTTAGGTTTATTGCTAGGTTAAATGGTTTCTACCTACTAATGGATATTATCTGGTATCATGGGATGATAGCTGTAGTGCTCGAAAAATACTGAAATACACTCCAGAACTCGAATGGAGTTGATGAGTCGCAGCTCGTCAACTTCTTGCATCATTTCGATTTTCTGGGATTCAAAGGCAAAGAGTTTCAAGAGCACCTAAAATAATTCTAGTAAAAAGAGATCCCGAAAACTGCAAAATCACTTTTTCGGTGTCCGATTTAATGATGTGAGAATCGAGAATTAGGAGTGAAATGTGTTTGAAAGCGTCGATGATGTTGTTGCGAATGAGGAAAATCGCGTTGACCACCTCAGTCTCATTGAAACCGTTACAGTAGTTGACTCTAAACTCAAAAAATGTGTAACCATTTTTTCTTGATCTTATTGAAACCTCATCTGTTTGACAATGGTACTCTTTCCCGAGTCCGAGATTCCCAGAAGAAGCATCTTTATCTTTCTCTTGTTGGCTTGGTTCTCAATACGAATTTGAGTTTCAATTTGGCGATTTTTGGCGGCCGCGTCGCGCTCCGGTTTGCACAATGCTATACCCATATTCAGTTATTGAACCTATGGTAACCCTGAAAATAACCGAAACGAATTTTAGGAACAAAAAATAAAATACCAAAGTTGGTGATATTTTTACAAATGATTCATCAGTTCATTTTTTAAATATCTATGAGGTAACCGATATAATTGAGCTCAAATTGCAAGTATAAATTATATTCGAGCAAGTACGGTAAAAATATAATTTCTGAAATGGAAGGGCTAGGAACTGGAACAGAAAGAGTGAAGGAGAAAAAACGAAAAATCAGACAAAACCGGGATTAAAACTCGAAACGTTCGGGAATGTGAGGCGTGAGAAGAAATGGATATTCAACGTAAGTTGCTCTACATGACGACATATTGTGGGCACAATGTAGTTGAGATTTGAGTTTCACACAATCTTTACTAAATGAAAGACATTGTAAAAAAATTTCAAGCTCTTGGCTGCATTAATTATTAGTTGACAGGTTTTCCATACCTTTTACAAGAAGCAAGATAAATTAGTTCTCCACTAGCAACATTTTTTTAATTTAAAAACAATTGATCTTCCAAAAAAAATTATCATGTTCCAGAAGAACCACTTAAAAAAGGCTTAGCAAGTTCAGATTGCTAAAAGATCAGTTATCTTGTTAAGCTTATTCAACTTATTCACCTATTATGACTAACCTACACAATACCTATGAAAACCTTAGCATCCTATTAGTTTTTGATTTCCCTTATATCTGTAAACCTCCAAGGAAGAAAACCGGAAGATCTCAAAAAGTGTGGAGATCGAGAAGAGAAGAAAGAGTTGAAAATCAGATGAGATAATGAAAAAACAGCAAGATGACAAGAGTGCGGTTTCCTTTCTGACTCCGCCCCTCCCTCCAAAACACCGTGCCATGCACTATCATCTGGAATTTTTAGATGGGTGGAGCCGACAAACGGGATAAGAATGAGTGGATTGTATGGAAATCGTAGTTTCAGTCTCTGAATTTTGAACTATGGAAACTAACATAGGGCATTCAGTATGATACCTCACAAGGAATAGTGCACAGGATGTTGACTATTTCAGGAGATATGGATTCATAACACAAAGGGAGTGGTTAGAGAAAACAAAGGGCGAATCAGAAGTTTTAGAATTGGACAATCTGGAAAAATGGGGTGAGGAAGGAAAACATCTGGAAGAGTAACTAACAACTATGCAAATAAACTAGAACAGCAGGGAAAAATTGTTCCTGTACTTCTTCGAAAAGTAGCCTAATTAAAACTAAAGTGTGGACCATCCGCGTAAAACTCCGCCCATTTTCAATTTGTTTGAGTGGATTCTATCATGAAAGTTTAGTCCTATTGAGGAAAACGAACTTTTAGTTTGATTGAAAATTCAACTAACTTTCAGAAGAATCGAAATTTTGACGACCTAAGAAAAAAAAATCTCAAAATATTTTTTTAAGGCTTTTAGAAAGATTAGAATTTGCAATAAAAATGAAATTCTTTCACTAAAATCGTAAAATTCTGGTGGTTTTAGTCAAATTGAAAAGAAGTCCTCAAACATAAGACTACAGTACCACTCAAATTTTCAAACGTGATTTTCTCGATTAAAGTTGGCGAGGGGGGCTCAATAAGATTAACCAAAGTCTGGTTGCTTGGTGCGCTTCCGTGTTTGTAGGTGTACGACTACATTTCCAATCATTCCGGACAACCGTTTTTTGTATCATTAGTCTTTCTGTCTCGATTTTTGTATTTTTAAGGTTCTGCAAGTACAATGTGAAGATGGTAAAAAACTCGAAAACAAGCAGCCGATACTGTAGACGGCTGTGCTGTGGTGACGCAATTGATGGGATTTGGAAGTTTCTGTGAAATAAAAGTGATGGAATATATAACACGTCATTAATATGGGAGTGCGTAAATTGAAGGCTAGAATTTTGAAGGTCTGAAGAGCAAGATTCTTCTCATTTTTTGATCCTGGATTTTATCTCTGAGATCAAACACTCTATCAGAAAGTCACAGTAAACAATTGTTTCCATTTTCTTTTTTTTCAAATTTGACAATTTGAATATCTCGGAAAACCCTGTCAAATTTCTTTCCTCGGCCCTGAAAAAGAAGCGCATTTCAATAAATTTCTTCCAATTTCTCATCTCTGAAAATATAGCTGAAATACAAAAATGTTTCGAAGGTAATTCGGAAATCTAAAAATTCCGAAAGTTTCAAAATTTTCGGATTTAATCTCCGATTGGATTACTGTCGATTGTATGTCGAAATTAGAGCTTTTTTAACTACGGTATTTTGAAGGCGCATACCGAAATTTTTTGCGAATCTCGAGCGAAATTACTTTCAATATTTTTCGTGTTTTGCCATTTTTCAGAAATTGTTTGCGTCTTTGTGGGAAATTAAATTCAAAAATGAAGAAGTGACATTCTAAAAGTCCTACATCCCATAATTCTCAAATTCAGAATAATCCTAAATTGTGAAACTTTCAAAATCAGGAAACATTCTGAATTAATTCCGAAAATCCCTGTTTGAAATATGTGATTCTGTTTTTAATGTTTTGAATGTAAAAACATTTAAATTCTCAGTTTTTATGAAGCATGGGTGCAAAAAGAAAAACAGGGGATGGGGGGATGGGGGGTTGTCGATATGAGAACACTTCCAGAAAAGAACGTAAAGTCTCGAACTATCGTACAGAATCGATGCCTTAAAGCTATCGAAAACATATGTCACTAAAAAGAAATAAGAATAAGATCATCTTACCGGATGTTGCAATGGAATTAAATTTGAATGAGAGAAAGATAATACAAAAAAAGGGATAGGTTCGAAACGAAATGATAGGGAAAAACTATTCATGGACCGGAGAAAAAAACGATGTAACAAGTTATGTGAAAAGTGGATACCAGTCTTGGAGAATGGATTTTCGAAAAAAAAAAGAAAATATATGAAAAACGAAACGTACTAGGAGTGTGGGAAAAAATAGAACAAATGAAACAAAGAAAAAAGCAAAGAGAAAAAAAAGAATAAGGGTAAAGGGTGTAGCAAGAATGCGAAAAAAAGGGAAAAATGACAACGTTTCAGTAAAGGATTTTTTGGCAAACAAGGAAATCGTAGAGAGAAAGAGAGCCGACATGACTAGGGTTATCGTTCATATGACGGCACGATGCCCGTATATAAAACGATTTTGTAATGAAAGGAGTTGATAAAGACGTTGGTTTCGATCAGGCAAGTACACATTTCTGCGCCTAGAAAGTGATTTTATGAGAACTCGAGAAGTTAAGAGGGAAAATACGATTGATATTGGTAATGGCTGGGTAGTGTGAAAAGCATTAGAGAAATGATGTACTACAGGGGAAGTAATGAAGAGATTCCAGAAGATTACTGCGTCAAGGTGGTCTTCTCATCAGGCTCGAGCTCTTTCCTCTCGACCAGACTCGCTTCTTCCATCTGATGATCCCCCTGAAATTATATGATTTTTTTGGTTTTGGTGAATTAAAAAACTAAACAGGGAAAATAAAAATTAAAATCGAACATGACATGCAAACTTATATATGACCGAATATATTGAATTTTATTACAAAAAATCGGAGCTGTGGAAAAGAAACGCCGATAGTTGTGCTGAAAGTTCCACGAAAAAAACTACCGTACCCTGAATTTTCATTTATATCAGGATTTATGTTTTCGTTGTTTTACTGATTTTCGTTTCGTTTATTGTTTTTCCCTTCAAATAAGTCGGGTAATTAGAAATTTTAATGATGAAAAAATTAACTGGAAGCGCACGAAATTTGAGAAAAACAAAAACCGAAAAAATGAAAATGTTTTCAGGTTACTGTAATTGTCAATGTGAGACCTTTAGACACGAGCTCTTTTCCACAGCTCTCATTTGTTAAAGCTTGAATAACACCCTCTTTTTGCTAGTACGCTATACTAGAACTTTGAGCTCAATTCTTGGTTTCTGAAAAATTTTCATTTGAGTAAAGATTTGTATCATGATTACAAAAATTTCATTAACTGTCTAATTTTTGATATTTCTCAAAAGACAAAAAAAGACTGAGCTCAAAATTCAAGTATACTAGCGATGTTCCGCTGAAATGAATACGGAAAATTCAGTAAATTGAACCGGATCAGTTAGTAAAGTACCAAAACCAAACCAATCGAGCAACAACAAACCAAGGAAGCAAGCAGTAGAAGCTGAGAAATCTAAGCATGCTGAACTAAAAACTAAGCAGCTGAAAATATATAAGCTAAGCAACTGAGCAGCTAGATGACTCACCGGTGGGAGTACGTTATGAGACGCGTCATCATTAAGGACGTTACCGAAAATCATCAGAACCACAATCAAGATTCCCAATGTAATAACCTGTCCGCTGATTGTAAAAGTCAAGAAAAGATTCGCCAAATATTGATTCGAATACATCAGACATCCGCCACTCTGAAAATATCGGATCTTTCAAGACAATTTTTTTGAATTATCTTATTACCGAGTCTCCACACGAGTCGGTTTGGTACTTGATACACGAGACATCAAACATCCATCCAAATAAAACTGGAGCAGGAATCGTGCCAATGACTCTAATCATAATCCACTGGATACCAAGTGCAAACGAGCGCTCATTGTAGTCGACAGTCCTCAGAATAACCGAAATGATTGGCACTGCAACGGCAAACGTGCAGAAAGAGAGTGGTGCGAAGAGGAGAAGGAACCAGAGGAGTTCAGTGCACTGAGGCTCACAAACGCCTTTCTTAACAATTCGAGGATGGTTTTTAGTGTTGTTTGGCACACAACTGCATTGGGTGTATTCCTGAAAACAAACGATTTGAAGGGTCTACGTTTTCTTTGGGTTCACCTTCAGAGAAGCAGAATAGGATTCGGCACATCCAGCGTAACATGGAGAGTAGTAGGTAAATTGTCGACCATCCTCTAGTTCCGCACACACCGGTCGGTACTCAGAGGGATCGCATGTGCATTGCTTGTTGCAGGTGTTTGTCAATTCTGCATCCTTTGTGAAGGTAGCATTGTTGTAGTCTGGCACAGAGCCTCTGAAACGTCAACTTTATTATCTTAAATCCCCAAAACCTTTGACTCACTCAGAATCCGGATACTCAGAGTCCACTCCGACCAATGGAGCGTGTGGACAGTAGATCAAGTACATTGGCGAGAAGAGAAGCGACAGGAAGATGAGTCCAATGGCGAACTTGAGCATCTTGCTGCTGTTCAAACGGAAATGATTGACTATTCCTCCAGTCACCATACATCCCATTCCGGCCATTGGCACCATCACGCAACCGATGAGCAAGTTGGCTTTGCTTGGTCGGACACTGAACTGTCTTTCGAGATATTTGGACATGAATGATGAGGCACCAGTAACCACCAAACTGTCGATAGCCATGGCTAGGGTGATGATCATGAAGAGCCAGTTAGTGAGGATACGGTAGATGGCAATTGGAATGTGACGGACGTCCAACCAGATTTTGTACCAAAAAGGTCCAGATCCACGGGATGGAATTGATGAGTAGAGCAGAGATGCTTGTTCTGTAAAGCATCATTGAAACACCATTCATTATAGTTCAGGAAGATATTTCAGTGTTCCATAATCCTCTCCACAATACAATTCCTTTGTTTTCCAATCGAGGAATTTTGTATCGAAAGATTATATACAAAAAGAGTCTATGGAGATTATCAAACACACGTCTGAGACAGAAATTTTTCTTGTGTTTTTTATTCACTGTTCGTAATGTTCTCACCTGGCAAGGGAGCATCGCTATTCAAAGCAGCGGTTTTATTGGATCCGGGCATTCCACAACATTCTGGTGTCCGACGACGATTTTGAACGGCGGCATCGTGAAGACGAGTACGATGGAATTTCAGAGATTCCGGGAGAACTTTTGGGAGGGAGGCCAACGGGAGAACTGCAACGAATCCGACAAAAGAGGCAACAATGAAGGATAGCCACCAAGCGCCAACCCAAGTCGGATCGGTTTCACCGGATGATACTCTGAGATAATTCATTCCAAATTTTCAAAGCTTTTCGGGCAATTTTCTTACTTCAAAATCTGCTCTGGAGGAAGATGCCAAAAATCGGTATGGTACTGCAGAGACACCGATGCCCCGAGGAAACCAATAGCCGGTCCGAAAACAGCAAACGAATAGAAGATTCCAACAAACAAAGAAGATTTGGCCGTTCCAACATTTTCATCGATATAAGAGACTCCGATTGTGAACAATGGGGTTGCTCCGACACCGTGTAAGAAATGTGCAAGACAGAAAAGGTAGAAGTAGAAGTTACTGGATGAGTGTTGTGCCTGGTTCTCACTTTGACATGCTGTTTGGGCAAGCGCTTCAGGTGACGTCACATCGTTGTGGAGAACTGAAATGTTTCATAATTTTCGAAAAAAATTGTTTTTTCTTGTTCCGAGAATCGTTTGGGAATCAAAACCATTTCGTATTTTTTTACGCTTTTTTAAACATCAAACATGAGTCACGACGATTTTACAAAAACTACATACTCACCATTGTCAATTGAACACGTTCCATACGACATGTTGGATTGAGAAGCCGAGTAGGAGTCAGACATGATATGCGGAGTTGAGAAGATCAAGGATCCAAGGGCCATACAAGCCAGACCAAGAGAGAGTACAAATGGCTTACTGTGTCGACCTCCGAAATAGGACACCGGAATGCAGAGGAGCACATAGCCAAAGTCGTAGAATTGCACAATTCTGCCCATGTGACTAGTACTGAACTTGAAACGGCGTTCGATGGAAGAGATCGCAGAAGGGACCAAGCCATTGACGATGAGACCCTTAAACGGAAAAATGTTTTGAAAGTTAGTACAGCTGTCTGAGAAGAGAAGATTGAGAGCGGATATCTTGTTGAACACTCTTATTAAAAATTTATTGGAAGCCTGCCCACTATTAAATGTAGCCTGTCGACCTTGAAAGGTGCAAAAGTGAACTACCGTATCTTTTGAGCCAATCAATTTCGAGAAATTACAAAAATATTTAAACTAGGTTCCTCAAAAGATACTGTAATTTCTTCTTGCGCCTTAAAGAAAAAAATCCGCTTTCAACCTTTTTTTTTCAGACAACGATAATAACCTGAAAACCAAACTAACCTGTATACTACAGTAAACACACAAGAGCACGATCATTGGCAACTGCTTGCCCAACCACTGCAACCATCTCGGTCTGTACTTGCCCAGTCCACACTGGGACTCCTCAGTCAGAACCGTCATCTCACGCTCGATCAGCTCGTGTTGTTGTGCCTAGAATGAGGAATGATCAAAATGATAGCTAACCGATAAACATGATGTGGGAATCAATGATTGATAAATTTTGAAATGGACCAATGTCGAAAAAACAAATTTCATGATGAAAGAATGAGGTAGAAAAAAAGATTTTTTATATTACTCTCGTCCCTCCCAACATTTTTTTATTGGAAGATGACGCATATTGAAATTCTGAAAATGTTGTTTGACATCTAAACCTATTTCTAGTAAATAGTAGAATATTAGAGGCGGAGCTTGTGAAAAGTGGAAACGAAAAATGAATTCGGAAAAAAAAATTGGTGTATTAAGTAAACTATAAATTAATTATAGTTTATGGGTCCATAAAACATAAGAGATGGCTCTATAAAAACCAATTATCGAAAAAAAATTGTTGCCACTATTCTCGTTTTCTATTTAAAAGACGATATCATCATAAACAAAACACAAAAGATGCATGAGAAAAGGAAGAAAATGGTTTTTCGTCTTGTATTCTCCTAGTTAGGACTCTCACATGGGGGACGAACTCCCGGAAAAAAGAGGAGGGAATGAGAATTGGCAGAAAAAAGACAGTTTTCGCGAGTGCGAAAGGCGTGAAAAAAGCGACTTTTTTTGCTTTCCCAAATTCCAGAAAGAAGAAAATAAACTATGAAAAAACTCACTGGCAATTGGAATTCTTTCCTTCGAAGTGCCTTCTCCATGTGGCGGGGTGGTACTCCTTGGGACGCCTGTCGCATGTGGCTCCTGAAAAAAAAACGATTGTTGGAAAGTTCATGAGTATTATGAGGAGACTGAAAACGTCAGATTATGAGGAGACGGAAAACTTTTCTCGTTGCTTCAAAAATTTGAAATTCTTTAAAACTTGAGATTCAAGAATTTCGGTTTTTTTTTGAAACTGTGCTGATTAAACCGTCAAAAAAAAACAATTTGACTTTACCTCAATTGTCTCGGTTTCTATCAGAGTTTTATCACAAATCTCAAATCTGGTCAAATGCTATTGATTAAACTTTTAAGATTTCATGCAGTGACAAAATTTTCAAATCTACCAAATCAGCTGAGCTTAAATTGAGACAGAAGTTCAAATGACGTTCTATGGAATGAAACAGAGTTCAATTATCTAGGCTCCGATAAATTGCCAAAAATTGTCAGTTATCGAAATGTTGAAAATTAAATGAGAATCATTTTATCAGTTGACATTACTTTGATTTCTTTTACAGATTTTGAAAAAAATTGGACTAAATAATGAAGAGTTTTGGCGAGAAAATACGGTATTTGAAAATGACAAACAAGCTACCGTATTTTCTCTGATATAACCCCACTGAAACCGTTAGTTTTGAGCTCAATTATTTCAATTTCTGTGGAAAATATCAAAAATTCTTTGACTGACAAATTATGTGTCACAAAATCATTAACATTTTATCATGTTGACATTTTCCTGACACCTCTTACAGGAGCCGAGATAATTGAGCTGGAAATGTACGTGGTGTTAGCGTCGATGAAATACGGATTATGAGAACGACATAAATCAAAAATTTTCAAAAACTAAGAATTAGAATGTAATTTGAAAAAAAACTAACTCTTAGAATTAAAAATTGAGCCTCAATCACGCAAACAAAATCAAGATTAGGTCAAAATTCTTAAAACATTTTTTAAATAAATTCCTGAGAAAATTTCGAACTCCACTCATCTTTTTTGAAATTATCTAAAGAATGAATATCTTGAAAATTATATTAATCAAAACTTTTTGAAGACCTCCTTTCTTGAACGGTAATGAATCACAATTAACTGTTTTTCCCAGAAATCATGATTTACCGCATTCAGTACACAAATTTCACCGTAAACTGAATCGAATTTTTTAAGGACTCACCATTTACTCCTTGTTGGTTTCGACGAATGATCTGATCGCAAGTCACCGGGACACGAACGTGTTTCTGCATCATCTGAGCAGCCGACGGTCGCCTCGTCGATGCTTCGGTCACCCATTTTCCGTAAGAGACGTCGTTCACTTTGTGTTTTTATCGACCCGATAAAAAAGTTAGTACATCTGGAAAAATAAAAAAAGATTTTTGGGGAGAAACGTGTGTCTGTGTATATGTGCACCAAGTGTGCAAAATGAGAGCAAATTAGGTTTTATACTTTTTATGATGCTAATTTCTGAGAGTACTAGTATGAAGTGAGGAGAGAGAAAAAGAGAATAGGCAATGTGTAGGGAAAGAAAAGATAATGAGTTCAATTTAAAAGAGTGGCGAGGAATGAAAACTCAAGAAAAACACGGGATGGGGGTGAAAAAGAGTCCGGAAGTATAGCAAGAAAATGAGACATGAAAGAAAGAAGATCTCATTATTTTAGATAAAGGATTCTAGACATGAACTTTTGAAAGTCTTGTATCAGATAGCGTGTGCTGAATACAGTAGTCCCATTACACTTCTGATCCACGTCATCTGATTCTCGGTACCTTGGAAAAACAAAGGCGAAAGTGCAAAGTGGAGTGGAAAAATTTGCAATTCTCCACGTCAGAAAACGAAGGCGAGATGTTTGCGCATCTCGATATCCCACTTTATCCAGAGTATTCCCGAACAGAACCCGTCATGAGATGCAAAATGAAATTCTCACAGATGAGCCGCTTCTCGGTTGTCTTCGTTTTCTGTGGGGCCCGTTGTTTGAATGGTGGCAGTCATCTTCTTCTCCTTCTTCTTCCTCCGCGCTTCGTTTTCTTCTCCTTCTTCCTTTCCTTCTGTGCTCCAAGACAAAAAGCGAGTGGTTGGTATGTTTGGAGCCAAAAGCGGTGGTGACCACCATAGTTCTGGAGACAAGAAGAAACGAGGAAAAACGGAAGACGAGAATGGAAGAAAATGGGGAGCAACGATGGAAACAAGCTCCTAGGAGCCAAACCGGAGGGCCGCATTGAAGAACTTGGGACATGCCCTGTGGGTTTTTCCCGACGAAGAAGAAGAAGAAGTCAGTCGAAAAAAAAATGTGATGAGGCCATTTGGTCACAAGATTTATCGTGCTTCGATCAAGAACATAACCGAAAACGGCACGTTTGCACTGGATTTACTGTGAGAAACACCCGGTGCCTTCACTTTTTTTCGCTTTTTCTGGTTGGCTTTCCATTTAAATGAAAGAACTTTTAGGGAAATCTTCTGTGGGAAAACGGAAAGTTTGTTTTGATTGGCTTCAAAAAATAAGAGTCGAATTTTCAAATAAATTTCATGAGAAAATTTTTTGATATCTTTTGAAGAAATCGACAGTAATTGAGCTCGGGGTTGTCAGTTTGGTGAAGATTCTATTAAAAGCAATATAGAATCAATGTTGACCCAATTTATCTATTTTCTTTAAGGAGATATAAAATAATGGACAGTCAAAAATATTTTATCAAGAACATTTTGTCAGTTTATCCTTTTTTAAATATTTCTGACAATTTGCAAGATGAAATGAGTCAAAGTTTAGGATTGGAGACTTTTCTTCTCCCGGGTTTTACGGTATCTGTTCTGGTGAGAAATTAATTTTTTCAGAAATTCATTTAATATTGCTATTTTTAGCAGTAAAAAAATATCCAAAATATTTTTTTCTATTCTACACTTCATTTGTAAAACAACCACTTGAGAACCAAAATCAGTTGCGAAAATCAAGAAACGCCACTTTACGTTATTTTTAGAGGTGCTTTCTTGGCGCGAAAATCTTTAAAAATTAATAGAGTTTCATTTTCAATTTCTTTCGTGGTTTGGAACCAAAAATTGTTTGAAAGTCGGTGTTGAAATCAGAGATTTTAGTATAATTTGAAAGTGTTCTTAGATTTTGGGTCATTGTCTAATTGGTGGTCAGAAATGCCAAGAAATAAAGAAAAGTGGGTTCTCAAATATCTATGAATTTAAAAATGTTTGAAAAATTGAGAAAACAACAAGTGCGAGAAGAAGAGGGGGAAAGAAAGAGAGCAAATCGCACTGGCTAAATCGAAAATGGGGAAAGACCGAAAAAAGGGTTCAGCTATTGTGATGCGGCCGGTATAGACAAACAAATACCACCCGATGCATAACAATGTTCAGACGGTAGGTTCACGTTTCTGATTTCTTTTAAAGAAAAAATTGTTTCTAGAGTCTTTCGAAGCTAGACTGACGTAAGCTAGAAACTGGGAGTGTATCAGAAATCACATGGTATTTTTTGGTGTTGGATTCTTCTAATTTATTATTCTCAGTAACTACGAGAAAAAAAACTACGAAACGTCTTGTGTTCAAAACAGCGAGAACAGATTTGAATCCCACCAGACTTCATCGTCTCTTTCTGTCTTATTTTTTTCAGTTTTTCAATTACTGAGATTGTCTGAAAAACAAATGAAAATTCAAAGCGGTACGAGGGAAATCTTGAGAAAATCTCGGTAAAAGGCAAGGAACAAAAACACTGTATCAATTTCTCGATCTCAAAAAAATCATGGCGGAACTAAAATGAAAAAGGGTAATTGATGAGACTAGGCATATAAAAGTTGAGAATTCAAAAAAGGGAAAGAAATAGAAATTGAATGCTCAGCGAGCTGCAAAAAGTGTGGCAAACGAGGGAAGCGGAAAACTCGCGGAGAAGAAGACCGCAGCTACTTACGCGGAAAGAAAAGGTCTCTCCAACTCAATATACTTTTACCGACAGATACTCTTTTGTTGATGTTTTCTGAAGAGAAGCCAACTCAATGGACAGGAAAAAATAAAGAGTAAAAAAACTTGTGGAAAAATTGGTAGAACCTTTCTCATTTATTCATTATAGAGCTGAGCTACTCAAGTAGGCGGTCCTAGGTCGACTTTGTTCTCAATTTTTGCTCGTATCTTTGTCCCCATTCCTCCGACGATGTGCGGGGGCAAAAAGAGAATCCAGTGAGGTGGAAACATTAGGAAACATTGCTTCTAGGTTAACGTTTTGTTGGAAAAAAGGAATATGAGGATAGGTCGAGAAAGATATTCGAACTAAAAAAACCCGGCATGAAAGAAGAAGAAATCGCCTGAGGGCCCAGCGGCCTGCTGGGGTCATATAATCCGCTATAAAAAAGCAACAAGAATTACAGGCATTGTTGCATGATAATCCTAGCGAACACAACAGCGAGGCGCGCGGGCAGGTTCGATGAACAAAAAACGAGTAATATCACTTGAAATAACATAACGCCAATGACGCGAGAATTTCACACATGGCGGATGAATCAGAGATGGAATTTCGAAACAAAATATGATGAAAAAATACCGGAGGGATAGTGACCAACGCTGAGAAAAACATGGTAAAAAGAGAGAAAGTAAACAAAAATTATTTCGTTAGGAAAATAGGTTTTTCTGGATCCAGACTCGATTTAGTAAAATATTTTCAAGATGACGTAAAGGAATTTCAACTATTTTCTCGGAAATACCGTAAAGCCTAAAAAATGACCCCTTTGACTAATATATCTCGGATTCTGTAAAAGATTGCAGAACAGTTTCAACAAATAATTTGTCATGAATATTATCGTTAACATTTTATCAGTTGTCATTTCTTGATACCTCTCACCGGACATAAGATAAAATGAAAATTTAAATGTTTCTTGGCTCGCATGGAAGATATCAAAAAAAGTGTCAACAGATAAAATGTTGGCGATAATATGATAAATCATTCATTAGTTAAAAACGTTCTCCTATTTAAAAAACCGAGATAAATTGGCTTAAAGTTTAAAAATAGGGACCCTTCTATTACAGGTTTTCCGGTAAACAAATTGAATACAACAAATTGAGTTAAGCTATAATGTAGCTTCTCCTGTTTCCAATGAAAATGAAGCGTACGTGGCAATGTAAATTCAGAAAGAAAAAAACAGTGAACATGTGTCCCACGGTTTTTGCCCTCTGGGGTTCACAGGCGCAGGAAGTGAATTGAATAATGGAAGAAGGATACATGATTTACAATCGTTGGTCTGGGGGAAGAAGAAGGTTGTGGACACAGAAAATTATATGGGTGAAAACCCATTTTCACTATTCCTTGTCGCTTTTTCCGGGCGGGGTGAAACAAAACCAAAATCACAAGAGAGGTTGGAATTGTTTCAAAATTGGTCTGACGTGACAAACAACACTGTAGACTTTGTTATACCAATTTGAAAGACAAGGGATCCCCCTCGATGGCATGCATAGTGACAGCTAATCGAGTGGGAGAGAAGTAGAAGAAGAGAAATGGGGAAAAATAAGGTGACAAGAGAGAGGGCAAACATATGGTATCGGTTTTCTTGGGCGAGCGAACCGTTGAGACTGGGTGGGGTTGAAAAAAGGGGAGAAAAACGGTCAAACAACTTAGAAAAAAATTTTGTTGCGCAATCAAACATCAAATCCGACGGCGTGAAGATTTGAGAAGCATTGAGGGGGAGCGAGGGAGAGGAGCGCATGGAATTTGCTAATTGGGAGAAATTTTCTCTCCCGCTGTCTCGGATTCTCAAATCTCAAAGTCCAATGTTTCATTTTTCAGACTGAATCTTTTTCTGGAATTTGAAAACTGTAGGAACTAGAAGAAGACAACTAAACAAATCAAGAGGGATGAATCATAGTGAGGGAGAACGCTGGAGAAAAATAGTGGAGACTGAAAATGACAGATTCTTGCTTATTTTTTGTTGCTTTCTTTGAATCTCAAAAAGAATTGATTTTGTGGTCCCTAGAGAAAGGGAAAAGCGACGACCCTTTTGAATGTCTAGGACTATTAAACGCACTCTTAGACGTGTTCGTTTGTGTTGAATGGATAAAGAGAGGAAGAATAAAACAAGGAAGTTTCAAGGATTCAAGAGGAAGCGGCAGTAGTTGTCGAGCGGTAGAACCATTATAGCAGTAGGTCTAGTAGCACCAAAAACTTGTGCGTTGAGTCAGGCCCGAGTAGCCGAGAGTTATGAATCATATATATGTTTCTTTCACCTGTTGATGCTAAATGCCATGAGAAATAGGAATGCTTAAAATAGCAAGAAAATGAACAAGATCTATGAAAAAATTTGATTTTTTAAATTG